AGGTCACAGGTCACAGGTCACAGGTCACAGGTCACAGGTCACAGGTCACAGGTCACAGGTCACAGGTCACAGGTCACAGGTCACAGGTCACAGGTTAGAGGTCAGAGGTCAGAGGTCAGAGGTCAGAGGTCAAGAGGTCAGAGGTCAGAGGTCAGAGGACCACCCGTGTCTTCAGTCAGACACGCCGCAGGCCGCAGGACTGTGCACGAAAAGATTACCCTGCTGCTATCTATCAACAACGCATGGCCACTCGTAGCATATACGCTGTACAAAGCCCGGAACTTCGTCCTGCCCTATGAAAGCTTCTTGCCCTTCCCTACCATCACAGAGCCTGCCTTCCTCTTCTTTGACGCAGCAGCCTCCGTCTTGACAGCTTTCTTGATGACGTGAGAAGCAATCTCGAGGATACGTCTCTCGCCCAGCTTGACCACAGCAGCCATTTCTTTGCGTTGTTGGCTGACGGGCGTCTCGTCAGACTTGGGGGTGTCTGGAGAGTTGGCGACGGTCCATTGGGCGGAGGCTTTCAAGAGAGCAATGTCATCCTGCGAAACAACATTAGTTGATAATACGAGGAAGAAAGGGGTGATTTACCTCAATGGCCCCTTCGTACGTGCTCTTTCGTTGCTCAATAGCTTTGATGATGATAGCAGCGACATCCCCATCAACAGTCGGTTTGGGGGGCTTGCTCTTTTTCTGAGCCTTCTCCCAATCTTCGCCGTTCGAGAGCAGGCGGGCAAAGGATATCAACCCGTCGTCAATCTCTTCGTCGTATCCAAGAGGGAACGCACTGGGCCGAGTCAGCTTTTACATTTCATGCCATCGCGTGTAACTCACTCTTCTTGGCCTTCCTCGAGCCACCAATCTATTCTGGTCTGAATGTCTTCCCTCCACTTGTCATCAGCCTTCTCGCCAAGCTTATCTGCCACGCTCTCGACGATAGCTTCTCCAGACAGGAGCACCTCGTCGCCCGCATTTCCGAACGGCCACTCGGCGCCAACCTTTGAAGATTTTAAGAGCTTGGTGATGTCTTTGGGGAGGGGAAGGACATCTACATGCCCGTATTTCCTGAGGAGCTCGGAATTGGGCGGGGCATCGTAGGTGTTGTACTGGCTTCTGTCAGTATATTATAATGCTACCTTGGCAGTACCTACGATCTGCTGAGATTTTGTGACCTTTTTGGTACTTCTCATCATAACCCCACTCTTAAACTCTTCCGAGGCTTCCTCATCCACAAACAGATGTGCGTTGTCTTTTTCAAACGCGGCATTCAACATGTCTGCAAAAGGCACCATGACCACCACCCCTTGGTCCTCCTCTTCCTCATCGTCGCTATCCTCTGGTTGCTCCGCAGCTTTGGGTGTGTTGTCGAATCGACTGAGAGGGACGGTGAATGAACGAGAGAGGATACGAGATCCTTGGAGGTGGAAGGCGTCGATGGAGGTGTGGGGCGAGCCGGCGGGGAAGAGTTCTGGGTGGGCAGAGATCACGGGGAGGAGGACGTTGGTATATTCTTGTTCAGCGTCCTCTCGACCTATTCTGTCTGGACTCGTATAGTCAGTCACTACTATCGGAAGAGGACTTGAAGAATTGTACCTTGGATATCCGTCCCAGCCAGATACTTTCGCTCCTCTTCGCTCCAAAACATGGGCGTCTCGAATTGCCTCGGCATATTTCCTGCGTTGCAATCAGCTATAATTGCTACGAGACCAAGGCGCTTTCTCACCAAGATAGCCAGACCATGGGCTCTCATCTCCTCGTATGCTCTCCCACATCATTACTAGTATCAACTGCGACCATCCGTGGCCGAGCTGTTCCCATTCTTCAGACGACAGGTGCTCCTTGAGAGTAGATGTGTAGGGCGAGAGAATGAGAGAGTCTGGGATATGAAACAGAGGAGTATCTTCCTGTAATACATGTCAGCTCGAAATTGAATGATAAAGTATGAGCCCACCTTGATATTTTCGAGGGCGGTAGCACCATAGTTCATGCCAGGGTAGGGTATGAGGTCGACAGCAGTTTCGTTGTACCAACCGCCAGCGCCTTTGAACCAGCTCAAGAACTGATCACGGACGAACCCAGTGGCCTGCTCAGTTGACATGATGCTTGTTTTGCTGAGTGTTCTTTGATTTGATGCAAGGACCGAGATTTGTTTTGATTTTGGACTTTGACTTTTGTCGAGGTCACGTGATGCTATATTGTGGTTCGTGGACAACAAAAAAGAAGAATGTACTTCAGGTGTACTCTTCAACCTATCCCCAGCAATAACAGTAGGCAACAGATGTAATGAACCATGCGTCATCATTACATCGTACAGGACTACTACTCAGGGCGGATCCTCTCAAGAGGTCACGCGACTCCAGCTTGATATCCCTGCCCCTTAACACCTCGAGCCTATGTACAACAACAGTCAAAACGCTCCTCCTCCTACTTTATTCCCAATCCGAATCTTCGTCGTCCTCTGTCTCCACTGGAGGAGCAGGCTTCGCTTTCACCGCTTGATCACTGACAATGTCATAACTCTCCTCTGAATCTCTCGGGCTCGTGGCCACGCTGGTAACGGATTTGACCGGGCCGGGCGCAGAGGACGGGAGTTTGCCGTCGGTAGAGGCTTTGGGGGTTGCCGATGATGAGACGGTGTCAGCGGCAGGGGCGGTAGTCGACGGGGCAGGAGCGGCTACAGAGGGCGTGGAATCTTCTTCGTCGTCCCAGTTAAAGTCGTCGTTCGCTTCCTGTTGCTGGGTAGCTGCGAACTGTTAGCATGGTACGCAAAAATGACGATCATCAGTCACCTTGAAGAATGAGCTTTCGCTTCTGCTCCTCGGCCTCGATCATGTGCTTGTGGAACAGGTAACGTTGCCAGAATTGATCGTCCGAAAGTTGTTCGGGGACTTTGGCATGTCAGCAAAGATGCCATGGCTAGACTAAAAACTCACCGAGTTCAATTCTTACGGCGCCAACCAATGCCTCATCTTCACGCCCAGCCTTCCTAGTCTCATCGTTCCAGTGCTCTTTGACCCATTCCCTGAACTCCGCCTTCCTTTTGTCAGTCTCAGCCTCTCCCTCTGGGTCGACTAGAAGCATATTCTTGTCCTCCCGGAGCTGACCAAGTAGAGCATCTTTACGGGAACCGGCGGCAATAATACCAGCAGGACTGCGAGATCGGGATTCAGCGCCGCTGTTGGTACCAGAAGTAGGGGCGCCAGATGTCGAAAAGTGGTAGTAGTCACCACCTAGGCTAACGCCATGGGCCTCTTCACCGTCAGGGGGCATAACCTTGACAGCGTCCTCCATCCATTTCTCCGCATCCTTGACCCATTGATCACCCTTGCGCAGATACTCTTCCGCGAGCTTTTCGGCTTGTTTGACTGATAGCTGCAAGTTTTCGCGCGCAGAGGACAGCCTGAGGTTTTCAACAAGTTGCTCACGGAGAACGGAAGGGTTCGAGAGAGCGGGGTTATGGGCAGCGGCGTCTATCGTGGATTGCAAGGTGGTCCGAAGGGTGTTCTGGAGCTGACTGGTGGAGGATGTGAGGCGGTTGATGAATGCTGCAGAGAAGAGAGAGGGGTCCTCGGCGGGATCGGTCTCTTTCCCCTTGCCCCTCGCCTTGGAAGCAGCCTCGCGAGCAGCAGCTTCCTTCTGAGCTGCTTTCTTGGCCCTTTCAACCTCCTGCTCGGCTTCAAACTGTGCGGGGTCCTTGGCGACAACTTCCACCTTGGCTGTTTTGAGGTACTCAAAGTCGGCCTGGGCTTGGGTAACAGTCTTGTCGAGATCTGCTCTGATCGTGGCAAAAGTGGAAGCAGACTACAATGTCGTTGGCAGCTGGCACCACTCCTTTCTCATGGGCACTCACTTGCTTCTTGACCCCGCCCCACCAGCTGTTGAACGATCCCAGGACCTGTCCAACTTCTTCTTGGAAGTTCTCTTTGTTGAGGCTTTGTTGTAAGGCTGTCGGGGACACGTTCTGGTCTGTTGCAGGGGTAGATGAAGACTCGGGAGCGTCCTGGGAAGCCGGCGTAGGGTTGGCTGGCTGGGGAACGGAGGCGGCGGCGTCGGCGGTATTCTCCTTTGCGGGCTCTCCTGTTCCCTTTGCGGGTGCTTGTGGGTCTGCCATGATATTGTGTCCTATAGCTGAACGACACAATGCATATCACGGACGCCCCTTCGTGCTCAGTGATGAGATCCTTACGTAAAGCGGTAACCGCCGGCCTTCGACGCGTGAGACTCCCTATGAAATGGATGTTGGATTCAGTTCATCTCTCACTTGTCTGCTCGTCTTTATAGCACCCCAGCATCCCTCGGAACCACTACATAGGTCTCTACTGTATCCCGTATCCCCTCCACGTCTCCTCCTCTTCCCCATGTCCCAGCAGTATTCACAATATGACGACGGCTTCGAGCCCACCCAGCAGTCACAGCCGATATACTCGCAGACACAAAACTCTCAGGCAGTGCCCAATAGTCAGCTTGAACCTCACCGGAAATACTGTAAGCCTTAAAATCTACACAGTTGACGTCAACTGACGCCACTTGCAGGGGCCATTTTCATCCCTACCACCGCCGACCGACAGATCTTGAAGATTCCCTGGTCAAAGCCGTTTATCCAGATAGGCAGAGGGCCACAGTCCCTTTCCAAGAACGACATAGTACTCTCGGAAAAGAGAGTGTCCAATAAACATTGCCGGTTGACGCTGGGGATGCCGGGGAAGAGTGGAGGTCCGTCGGTCAACCCTTTGTATCAGATGTGGATGAACGGCGAGAAGGAGCCAGAGGTCTGGATAGAGGACCTCAAGAGTAGTAATGGAACATTCGTGAGTCCTGTGTTCGCCGTGTAGTTCATCCCACTCACTTGATGCTAGGTCAACAGTGTCAGAGTGACTGGCCGTCGTCTGCTTCAACAAGGCGATGAAATCTCCCTCGGCCATCAAGGCGCCTTGCCCAATAAAGACGGCACAGTCCACGATGTCCGATACATTTACAGATCTGTAGGTCACACTGGCACCGTGGCCAACAAGTCGAGCGATCCTGTCGGGCAAGTGTACGAAAGGTATCAAGTCCTTGAACGGTCAGTACCATGGGCAATCGCGCACGGTGCTTGCTGAAATGTCGATCAGGTTAGGAGCGGGCTCCTTTGCAGAGGTATACAAAGCTGTCGACGTTTCGACGGGGGATATGCGGGCTATCAAAGTGAGTCAAATGTCCAGCTTTCATGAGTGAGGCTAAATGTCTGCAGCAAATTGTCAAGCACCGCTTCGCGAGCAAACTCAGCAACCTACAAATGTTTTACCGAGAAATCAGTATAACCCGGTCTTTGGAACATGTCAGTACTTCTACGGCTCGTCTTGTTTACCATCGCTGAATCTAGCAGGAAAACATCTGCCGGCTCATCGACTGGTATGAAGACCCTCAGCACATCACCCTTGTCCTTGAATTCGTGGACGGCGGCGATCTCCTGGACTATATCATGGGATACAATGGCCCAGGCAATTCTGGTATCCGTAAGCACTGTGTTCGTGATTCGACACCCAAGCTGATCAAGTCACAGCCGAGGAACTTGCCGCCGCCTTTACTCTTCAAATATGTAGCGCAATGGCTTATACAGTACGACTTTCTCCTCTCTCTCGTATATCACTGAACCGCCTCTCCTAGCACTCTTTGGGTGTAACACACCGTGATTTGAAGCCAGAAGTAGGTGGTTGCTGTGGAGATTGAACCAGAAATTGATCGCGACTGCAGAACATCCTCCTTAACAACAATCCAAATGGTCCACCCACTCTCAAAATCGCCGACTTTGGCCTCGCCAAGATGGGTGAGTATCATCCACACGCACTAGAATATACCTGATGCCGTTTGCTAGTGCATGCGGGTACCATGCTCACATCAATGGTGGGGACTCCTGTCTACGTGGCGCCCGAAGTCATGATGCAGAACGAACAAGGCTACGAAAACGTCGTGGACTCTTGGTCTATCGGTATCATCGTATACAGGTAAGCCACGACCGCGTCCAATTATCGCAAGACTGATCGGGAAACAGTATGATGACCAAGGCGTTGCCATTCGACGAGAAGAGTGAAGACCCCTTTGACGTGTGTATCATCCATTCGAGGTGCGACTGAATACTGATGACCACAGGTCCGCATCAAGGCCCGCTTCACCCAAGAATGGGACCACCACCTGCTCGATGACTGGGGAATCAGCGCCCTTGGTAAGCAAATCAGACTCATCTTACGACCGAAAGCTCATGATTCATCAGCTATCGACTTTATCAATCGCCTTCTGGCAAAAGACCCTAAAGAACGTATGACCATGAAACAAGCCCTCGAGCACGAATGGCTTGCTGGCCCCTCCTCACAATCCCAATTCACAGAATCTCAGCAAGAACATCATCGCCTTGGTGGAGATTCTACATGGCATATCAAAGAATTCGACGACTCTTCATTCGAATCCATGCCATTTGGCGAGGCAAAGTCGGAAGTGTGGGGCGAGCCGCCCACAGTATCGGGGACGAGGATAGAGAGTATAGGAGGTAGGGATGAAGAGGAAGTTGGGGAGCATGAAGGCTCGGACGACTTTTCTCAGCCAATGACGGGCTTGAGGCTTGATACCCCTGTACGCCAGAAACCGCCGAAAAGGATTTCAGAAAGACAAGCTCTGGTCGGATCTTCTGTTCCTGACCTCGATAACGAAATCGCCAGGGATACAGTTCTCATGACTCCTCCCCTCACCGCCTCTGGCTCCTGTACCGACCCAAATTTGAGAGCTGAAGGACCCGACTCCCCAGAAAAGTCTATGCCTGATAGCTCGAGGCAAAAGAGAAAGGCGGCGAGGTCGGAAGATGGTGGGAGCATCGATGAGGATCGAATGAGGGAGTTTGGGTTCGGCACAGATGCTGATGGGGATGGAGAAACTAGGGCCGAGGGTCGGAGGGGAAAGAGTGAGGGGGCGGAGGACTTGTCCGCTTCAACAAGGGGCCGAAAGTCCATGAGGCTACTGTGATCAAACCTATATGTTGTCAATTGTGAGAAGCACATGTCTAGAGAGACGCATCATTGTAGCAAAGGTGCCATACAGGCGCACATGCATCGTCACGTAACATATCGCTGTCTGGAGATTTTGAGGACTGAAAGGTGCTCCCTCCCAGCTCTACGTTTGATTACCTCCTGCCACCCAAGTCAGACACTTCTTTCTCCTTGATACCACTGTCCAGACCTACCTTTGTATGCAATCCCATGGCCAGCATTCTTTCAGCTATATCGGTAGTCTTGTTCTGCTGGACAGCCACCAGATACAGACGCCCCGCGGGAGACAAGAGATCCTGTCCAACGGTCAGCACTCAGCTCCTTATCATATCCAAAAGCGTTGCCCACGGGTAGTTGGTCCAGTACAAGGTTAGTAACTGCCATCCCATCGAACCCTCCAGCCCAAGCCCCTCCTATATCCTTCTGTTCTTGTGTCAAGCTCAACCTATACACCTTCATCAGCAACCGCCATCGCGAGACCAAGGTCCATCGGCATACTCATCGGCATCTGTAGGGACGTAAGGGGGATTGAAAAGGAGGATATCAACTTGTTGGTGCAGACGAGAGAGGAGAGGAGAGAGGAGGTTGCAGTTGATACCATCTAATGTGGTCTAGATAGTACAGTGCATAAGCGCGGTTGAAGGTAAGACTGAAAGTGACGTACTTGGTTGGCAGCTGCAGTTCTTTGAGTTGCTTTGCAAGCGTAGCTGTTGATATCGGTCGAGATGACATCTGCGGTGTGCATGAGTAGAAGTCTCGTCACGTTGACGGAGGAAGAGCGACTAACAGCTTTCGTTCGGCCCAAGTAAATTTGACAAGAAAGTGGAGACAACTCCAGAGCCCGACCTTTTGTCAATAGTAAGCTGGTATTCACCTCAGCTGACCTCTCTCACCCTATCTCTAAATTGATCGCGGGTTTTGACAACCGTATCTCTTCAGCGTCAATCTCCAAGGCGTCCAGCAGAATGAAGGAATCCTCTACAAAGATGTATCAGCGAGGTAGCGCGCTGGTACAGGCATAACGCACCTGCCGGCTCATACACATGATCATAGTCTTCCTCTGTAAGGTGAGCGATATTGGGGGTGGGGAGAGACATAGCCGGGCGAGAAGGGCAAGATGGTGATCTGCTGGAGATTGAATCTGTACGAGTAGCAGTCGGTTTGAAGAGTGGTTGATAGTCGACTATGTATGTCGATAGTATCCGTATTTCTGTAGGTGCCGGATCTCTGCTGGCTGAAGATGCCGAGAGCACGCTTTGTGGATAGATGTCGAGTGGGCAGTGGCCAGCGGATCCTGATTTCCACTCAGATGCCCAGGTCTGACCCTTTTGTTTGGTCCTGTCGCGGTTCTGGTCCCGCCGCGACCGTACAAGACGGTGGAGATTGAATCGCAGAAGTAGTTGATAATCAATGATGTATGGATTTGCAAGGGCAGTGTCTGAGTTTCTGTTGGTGCCGGGTTTCTGCTGTGGGTCAGAGAGTGGTTCTGTCAAGAGCACGCTTTGTTGTGGAGAGATGTCGAGTGGCCAGCGGATCCTGAATTCCAGATGCCCAGAGGCCAGATCTGACGTTGTTTGGTCCTCCTGTCCCGCCGTGACCGGAAGACTGCAGTCACCACAGTCGTCAAATGCTATGTATGTCGACTGTGCTGTTGTTTCGCTCATTTGCACCACGATTCACATTCGTTTAGTTGCTGTGTCTTGGCCGAATTCTGGTCTCGCTCGATGCTCCTCTCGCCGAACCAGGTAGTGAGACATACCTCTCTGTCTTAGCTTTTATGTGACTGTATTGACGTTGACGACATGCTGCTGACTTAGCTCATCAGGTCAAGTCCGGCTTGCTCAATAATCAAGGCTTCAAAATCACATCTCGGTTGCGTATGTGCCGGCGCAAATTTCAGCGAAAGACCGAAGTGTGAGTCCCCTCCCACCTCTTCTCCTGTTGATAGTCTACATGTTCTTTGAAACAGGCAGAAGCCGCTTCCATACTCCTTCTCTCTTTACCCCGTCCCCCTTTTCCTTTTTTCCTTCTTGGTTCACCTCCCACTTTGTCTGTCCGGTCCACAGATCACCCGCCTCTGTTTCGTTCGCACTCTTGGCATGGATCGGTAATAAACCCCTTTTCGAGGGGATGGCTTGTGGGGCTGCACCTTCTCTCGCTTCTCGAGGCTCGTACTCGCTGGAAACATACCCTATCTCAACTGACGGGGAAGAGCTTGGGTGGACCCATTCTCTGGGAAACTAGGGAGTATCGCGAGCGGACTGCTTTGTTTTCGGCCAGTAGGCGTTGTAGGCGCTGCGGGTGATACTCTTGGTGAAGGCAAAGGACTGGAGCGCCCCCATGGAATAGGCCTCATTCCGGGTATGGAGCTGGCAGAACGATTGGGCAAGAGCGGAGGGAGTGATTCGTCATTCTCGTCATATCCGAATAGACTTCGGGCATCATAGCAAACCCGGGTTGGGGAGCTCGAATATGAAGAAGGGGAGGTGCCGTATGACGATGAGGAAGATGACGAGGAAGAGCTGGTGGGCACACGGAGGCCTCTAGACGAGTGGAGCTTGTCCTGGACCATGCCGGGCTTGGGAGGGGTAAGGAAAATGGGTGTTTCGGGCGGCGATGGCACTAGTAGATGCTCTGATGCTAGCTGCTTCGCGTATAGACCTCTTCTCTCCTGGGTACTTTTCAGCCTGATTCTGTCAGCCCCAAAGAACGTGCTCCCACCCTTTCCCTTCCAACCTGCGGCAGTGCCCATGGCTGACGGATGCAGGACTCTTGGCGATGGCTCAGGTGCACCGTATAGCGCGATCCAAGCGTCGCGAGAACGCCATGGCTGATTTGTTGGAAGAGGTATAGGAGCTGACTGGAAGAGAGGGAAGGGGGAAGATGAAGACTGAATGAGCTCTGAGAGGGACCGGGATCGACGGTGGCGTCGTTTGGGGTAGAACTCTCTTTCGGAGACAGTTGTAATAAGAGTATGCGCTGGCGGCGGGGAAGGGGTTTTCAGTCGTTGATGGTAAGTGAATGGTGAAAGAGTGCCCAAGGGAGACTGCAGTGCAAACTTAGCAAAGGTCCCTCATTGATGATAGCAATGATAGCTTATCAATACTTACTCCTCTACCCGCCAGTGACAAGGGCTGAATAGTCTTTTCACGTCTCTTCAATAGTTTGCCCGGCATGCTGGCAGACCGTATTCTCCCTTCTTTCGGGTCTTGTTCCGCTGTACAAGCTGCTTGTCTTAATGCTTTCTTGCCAGCTTTCCTCCTCAGCAACACTTCTTCTTGAACGATAGAGAGACGAGGAAGAATGAGTTGGGCGCCGTATTTCGGGACATGTTCCAATGCAACACCATAGCTTGGACTCTGGACTTTCCTCTTCGAGCGGGGACGAGGTAGGGAAGGAGGGAGTGTGCTGGATCTGCCAATTCCACCCATCACCCGAGAAGGCCCAAATTCCGAAAGGGAGTTGTCGATGTCGCAGGGCGGGACTGTTCAGCGTTGAGTGAGAGTCACTTGGTTCGAGGGCGATAGTACAATGCTTGGCTGGATATATAGGTTCGTATAAGTAGTGGTAGCGTGCGCTATGTGCATGTCACGTTGCTCGACACCTGGCTCCGGCATGTCATTACAGCAGCCATCAATTTGCGGCATAAACCACGCCTCTCTTGCATACACATACACCCTCCCCTCCACGAGTCATGACCCTCATCACGGGGGCTTGTGTCCGTGTGATTGTACTCATATCAGTGCACCTAAGGAACATGGCCAGAAGCCACACAATCCTCCTGATGACGCGCCACGCGCTCGGTGCAGTGTCTCTGGCCGCCTTCTCTTGTCCTCTCTTTCTTGTGATCTCCCGCGGCGAGTGGATTCTCTTGGGCGCGCTTTGATAGATTGTCCTTGAGGGCTCTTCAACCCGTGGTAGCGAGTGATCCGGGGCGGTGCATGAGTTGTGGGGCGACCCACTGGAGCTCTGGGCTCTCCTCCAGAGGTGATGTTCCCCATCATTGATGATACAGGGCAAGGGGTGCTACGGCGCCGACCTGTTTCTGGGACGGTGAATTCCAAGCGTACCAAGACCCAGACTCGGTATGCATGATGCTCATGGTCGATTGCATTACATTTACTTCTGGTTTGTACTCGTAACCTACTACACGGCTCTCTTCAATTATTAGACATCGAGGCATATCTCATAGCTGGTCCACATCCATCACAGAGTCTGCTTGCTTCGTGCTGCCCTCCGCCACCCAAGCATCGATCCTGGCCTTCAATTCAATGTCGGGGAGACATTCCTCAAACTTGAGCCTATGATACAGCAAGTCAGCAAGTAGTCAGGAACAGGATGTCAAGACGTACGGGACATTGTTGAAGGGATCAGCCTCCTTGGAGAGCAAGACAGTACGAATGGTGCCTCTGTCGATGCTGATTCGGGACACGGGCAAGATGACGGGGTCTTTCATTACTGCAAGCCATGATCAGCACTGTCAAATCATCCCAATATCCACTTACAAGTCGACAGCAGCGGATCCAAGAACTCGTCCGGAATCTCCCTCTCGTCCTCCATATCAATCGTCGCTTTCATATCTTCCACCTTCTGGGTGAAGCTGACTACTTCCGCCACCTCAATCTCCGTCATGATCGCCCTGTTCTTCAGCGTCCTCGCAAACTTTTCGAAAAGTTTTTTCGAATACGCTCGTCCGTCGTTGGCAACAGCGCGGATAAACTCGGGTGCGGACGCGAGGTTGAGGTAAATCTGGGCGATGGCGGCGAGGAGGTCTTTGGGCTTGAATTTGTATTTGTCGGGGTTGGTGACCTTGAGATCGGTCATCTTGGGACCGACAAGAGTCATCAGGTTCTCATCCAGCGACTGCGCCCCTGTCAGCTATATTCTATTCTAGCAGGAGACAATCATACAGCCGCCAAACGATCCACAATTTCCGCTGCTACAAACGGCTCCATCGTCGTCGCCGTGAAGTCCTTGATCAGCTTGACATTATCCAATCCCATCTGCGTATGCCAAGGCACAGAGCCCTCCGCCTGATTGAGCTCGCCCTCCAGATCCTGCCGTTCGGCCTGGTCCATCGCAGCCCAGGCGGCAGTGTTGGCCCGTTGGGCTTCGATAGTGCCGATCTTGGTGAGACCAGTCAGGGATTCATCGAGGTGGAAAGTGGTGTCGTTCATGAGCATGTTGACGAAACGAATGAATTGGTCAAAGTCGTCACTACATATACAATCAGCTAGTGTCCAGTGCGAAGCCAATAGAATGACTTGCTGTCTAGACTTGATGAAGGCTTCTCGGTGGAGAGGGTTACCCCAAAGAGCTTTGAAGATGTGTCCCATGTCACGTCGGTAGTTGAATTTGTCTACGCCATCTCATCAGTACCAACTCTGCCATCTCAAACGATAACCACCCACCCCAGAACTGTGTGTGGCCACCTGTGGCCTCGACATCAATGTAGAATCTGATAAGCGTGGGCATCAAGTGCTCGGTCGAGACACCCAAGACACTAAGCCTGTCGAAAAGAGGGCCTTGGCGCCAGTAGCCGGCAGGGTAGAGACCATATGACAAGATCTGCTCTCAATCAGCTCCGCACATGCTATTCTAGGTGACCTAAACTCACCGTGACCAACTTGGCCTTCATGAAGGGGTTGTTGACATAGTCGGGGGTGAGGAACACAATAGAGAATGTGATGAAAATGTCCTTGTCCACATCATCCAACGCCTCTGGCTCATATCTAGCCAAGAATTCGAAATAGTCGGCGACATTCTCAAAGAGATACTCGGGGAGCATCCTAAACGCCATGGGCGCCTCTTTCGGCAAAGGCAGCGACACTGGTTTGGCAGGGAAAGCATGGTCAGGGTCGACCAGGCGTACAAGCCAAGTCATCAAGAATCCGAGGAATGACACCGTAGGCCTGATCAAGTTGTTGTCCAGGAGCTGAGTGTCGTAAGCATGGATCGACGCATGCAGAACCGCCAAGTCGCCCTTGAGCTTCTTGATCGCCGCTTCGCCCTGTGCTGTCAAAGCGGGATTGCCCTCCCAGTCACCACGGGACGCTTCGGTACGCTTGAGCTCCTTTTCAATCTCCGACAAGTTCTTTTCGGCGCGACCGCGCGTAGAGATGGTCTTGACGAGTCCGAGGTGGAGGAAGGCGTTGAGAAGGAAGAACAGGTCGGAGATGAAGTTGGGTTTAGCGTCAACTGTTCTATCGTGTAAGCACGGTACAGCATCTAGACTCGCGTGTGTACCTTCCATAGCTTCCCCAAAGTACCCATCCGCTTCTTCCTTCGTCGCTCTAACTTTTGTCTCCTCGGAAATGTCAATCCTCTTTGAAAACTTGAAGTACGCCGCATCAACCTTGTCAATCTTTGAAAACCTCGCGTCCATAACAGGCTCAAACAGTTTCAGCAAGACCACCTGCAAGTTTGTCATGTACCCGTCGGTAGAGACAAGACGGGGATCGACGCGCATACCCGCACGGCGCGAGTTGAGGCGGAGAGTGAGGGCGAAAAAGTCGAGGATGGATTCACGGGCTTCAGGGGAGGCGCGGACGATGGAATTGTAAACGTTAAAGATGGAAGTCTGGACATGGGTCAGCTGGGAGTGCAATGATCGGGAAGAGGACTTGCGTGGAGGCTGCTGAGCGTGTAACGAAGGTTGCTCTTGTTGGCGTCAATGTCTTCCTTCTTCCTCTCTGTTGGGTCGGAAAAGTAGGTCTTCCAGACCTCGGGCTGGGTGGTATGAGCAAGAAGCTTGTCGAGTCAGCAGGGCACTTACGAATTCTCTAGGGAAGACGCTGAGTCTGGTCAACGGTCCCAAGAGGGACTGCCATTCCAGCTTTGGCGCCACCACATTTGGTGCTACCCATATCGGAAGAGATGGCAGCAGCCCCGCAACGGCCTTGACCTGGACCAACGCGTTCATCGCCCCCAGATACCTGCGCCACTCTGACCCAAGGATATCTGGTGTGGGCGAGATGCTGAACCATTGTTGGAAAAAGAGAGAAAGAGTGGGAGAGATGACGTCCGAGAGAGTGTCGGGGGTGAAGCCTGCGGCGAGGTCTTGGAGAAAGGGGAGAAGGTCTGCGGGTTGTAGAGGGCCGGAGACGGTGGGAGGAGGGGTGGGAGCAGAAGTGAGGTGGTCGCCAGCGATGGGCTGGTGAATGGAAAGGAGAAGAGGGAGAAATTCGGCAGGTCCAGTGGGTTTGCTATTGAATGTCAGACGATACTCGGACTAAAGCGAGACGGCTTACCCCTCGGGTTGCGGGAACATCGTTGGATCCTCCAGGGTCATGCCGCAGTATGAAACGACCAGCGCCTTAATCTTTTCCATGACCTGCTTCCACTGCCCCTTCTCCTCCTCAGTGAAGGAATACTTTTGCGCGTCCTTGTTTGCAATGTAGATCCGCTTCCAGCACCCTGCAAGATACTCGAATACAGTCTCACTTTGCGGAAGACCGGCCAGAATGGTGAGCTTGTCCGAGTCGTCCGATTTGGCCATGACAGCCGGGTCGAGAGAGAGACGAGCAATGAGCAGCCGATCGATCAGGTCGGGTGTGGTTGCAAGTGGTTGGGGATAGTCTGCAACGTCAGTATCTGGTGAGGCGTTGTCAATGATTACTCACTCTCTTCCTTCAGCTCCTCCTCGAGATCCTTCAACCAGCAGATCGACCAATCGCTATCCTGGGCCTTTGATCTCTGTCCATGGCATTAACTACAGATATACTCCACACTCTAATGATACGTACGCTCAAGGTCACAGCGAACACTTGCCCGATCTTGACCGTCTCCCACGTCTTGTAGTCAGCCTTGATGAGAGGCTGGAGCGGCTTTGTCGAGACGACTCTCGGTCCCACCGGCTCGGGCCTGGAAGTGGAAGCATTTGAGGGCCTCTTTAAAGAGAGCGTTGACGGTGAGGGGTTGGGCTTTGGCTGCGCCAGGAAAGGCTTCGCGGGCGGCTTTGGAGATGGCGCTGTCGGTTTAGGGGTCTCAGAGGGGGAAGTGGAGGAAGATGCCGGGGGAAGATTCGCAAGAAGCCTAGAAGAGGCTGAGGCAGGAGGATGGGCGGGAGGGGGAGTAGAGGACTCTGCCTGAGGCTCTTCCTGTTGCTGTGGCTGAGGGGTGTTGGCAGCGGTGCCGAGTCTTGCGAGTCGTTTGAGACGCATCTGCAGCGTGAGCCGAGTCCGGACATGTGTGCACGCACCTTCTGGGCGTCAGTCATGCCATTGTTTCCGGACATGGTGCGGCGGTGTATGACTGTATGTAGACAGTAAGACATCTATAGCGGGCGCGATGACGGACAGCCAGACGCGCCCACGTGGCTAGGCGGTCATCCCCGCCTTCTTGCTTGCCGCTGCATCAACAAAGATTGTAGACATCTTGCAACCACAAACGATAACCAAAATGGCACAAGTAGTCACAAACCTGGATCAACCCTCCACTTACAGGGACAACAGGTCGGAAGTGTGTCAACTTTCACTATCACAGGGGAATGTGCTGACCGAAACAGATCGACCGGGAGACTGAGCGCCGTCTTTTGGCACAGTCCACCACCCTTTACGTTGGCAACCTAAGTTTCTACACAACAGAGGCTCAAATGTATCAACGTGAGCTCTGCCCGTACCTCATTTGTAATGCTGAACGAGTCTAGTATTTGCGACATGTTCTCTTCCTGAGCTCGGAGGTGGAATCAAGCGGTATGTCTGATCCAATGTCTTGAAACTGTCACTAACGTCAAACGGCAGTATCATTATGGGCCTCGACAGAAACACCAAGACACCGTGCGGCTTTGCTTTTGTGGAATATTTCCTCCACGAAGAAGCCGTCAACTGTCTCCGCTACATTTCCGGCACAAAATTAGACGAGCGAGTGGTCCGATGTGATTTGGACCCGGGGTACAAGGAGGGCAGACAATTTGGACGAGGAAGAAGCGGTGGGCAAGTGCGAGACGAGTTCAGACAGGAATACGACAGTGGACGAGGTGAGTGCAATCCTGAGAGTCTTCATGGATCTGACATGTGGCAGGCGGATGGGGACACCAACGTCTCGAAGAAGAGCGCAGGCGCCAAGAACAGGACCAACTACGTTCTCAAATGCAGTTCGACACCTACGCCGCTGTAGGCGGTCTTGGTATGGCAGGTGCAGACGTCCCCCGAGGTGAAGAGTTCTTTGCCGACAGGACAAAGCGAGATAGAAGTGAAGAAGAGGATGAGGATCTTGAGAGACGGGAGGATGAGAAGCGTTTACGCGGGGAGAATGATGACGAGTAGGGGAGATGTACAGAGATGTACACCAATTCAAATGTACATTCTTGTCGATGATATGCTGCATTATGTACAAAGGGAAAGTGATCTATTTCTGTACACGGGTGTAGATGGGGTTTGCCTTTTCGTGAATTTGTGGTTGTCCTTCTGGTGATCCGGGAATGTTTTTGGAGAGATTCTTGACGCTAATCAGCACATGTCTGGCGATATACTATCAGTACTCACGAGCTTGGTAAAGACGCATGTGTTGAAAACCTTTTCGGGTTTCCGGCATGCTTGGAAATGCTGATCACCCCACCGTCAATATCCGTCGCGTTTCATCAACAATCAGACCGTACCTGGTTGTTCTTCTCCAAGCAAGACCAGTGAGCATCAAACTCGGCCAGGCAGTTCTCTCTTAGCTTTCCAATCCTGCGCTTCTATCAGCCCCACCCTCCCAGAACCTTGTGCCGACTTACACCTCTTGCGCGCACCGCGTGACCTTTCTTCCTTCCGAGAGACAATGCGCCGGATCCCTGTTCTCCTGCTTGCAAAGCATAAAGTCCTCTTCATCCGCCATCAGCGACCGGCCATTTGCCCCGTTCATCCAGCAGACTCACCATTGACTTCCTTGCAATGTTGTCCGATAAAGAAACTCGCGCTCTTCAACGGCGCCGAGGTTGTGCCGACCTCGTCCACGTGGGGCACGCTCTTCGGCAGAGGGTTGGGCTCGACATAGTCCTTGTCGTGGAGGACGGCGGCGCGGTGGGAGGCCATTGTAGATGGGGAAGGGGGGTGTAGGGGCTAGGAGGGCGTTGGGTGGAATGGAGGAATCTTGGTTGGGCGGTCGGGTTGGTGGATGGAATTGATCCCGGCTAAGTGGGGGGCGCGAGATATGGGTGAAAACGCCGGCTGCTCGTGGCAGAAACGAGAGTGGAGGCAGTCCAGTGATCCACCGTCGTACTTGTAAGATTGCGAAAACCATAATCCTGACTGGTGCTGTACAAACCATAGCAATGTCAAGAAGAGCTCGAGGCGGCGGCGCCGTAAGAGGGCCCTCTTCAGCGCTCACATCTTTCCTTGCTGTGAGCACAACTGGACACCACAGAGACGGAGCTGATCCCCGATCGTAGGGTCTCGGAGTCGAGCCAGCCCACAGAGTCAACACATGGGGCGACCGATCGACCATCGAAGGCAATGCCATCCCAGAGGAAGAAGATATAGATCCTGCAAATGCTGTTACGGGGGAAATGGTGGAAGCTGGACCCAGCAGGGTGGGCGAGGGGACGCCAGTACTGGATGAAGCGGGAGATTTGCCTGTAGGGTTCAAACGAGGACGAGGGACTGATGTGGGTGTTATGAGTGTCAATTGTTTTGAGCGTACTGATGAAGCTATAGAGTGAGGGAGTACCAACTCCCAAGCGATCGAGAGCAGCTTCGATCGACTCTGACGACCTGGACGCCGATGATGACTATGCCGCTCGACCAAGCACATCTCGGGCAGAGAAGGCTTCAAGCAAAGGGGTGCCTCGAGGGCCTTTAAAGGCTATCGGGCAGTTCATGGACTGTGGACAGTGCGAGAAAAAGTTTACTGTTGTAAGTGACCCGTCTGAAAAGAGAACCACGCTGATGATAATGCAGACAGCATATACGAAAGAACACCCCTCACAGCCCCAAACTTGGCTATGTGTCCAGTGCTCCTATGCCCTCGCCATCGATCCCTTTGCGAAACCCAAAAAGGCTGCTGCCAAGAAAGCCCCCAAGAAGGACAGAGCCAAGATCATTCACTATGAGCAGAAGAAGGGCGTAAAGCCCCTAGGGGATATGTGCATCGGCTTGATCGGTAAATATATCGAAGATGTGGAGCAATTGGGGGATATTGGCGGGATCAACATGGATAAAGTCTGCAGGATCATTTGTAAAGGGAGGAGGCTGTGAGTTGGTTCATTCGTAGCAGCCAGTGCCACTGACACTTTGCAGAACACCTGAAACCGCCCCGCTGTTCTATACTGTGGATAGGACATCGCTGGATATGTTTGACTGTACTCGTGAGCCCAGTTATAATTCTACGAGACCCACGCTCATGCCAAGCAGGACTCGATCCACCCGCCTACCTAGCCCTAGCTAACCTCAACCCCAACCTCACCTCTCTACGCCTTGATCTGGTCGGCCAACTTTCCACCGACGCCGTCTCCCACTGGGCCAAGACCTTGACCAAGCTCACCCGTCTCGAGCTGCTTGGCCCTTTCCTCGTGAGGAAGCCAGCTTGGCTTGAGCTTTTCAGAGCTCTGGGTGAACAGCTTGAAGGGTTTTTGATCACGCAATCGCCGAGAATCGATGCCGAGACCGTCAAGGAGTTGGTGGAGCGATGTCCAAATCTGACAGAGATCAGATTGAAAGAAGTCATACTGGATAATGATATACTCGCCGAGCTGGCAAAGCTCAAAAAGCTGCGGTCGCTCGATCTCTCTTCGCCAGCGGGCTCGCTCACCGACGAACCCGTCATCGAGCTCATCCAAGCAGTCGGCGGCGGCCTGGAGACGCTAGATCTCACAGACAACGCAGAGCTCACAAATGACATTCTTCCCATCATTGCCGAGCATTGCCCTCAGCTGAAGAATCTACACCTGCGGAACGTTACCGAGCTGTCCAACGAGGCCATCGCGGCGTTCTTCAAATCGCTCAAGCAAAAGCAGCGCCCGGGACTAGAAGTCATCGACTTGGAGAAAGGGCATGAATGCGAGGATCTCGCCTTGAGAGAGCTCATTGCGCACTCGGGGGAGAGCGTGCAGTGGCTCAGTATCTTGGGATGGAGGCAGCTGTCGATCGAGTCGCTGCAGAGCTTGACACAGTGCAAGCATGCCAAGTATATCGACGTCGGATGGTGTAGGCAGGTCAACAATTTCTTGATTAAGGATTTGCTGGACGGGTGCCCTGCGCTCGAGCAGCTGCGAGTATGGGGTCAGTCTGATTCTTATTCACATTCGGCGTGGCTGACGCGAACTACAGGCTGCAACAATCTCTCTTCCGGGGTGCCGAGAAGGCAGGGGGTGAAAGTGATTGGCATTGAGACGCACTCTATCTGATACAATGTACTGTTCCATGTATACCCGGCCATTTCCGTTGTCTTCCATGCACCTGTACATGCTGTAGAGACGGGTGCCACAGCTGATACAGCTCATTTCGGCAAGTATCGCCGAAACGGCCGAGTGGCAGAGGCGGCGATGACCGCTCGAATGTGCTGGATTCTTTTTTCCATTGCCGCTTGGCCTTGTGACGATTTCTTTTTGCTTTTCGATTCAGTTTCCCATCTACCGCCATGCTTTCCCTCTCCAGATCACTCAGGTCGTCCCAGGCTCCCCTCAGGTCCTTCGCCGTGAGTCCCGTCGCACGCTTGTCCCGCGCCTCTGGCTGACGCTTTGCCACAGAGGTCCACTCCCCTCCTCGCCAACAAGCGATTCAACTCTGGCAAGGTCTCTGGCCCCGTCATTGGGTGAGTGGCAAGCGTCCTATACGGACATGGTGGAAGCTAACCGAATACAGTATCGATCTTGGTACAACCAACTCTTGTGTCTCGTGAGTTTGATTGATTCATCGTTTTGGGTATAGTTGCTGACTTGGCCGATCAGTATCTTTGAAGGTGGTGCCCCCAAGGTCCTTGAGAACGCTGAAGGTGCCCGAACAACACCCTCTGTTGTCGCTTTCACCAAGGGTGAGTGAACAGTCCGATCTCGGCGATCGAGGGGTACGCAGGCGAGGGAAAAAGAGACGAACTGACGGTCATGACTAGACGGTGAGCGACTTGTGGGTCAACCCGCCAGGCGACAGGCTGTTGTGAACGGTGAAAACACCATCTTTGCCTCCAAGCGGTATGTCGTCATCCATCTCGATCTTATTTTCGCTCATCCGATGCCAGATTGATCGGTCGAAAGTTCAAGGACGCCGAGGTGCAAAATGACATTGCCAACGTTCCCTTCAAGATCGTTGCCCACACCAACGGTGATGCCTGGGTTGAGGCTCGAGGAGAAAAGTACTCTCCTTCCCAGATCGGTGCTTTCGTCGTCAACAAGATGAAGGACACTGCTTCTGCCTACCTCGGCAAGCCCGTCAAGCACGCCGGTAAGCCTATCATGTTTAGGTAGAGATCGCTTCTGACTCTTCCCAGTTATCACCGTCCCCGCCTACTTTAACGACTCTCAGCGACAGGCTACCAAGGACGCTGGTTCCATCGCCGGTCTTGAGGTCCTCCGAGTCATCAACGAGCCTACTGCTGCCGCCCTTGCCTACGGTCTCGACAAGAACGACTCTGCCGTCATTGCCGTCTACGACTTGGGAGGTGGCACCTTCGATATCTCCATCCTCGAGATGCAGAAGGGTGTCTTTGAGGTCAAGTCTACCAACGGTGACACTCACCTCGGTGGTGAAGACTTTGACATTGCCATCGTCAACTACATCTTGGCCGAGTTCAAGAAGGAGACTGGTATCGATGTCTCTAGCGACCGAATGGCCATCCAGCGAATCAGGGAGGCCGCCGAGAAGGCCAAGTGTGAATTGTCTTCTGCCGGTTCCACCGACGTCTCCCTCCCCTACATCACCGCCACCGCCGAGGGCCCCCAGCACATCAACCTCAACATCACCCGAGCCAAGCTCGAGACTATCGTTAAGCCTCTCGTTGACCGAACTGTCGACCCTTGTAAGAAGGCCCTCAGTGACGCCGGTGTTAAGGCTTCCGAGATCAACGATGTCATCCTTGTTGGTGGTATGAGCCGAATGCCCAAGGTCGTCGAGACTGTCAAGTCTGTCTTTGGCCGAGAGCCCAGCAAGGGTGTTAACCCCGACGAGGCCGTCTCCATCGGTGCTTCTATCCAGGCTGGTGTCCTTGCCGGTAACGTTACCGACATTCTCCTCCTCGATGTTACCCCTCTCTCTCTCGGTATCGAGACCCTCGGTGGTGTCTTTACCCGTCTGATCAACCGAAACACCACTATCCCCACCAAGAAGTCCCAGACTTTCTCTACCGCTGCCGACGGCCAGACCGCCATCCAGGTCAAGGTCTACCAGGGTGAGCGAGAGTTGGTCCGAGACAACAAGTTGCTCGGTGACTTCCAGCTCACTGGTCTCCCTCCCGCGCCCAAGGGTGTCCCCCAGATCACCATCATCTTTGACATTGACGCCGATGGTATCGTCAACGTCTCTGCCATGGACAAGGCTACCAACCGAGAGCAGTCTATGACCATCGCTTCCTCTTCTGGTCTTTCCGACAACGAGATCGAGCAGATGGTTGCCGACTCTGAGAAGCACGCCGAGGCTGACAAGGCCCGACGACTCGTCATCGAGGAGGCCAACAAGGGCGAGAGCTTTGTCGTTGACACTGAAAAGTCTATGGCCGAGTTTGAGTCTCAGCTCGACAATGCCGAGAGGGAGAAGGTCAAGAAGCTCCTCGGCGAGCTTAGAGAGATCGCTGCCAAGGGTGCCGCCGGTGACGCTACCGTCAAGGCCGACGACATCCGACAGGCCCTTGACGCCGCCCAGCAGGCTTCTCTCGGTCTTTTCCAGAAGGTGAGTTTTGTACGATAATGTGCAATGGTTCTTGCTGACAAGTGTTGCAGGTCTACGAGAAGCGAAACGCTGAGGGTGCCAACCAGAACACCGAGTCTTCCGAGTCCTCCGAGTCTACCGAGGGCGAGAAGAAGCAATAAGCTTCTCTCCACTCTCACCCCTCCCCACCATTCTTTCAATACGCATCCCCAATTGTACATTCTCACTTCCCTCCACAAAAAACCATGGCCGCGCTGTAGGCGTCGAGAAGCAGGCATGGCATGATGGGATTCATAAAAGGGATTGCCGGCGAGCAGTCTTCTACCATAGCGTCAGGATTTTAGAGCAGAAGCAGTGGATCAATTAGCATATTCTTTGTATCACGATGAATCTCATCACCTCTCCGAGCTGGCCCAGGGTGCATATCTCGAACAATCACCAATAGTTGCACGCTGAGCGCTACGCAAACGAACGGCGGGATAAGTAAGAATGGGCGGTGGCTACCGCGGGGCAATTTCCAACGGCCGCGTCGCCATACTCGTACTCGTACAAATCTCGAAAAGTATCAATCAGTCACTGCCCACGCCGCCATGCCCCGCCTGCCGCTCCCCCTCGCTGCCCCCCGCCTCAGGTTCGCTGCCCGCTCCTTCGCCACCGTCGACGCAGCCTCCAGCACACCAGCCCCGCCCCCCAGGCGCAAGTTTCCCAAGCTCGACGACGACCTCTCCTTCGACGACTTTTTGTCGGGCGATATCCCCACCGAGAACGAGCGTGTCGTCCTGGGAAACACAAAACAGTGAGCTCGTCCGTCAGCCAACGAGCCACCACTGACATATCGAACAGGCCCCGGCTGCCCTCTTTCCTCAAGCACCCCATTCCCACAGGCGCATCTTATAGCGGTATCAAGAAAGATCTCCGAGGTCTTGGACTGCATACTGTCTGCGAAGAGGCCAAATGCCCCAACATCGGTGAATGCTGGGGCGGTGGAAAGGGTGCCGCGACAGCGACCATCATGGTGAGCAATCGCCCCGACGGGGATTGGGGCGCGATCTGATCTCGGCATTCGCCACTATAGTTGATGGGTGATACCTGTACTCGAGGATGTCGATTCTGCTCCATCAAGACTTCGAAAGCACCTTCGCCACTGGATGTGCATGAGCCCGAGAACACTGCCGAGGCCATCAGCCGATGGGGTCTTGGTTACATTGTGCTGACAAGTGTCGATCGTGACGGTGAGTCTATCCATGTCTGATTGGAAATTAGCTGAATGTCTTGCCAGACTTGATCGATGGTGGTGCCGCCCATATCGCGTCCACGATCTCCAAAATCAAACAAAAAGCTCCCAGCATCCTTGTTGAAGCCCTTACCCCCGATTTCGCCTCAAAAGGCGTCGACACCATCCACACCGTGGCGTCCTCTGGTCTCGACGTCTTTGCTCACAACATTGAGACGGTCGAAAGATGTACGCCGTTTGTCAGAGATAGGAGAGCAGGCTTCGAGCAGAGTCTGAGAGTGCTGGAGGAGGCAAAGAAGGGAGCGAAGGCGGCCGGGAAAGAGATCTTGACGAAATCCAGTATCATGATGGGTGTGGGAGAGAGGGAGGAGGAGCTTCACGAGGCTTTGAGACGCATGTCTTCTTCCATTCCATCTGTGACTGTAGCTGACGAAGCGCAGGGCTGCGTCAATCTGATGTGGACGTTGTCACTTTCGGCCAATACATGCGTCCCACAAAACGACACATGAAGGTCGACCGATATGTCGAGCCTGAAGAGTTTGCCAAGTGGAAAGAGGTCGCCGAGAAGATGGGCTTTTTGTATGTCGCGGCCGGACCGCTTGTGAGGTCGAGTTACAAGGCCGGAGAGTTCTTCATCGAGAATGTGCTCAAGAAGCGACGTGAGGCTGCTGCCGAGAAGGCCACTGCCCAGTTGTCTGCTTCTTCCGCTGCTTCTTCAGAGGTCGCCGCCGAGATCTAGACATTGTATCATCATGCATGACCTCGTACTGTACACTTGATCATCTATTCCAGTTGCCACCCAAATCAGCTCCACCTGGGCTGCCCCCCTTCACCCAGCTCGTCGCCCTCGACATCATCCCCGGGGCGCCGCCAAAGTAGCCGGAGGACTCTCGGTGGACAAGCGCGGGAGAAGGGGTGTGGGTGGTGGCAGACCGGATGAATTCCTTTTCACCGACGATCTTGCGAGCTACTTCACGCTGAGCGCGGTTGAAGACTCGCAGACCGAAAGCCGCAACCGTCCAAACACCACCGACAACACCCATGAGACGGATCAAGAACTGATACAACGTCGTCGTCCTTTCCCTAATGATGATCGACATTGGCTCTAGATCGTACTTGAAGAACAATCCCGGCACGCCCCTCCCATGCTCAAAGGAGCGAGAGTAGTCGGTGACTGCGTATTGGGAGGTGACAAGCTTGCGACGAGAAGAGTCAATGTAGGTCGAGGGGACGACACGGAGAAAGTATTGGAATATTGTGAAGGCTGCGATGCGTCAGCTAAGTTTCAGGTAAGAGAGGGGTAGACGTACGCTGATCGGCAATCTCGTACGTCTTGTCAAGGGGTTGCGAGATGGCAGGGAAGAACGGTCCAAAGGAAAACTCGTGCACGATATGAGACAAGTTCATCACTGCCACATGTCAGCTCGCTTTCGTTCACGTGTGCTCAGCTTACAGTTGTGGTCCGTATGCTCAAAGCTCATATACCCATGACCCAACGTCGTGATGTGCAGGTTCGCCGTCACCTTCTTGACCTCTACACTTCCATAGACCCTACACGCTGGTCCATCCGCCACCTTGTCGTATGTAGGTCGGTAGGCGGAGGCGGTCTTGCGGTCTGGCGAGGACGAGAAGAATCGGGAGATACCGGAGAAGAAGGACTTCTGGTTGGGAGTGTGGCGGCGGGAGGAGGAGATGACTTCAGAGGCGGAAGGGGACAAAGGAGAGGCCGCGTTTCTTGTGATATGTCAGTGATGTTCACACCTTATGAAGGTTGCCTACTTGATGGAATGGGCTTTCCCAATGTTGAAGTTGGTCTATCATACGTCAGCTATGCACCAGAAGTTGAATTGTATACGCACCCCGTCCTTCACAAAGGAATTGCTAAGGTGTAATCTATCTCCAACAGCATCTCTCAAGTCTATCGTGAGGTCTACATCCTGATCAGCTTCTGCACATAACAATTATAGGATATCGCTCTTACAATGGCATGGCATAGCAACAGTCATGTCCACGTTCAGCTGAAGATCTTTCTGCAGATCGTCGTCCACCGCAAAAGCATAGTCTGGATTTCCGTAGAGGTACTCTCCCAAGTCGTTCAAAACGAGGAGGAATATCAAGAACCCCATGACCGCTGTCAACACCCCTCCCCTTCTTGACTTTATCGTATACGTCTCTTCGACCTATACCCGCCTATAGTCAGCTCTGCACTCGTGTAAAGTCAAGGTGAAATGGCGCACCTTTGGAAAGGCGTCAAAGCTCTGTATAGGGGCGATCTTGTCCAGCTCATCGAGCAGCGACATGCCCTCGTTCTCATGGGTACCGTAGTGGTTCGTCGGGTTGACGAGGTGGGGTTCGTACATGGCGGGAAGCGGGCCACTGTTTTAAAGATTTCAGGATTGAACTGGGTCGTGCTGGCGTTGCTTTCATGCGCGTTCAAAGCCGCCGGCTGCGAGGCGGAGGGTGCCGCCATACTGTGCGTCTCAAGTTGAACTCTCAGCTGCTCTCAGCGATGCATGCTACCTATGTTATCTCCCAGTAGACTCCAAAGGGAATATCATGTGCATACCGCTGACTGAAACACCCAACATGTCCTTCTGATCACCTCTGGCTGCACAGATATTCATCCAACACGACTGCTTCTCTTTACTACTCTACTTCACAAGCTCCTCAGTGAGCCAGCTTGTAATACAACCATCCGTTCTCTATGGATCTAAAACCCGCATATCGATCGTTACTAGATTCAGATTGTCTACAACAAATATCAGTACGTCCTTTTCGATCTCCAGACATGCAGACACACAACCAATGTAATCGTGTAGCCACAAGTTCTTCGGGGTTGTCGGTCCCACATAGCGACTGCAGACGATCAGCAGGCCATCCATGCCTACCGGAGATCTGCAGCTGGGTCACTCACAACATCACTGTAACCAAGGATCAGCTCGTGTTGACACTACACATTCACAGCGTGACTGACCGTTTTCCATGATCTTGCCATTGGGCTGGTCGTGGTCAGTCTGCCTTTGGCATGGGGATGTGTCAACTTACGAGGTGTAGGTTATAGTACTGTGAGAGGTGGTGAGCGTGGGTCATATACAATGTCCAAGATGAAGTACCTTGAGGTTACTACCGTGAGCCAGATTAGCCGGCGTTCCGAGAGATGCGCGAGAAGACTCACTCTATCGGTGCCCATCTCGCAGCGACAAACATGTGCAGCGTCTTTTCATTCCGTCCCGTCTCTGGGAACCACCATGCTGACCTACTGTTAGAATGTAAGGATGACGAGAAGACTACTCACAGTCTCGATACCAGTAACACTCTGAATGTCTCGAGTAGTGTAGCAGGAACGCGTGAAAGTAGACGTCCCATCGTTCGTCCAGTCTGCCATCTCACTCAGCACCACTTTGTCGGATGCGATTTACCACTTACACCTCGATCTCACCGTCATCTATCTCCTCTCTTGCAACGGGACCGCCACTGGGCCCGGCGACAGCATTTCTCCCTCTCGACCCCCTGCGCGCGGGTGGGGGCGCCGTCGCGGCCTTCTCCTTGCCCTTGCGCGTGGTTGTGCTGGGGTGTGTCGGCTTGGCCTTGCTGGGGTACTTTTTCCTGTTCATGGTGGCGGCGGGAGATGTCAAGAGATGAAAGAGAAAGAGAGTGAGACACGATTTCAGGGGCTCTTTGTTGGGAAAACGCACAGACTCTGTGATTGTCAGCGCACACACTTCCTGATCGCTCCCCGCCGCCGCCGTCTTTGGGCTGCACATGCAGCAGACGGGTCCCTCAACTGTAAATCACGGAAGCTATGCACTCGCAACTCACAGAATCAGGGGCAGCCTGGGATGTGTAGCCAGCGAGCAGCCCGGCGCTGGCCCCGCGGTCTTGCCCGTAGGTGTGGTACGGCGGCACGGGGCTCTGCGGCTCCTCTGGCCCCTCTGGCTCGCTGGGAGAGCCTCGCTGGTGTCTAGACAAGATGCATTTCCCGAAGAGTCAGCATCAACTCTCTAGGTTTCGGCGATTGCTGTCACCAAGTTGAAAGACGTCGCAAGATGAAGAAGGATGATCGGCTTCGTTGAAAGAGAAGACTGCCACACGAGAACACGACAACTCACCTGCGTGATGATTTGCCAAACCACTTGGACATGCTCTAAGCACTCGGCTCATAGAAAATGGAAACAGTAAACATCCCATGCTACACCGCTTGACCTTATATTATGCAACGAGCGGCAAAACGACCCTTACGAACTCTCTGGTCTGCCCTCCCCCGTCACCATCGGCTGAGCTTGTCCCCCCAACATCGCCTGAGTCCTGAGAGATCTGCGGAGAGCCCCTGGCTGACACGACGAGACGCGTGAGACGCCTCGATTTCTTTACACCTCTTTAAAGCCGCAATGGAAGTGCAGGCACTGGAGGTCGACCCCGGGAGAAAGTTAGGCACCCATCCCTTCCTATCCTTTCCGCCCCGCGGAGGCAAATCTGTGCGCATCCTTTCCGCGCGCCACCATCAAAAAGGGCCCATCACGCAAGCCACATGGGCCACTCCAGTCCATCTTCGTCGTGCTGGCTGTTGCTCAGGCGCGATATGGCACACCAGCCAATCCTAGAAGCAGGGCAAAGCATGTGCGCCAGTTCAGATGTCAGCGTCATCGAGCTGCGTGATACGGTTAGAGTATAACGCTAACGAGTGGCAGCGTCCCAAGAAGAAGAGGATGAAGAAGCATCTGTGGTCAACGACACCATTATTGTTATTGTTCGACCATCATATAGATGTCGAGATCTTGCCTCTGATCACTTGATTTCGTGATATGACGTTGCGGTACGTTGCGGTGATGTTGACTCTGGTCATCAGGGGTATAAGACCTATAAACATCATCAGTCAGTTTCCCGGGTGATGAGCTGTGTACAGACTGGACACGAGCACTGCTGTTGGACACGAGTAATCATAGATCCACTGAAGCAAAGTGTACTGGGAATCACAAAAGGCACTCACCAGGGTGGTCCAGATCCCAGACCGCCATCAATCTTTGACTCTTCCACCCTCTCCCTTTAGCTTGCAGTCGAAGGCATGGAAGTCTGGGACCTGTGATCACTGTGAAGATGGCTGTTGCTACCCAGTGCTACGGAGATACGGCCTCGGCCATAACCATAGCAAGAAAGATGTGCATCAAGGTCCGGTACCGAGAACCCCCCTGAAGTGTAAGAACTGTCTCGTGTTCAGCTTCTCAAGGATGGGGGGCCTCACTAGTAGCAGAAGAGAAAGTGCCTTGATACCTGCGCCACTCTTATCCAAAAGCTTACCGCCTCCACTCGCCGAGCTTGTCATGACTCCCCATACCGTATGGTATGATTTGACAATGACTCGAGAGGGGGAACAGCGTGGGGCAGATGGTAGGGTGCAGGTGGGTTGTTATGATGCTCTGATATACGCCCCATACGCTCGTGGATCTTGCGTGCGGGGGGCACCTTGTACGAGCGGGAGTCTATGGGAAAGAGGAATCAAGAATCAGCCTAGGCCTGGGACGACGGACCACGCGCCGCAGTAAAGAGGGGACTGGATAAAACAGCTGCCCGTCGGCGTGCATTACGTACACAGCAGCGTGCTACTACCACGAACAACGCAACCAAAAGAGGTGGATAAAGCAAGTTGCATGGGTTGTATGAGTGAGAGGAGCATGCTTCTGGCACCCACTTGACTACAACAGATATGCGCCCAAGCCTGTCTATTATTGCCATACTCCTCGCCCACGCCACCGCCCAAACAGTCTCCTCTCCACCGGTTGCTGCCCGAACCATTCTCGACAGCTCGACACTTGTCGAGGAACAGGTATGCTGGGCCGAGCATGACCCTTGGAAAGATCTAAAGGGTGGGGATGAGTGTTGTCCGTCCCTCCCTTCTGACGCCATGTCGTCTCTGTCGACCGGTGATGTCGCATCGACACCGTCTGAGACGCAAACCTCGTCGGAGGGGGATATCGGAACGCCGAATACACAGCCCACGCCCTCCCCTGAGGGAGAAGAACCGTTTGTAAGCTTTGAAGAGTGGAAAAAGATGAAGATGGCGGAGGAAGACGCCGAAGACAAGACGACACCGCTCCCGGCCCCTGATCAAGCTACACAGGTGGACACCTCTCAGTCTCCCACAGATCCTGTCTCGTCATCTGGCGCAACGTCAGAGAAGACAGACAGCTCGTCAGTAAAGCATTCAGATGCTTCTTCAAAATCACCCGTACCTTCGGCGGGCGTAAAGTCACAAACTTTCTCTTCCAGCTCCCAGAGCTCGTCCCACCAACCATCGGCCACGCCCTTAACGCATCACCACAACAAATACAACTATGCTTCGCCAGATTGTTCAGCTCGTATCCACTCTGCATCCCCACACACTCAGCACCCTTCCTCACTACTTCACAAATCCCGTGATCGCTACATGCTCACACCGTGTCGAGCCAACGAACACTGGGTAGTCGTGGAGCTTTGTGACGAGATCAGGATTGAAGCTGTCGAAATCGCTGTCTGGGAGTTCTTCAGTGGGGTGGTGAGAGAGGTCAGAATCAGTGTCGGTGGGGAGGATGAAGAGGAAGATGAGGATGATCCCAATGATGATGTGCAAGGAAGAGGTCAAAAGTGGAAAGAGGTTGGATCGTTTGTGGGACGAAACGTTCGAGGCTCGCAGGTACGTTCTCACTTGATCATAGCTGCACTGCTGACTTGTTCCTCCAGACATTCAAGCTCTCATCCCCTACCTCATTCCATCGTTTCATCCGACTCGATTTCCCATCATACTATGGCAGCGAATACTACTGTCCCGTCTCGGCGCTCAAGGTCTACGGGATGAACCAGATGGAAGCTTTCAAGTGGGAGCAGAAGCAATTCAGCGCTATAGCGAAGGAGAAGGACCGAAATGGTTATAAAGAAAAGGAGAAGGAGCAAGAAGAGCGGAGGGCGAGAGAGAGGCAAGAGAAGGAGAAGAAAGAAGTGGAAGAGAGGGATAGGCAACAGCAGAGGGAGAAGGAGCTGGATGCGTTGGAGAAGCTGCTGCATGAGCAGGCTGGGCGGCTGAATTCAGATACCATGACAGATTCTGGAATCTTTCCTACCGTCGTGGAAGAGAAGCCTTCCAGCCCTTCGGCCCCTGAGACTGCCGTCCCCGTTTCATCTGATCCCAAGGCCATAGAGAACGAGACAGACACTCGCTCCGACAGTTTGTTGCCAAGTGTATCGTCAAGTGTATCAAAATCACAAGAATCATCCGAGTCTTCGTCTACTACGCCTGGCGAGACATCTTCCGTCACTCCCTCATCCAAACCATCAGACTCGCCGACTACCCCACCGTCCTCAACAACCAGCACATACACCCGTTCCCCTCCCCCTCCCCCTCGTTCCGACTCGTCCGAATCCATCTACGCTTTCATCATCCGCCGGCTCAACGCCCTCGAAGGCAACTCGTCCCTTGTTGCGAGATATATTGAAGAACAAGCCAAAGTGATGCGGTCTATGTTGAAGAGGGTAGAGACCGGGTGGGATGAGTGGAAAGGGGACTGGGAGGGTGATGATAGGTGGAGGTGGCAGCAAGAGGTATGTGATGTCATCGTACGGGCTGGTACTCGTATCTGACCTGACATAGCGTATGAGGCAGGAGGACAGATTGGGCAAGGTCATGTCTCAACTCGAGCAGCAGAGGGCTGCTTTTGAAAATGAACGCCAAGCCATACAGACACAACTCAGAGTCTTGGCTGATGAGGTACGTGGTCATGGTTTCCGTTGGACGAAGCTTACGTCTAATATAGCTGAGCTATGAGCGTCGCAGGGGCATCGCCCAGCTCATAGTCATGATCACTGCTATCGCTCTTGGTGTGGCCTCTCAAAGCCGTACCATCGACGCGTTTATCAGCCCTCTCCTCACCGAAGCCCGCCGTCGAAAGAACATATACGACCGAAAAAGCATATCTGGCCCTCTGACGGGTCTTCGGATTGATATGGGTGCTGGACGACCCCCTGCTATCATCGGTCAGCCGCGGCCCCGCGCTCCCTCAGACTCTGCACTAGGAAGATCTCCTGCTTCTCCCACTCCCACACCCAAGGTCAGAGGTCTTTCCCGGCACGGGTCCAGCTCCAATTCCAACCGCCGCCCGACCACGCCAGGCAAGAAACGCGCCCCACAATTGGTCACACCAGCCTTCCGCTCAGTTTCTGATGCGCGTTACGACTTTGCCTCGCCCATTGCTTCTGTACCCAATACAGCTTTGGATGTGGCTGCCAGTTTGGTATCGCCGAGACCCAGAGTAAGCTTTCCGGGCAACCCGAGGGCGCCGCCAAGAAAGCTTGCTAGGAGCTCACATCTGCATACAATAGAGGCTGATCGAGTGCGGGGACAAGTGCAGAGTAGTGGATATGATGTGGACGGTGGCAGTCCATTGGAAGTTGTAAAGAGGCGAAGGCCGAGGTCCTCTCTGGCCAACGGAAGTATCATCACTGGAAGCCCGGTGTTCCATCGTGGGCACGACGAGAATGGGGCAGTGTCAGATAGAACAGTGGAAGATAGTCAAGGGGAATGGGGAACAGAGACCGATTTCGAGACCGAAGCGTCGGCTTCAGAGATTGATAGTGAAATGGACAGGGGGGCGGAAGGGGAGCCAGGCAAATCCCAGACACCGCCGAGCTATCCTGGGGTGTTTTTGGAAAAGGAGGCAGAGGTGAGATCGAGAGATTGAAATGATCCTTTGGGATATTGCAGTAGAACAGTCAAATCATTGTAGCTCAAAGCATGTAATTTGCAGAACACATCGGTGGCTCCAGAGCCCAAGACTACATCTTATACATACAATCAAGCAGTCTTACAGTCTATAGATATCTCCACTATCATCCGCACTTGCCACCTTCAGTACGATATACCTGTAGAGTGCGGTTGATACAGCAGCGAGAAGGAACAATATATCAAACAATCTACCAAACACTCTAAAGTCTGGTAGTGTTGCTAGAAGGGAGTCGCCTCGGGTATCGGCTGGAGCAGCTGGGAAGGGGTCTATCTGAGTGCCGTTGGGATACATTAAAGGATCAGCCTCGGGCAGAGTTGGAGGGAGGGAGGTGCGAAGTTGTATGAGGAGGGAAATGACATATGTTGACTGCAAATCGGTTAGCTGGGTACCAATTGGACTCCCAGGCCACTCACAAACAACTGTCCCAGGCTAAGCACCAGGAACCCTGCCCCAACAGTCTTACTCGTCAACCTCAAAATCTTACTCAAACTCCTCAAAATCTGTGCCAAACTCGACAAGATCAATATTCCCGTCAGGACAAGAGATATCCCACGACTCCAAGTCGGGACATCGATATCGGCGAAGCCTTTGGGAAGCTTGCTGATGGCAAGGGCAAGAAAGAAGGAGATCCAGTCACCATTAGTGTTGCCCTTGCCTTCTGTAGGGATTTCGCCAGAATCCTGTTCGGCTGTGCGAGGGGCGTAGAAGAGCGAAGGCAAGCACTGGCAGTCGTTAGCGGTTGAAGCAGATACACGATCGTATGGCTCACCATCAACAGTCGGGCAGCACAGTAGACGGCAAAGACGTATCCGACCAGATTGTACACCTGGCCTCTGTAGGTGTGCCCGAAATCTTGCCGTCTCTGGCAATGAAGTCAGCACAGTCATCGACATCTCTTTCGTCTTACCTTTCGGACTTTCATGGCTTTGAGTGATCTCGCGACTTGGGACTCCATGGCCGCCAACCCTCCCAGTTCGGCCTGAAGAGAGGCCACTTATTCAATGTCAGATGTTTCATAGTAATCGCGGTATATGAACTCACCCTGCCCATTCTCACCGCCGAACATCCTTCCCATCCATCCCCCAGAGCTGCCACTGACAGGCGCATATCTCTCCACCTCTTCTTTCTTGCTGATCAGATCTTGCCTCACTCTGTACAATGATCGCTCCGCTTGAAGGAGATCATTGTCTGTCAAGCTCTTACCCCCAGCTCGGTGATGCTCGAAGAAATTCCAGGCAGTACGCACAGCACCAAATCCGGAAAGGCCACCGAGGACGACAATGCCCAGCACCACTACTCGACCCAAGCTAGGAGCTAGCCAGCCGCCCTGTTCCCAGCCCTCTGGACCAGAGGTGGACCATTGCACGATGGCTTCGTCCAGTGTAGCAGCCGTGGCCGAAGGATCATCCACATCTAAGGAGGGCTCGGATTGGGAAAGAACGAGAGGGACGGCGGTGATGTACGGAGGTATGCGGGTGAACAGGAAGATATAGAGAGAAAAGGGGATCAGGGAAATGATGAGATGAGTGGTAAAAGAGATTGAGGTTGATCGGGAAGGAGAGGTTGAAGCTGTGCTGGACTCTGCAAATGTGTGAGTGGTTCAGTGCGCCATGCCTCAACCTCACTAACCTTTTGTTCGGTAAGTCAGAAGGAGACATTGGACCAGGGGTATCACAACGAGCACGATGGCAAGGATAACGTGCAGAGATACTGAAAAGTTGACCTGCCGAGACCTTGAATCTTGTCAACGAGTTTCCGGTCACTTTGGCTTTGAGACTTACTTGGAATGCAGAAGGCCCAAAGAATGAAAGAGGACCAAGCTGATCAACGTACAGCTTTCTGCAAAGCAAACAGAGAACAGAATCCTCGACATCCGATGCAAACCCTTGGTTGTCTTCTTCAGACTTTTGGTCCCCTTGTCGTGACTTCTTCCGTGACTCAATTGCAGGACCTTCTTGCTCACTCCTGAGCTAGCATCCTTCAACTTCTGTCCGATGAGGTGTAGTTCAATGTTGTCCCCTGTCTGGTTGGGCAGATTGGGGAGGCTGCTGGACGAAGACGGGTAGTCATCGCGTCTCGATTCGCGAGATGAGGATGCGAGTGTGGCCGTGAACGGTGCTGGGGAGGAGGGGTAGGATGATATGGGTGTGTTGTCATCCGTGTCCATGTAGTCCGAGTCTATCCCCAAAGGCGCTGCCCGTCGCGGGCGGTCGCCATCCTGAGGTATGGAGGCTGTGGCCGGTAGGATTGTCTCTGGCTGCGAGATGTCACGGAGAGTGGGGTTGATGGTGTAGGTGAGGAATTTGCGGGAAAGCAGAAAGTAGAGGAGGCGTAGGAGGAGGAGGAGGAAGGTGTCGAAGAGGATTGGCTGGTCCATTTTATGTCGAGAGCATTGCAGGTTGTAGAGACCAAGTCAGAATTCAACGATTCAAACGAATGTCCGCCGGAACGCGTCGCGGTGACTGCCGTGCCTAGCGAGAATATCACGATGTTTGTGGACTGCTCATTTATCGTGGAGGGGCTTTGTTGAGCCTAGCATCTATGCATGAGCGCTATCTACTGTATGACTATACAAAAATCAATATCAAGAGTTTTATGTACTGTTCTCGTCCAGCCCCCACCTTTTTACTGCTCTCCCAGACCCTTCCATTCTAGGACCTCCAGCCACTCTCCTACATCCGCCACCTTGCCCAGAAGATCCTTCGACCACTCCTGTAAGGCCTCTTGTGAAGGCTCATAATCATCTGGATGAACAAGCGCAAACATCTCTTCGGTGGAAGATACAGGGGGCGGAGTAAGACCAGAGGAGGCGCTGGATGCGTCGTCTTCTGCTGTGGCCTGGTTCCCGCGGGTGGGAGACGCAGGTACGGCAGCAAGAGATGACGCTTCAAGCTTGGAATTGATCGAGCTTCCCTTCCCTTTCCCCTTCTTGATCTCCTCCGTTTTCCGATCGAACTTCCACTTGAGCCACGTATGCAGCTCTTTCACCTCCTTGGCACGCCCAAAATGGGTCCACCGTCGAACAGAAGAAGGCAAGTTGTCCTCTTCACTCACACGACCTTCTATCGCGGAACCCCAGACGATAAGCCCAGTGCCCCACCCAACAGGAGGTCGAGTATCGTCGGTGACGGGGCGATGACTGAGAGCGTAGTAGATACGGCCATCGAGATCGGTACCAAGAGATTCGAAACGAAGGCAAGCGAGGTGCAGCTCGGAGCGAAGGTTGACGTTGGCTTGAGCGATGCGTAGCTTGTGCTGTTGAAACTCCTTGTTCGTCTAAACAATATGTCAGTAGAATTCGATTGGCCATCAACTGTCATTTACCCGTGTGGTGTTGGCCTTGGTCTCCCCAGCAGTTTTACATTTGATCCTTTCCTCGGATAGCTTCTTCTTGCGCTCCTCCCATGCATTGACCTCTTTCTTCGTGGTGTTTCCATGCTCTCGTCTGGCTTTTGTCTCGACGGTAAAATTCTCAATATTTCCCCTCATCTTTGGCGTTGTAAGCGCCCTTTCCGCCAAAGATAGCAACATCTTCACCACCTCCGCGGGCTCTGGTACTTTGGATGCGCCTCGCCGGGAAGGGGCCGCAAAGCCGGTAGTCCAGGCAGGGGCTGGGGAGTTCTCGTCCAGATCAAAGAGGTTCCGAAGACCAGCTTCATCATTTTGGGCACGGCGATCGATGGGGGCGACCGGAAGGCGAAGGTTCAGAGGTTCGGAAAGGAGATTGAATATGGCTGCAAATCGAACGAGGTCTGCGTAGTATCGGAGTTCTTCTCGAAAGTTGAAGAGATCTTCAAGAATCTATCGAAAGACTCAGTGGGTGTTCAGGCTCATGACCTTGAAAATGACTCACGTCCTCGTTGTCGTCGGATTTCTTTGCGTCATATTCATCTTTGATCATGTCGAGGAGCGCACCCGAAAACAGCCTGACATTGGCCTCGGTAATCGGTCTATCAAAGTCGTCCAGCGCAGGCAGCGAGCGATCGGGTATAGAAAGGACATATCTGAATCGCCATAACAGTTCCCGGAGCTAGAATCACATGAGCGATGGCTCATCAGAGGAGACATAAGACTGACCGCCATGCGCTGCTCCCCGTCATCGAAGCTCAATCGCGTAGCAATCTTCTCAAAGATTGGAGGTGTCGGCTCGACCTTGGGCTTCCTCTCTGCCTTGGGCTTTGGTTCTACCTTCTTCTTGGTAGCAGGTGGTACCTTCTTATCCTTTCCAGCCGCCGCCTTTTTTGTCTCTACCTTGCCGCCAGCTTGGGTCCCCTTCGCCGGTGCCTTCTGTTTGCTCGCCGAAGCTTTTAAGCCTTTCACCGGCTTCGGTTTGGCGACAGATTTCTCCGTGGGCGTACTGTCTGATTCTAATCCGGAGAGATCAGAGTCTCCGTCCAGAATGCCGTTCGCCTTGTTGGCGCTGGGTTTAGCGATGCCGTTTGCCGGCTTAACTCCTTTGGACCTATGAACACGAGTCAGAGACATACAGAGATGCTTCACGGATTCTCACGTTGACTTGCTCGCAGCTTTAGCTGTATTGATGACATTGTCAGCTCACCAACGCACATGTGTTGAATCATCGTGCCGACGCGACTTACGCTTTGCTGGCGCCTTGCTTTTCGAAGAAGCAGTACTCGCCCTAGGTTTCTTGGCCTTGGTCCCTTCTGATGGCTTGTCCTCCGGAGAAGCTTCCCTGGCGTGCTTCTTCCCGGCCACCTTGGCAGGTTTCTGGCTGCCGCGCTCGTCGGACGAAATCGAGCTAAGTGAGCTGCTGGCGCGAGCCCCGTAGGTGGTAGAAGATGGCTCTGTGGTCATCAAGTATCCAGTAATGTCTATACCCTAAGGACAAGACTTAATTCTCGATGAATTGGAAACCGGTGGAGGAAGGTGGAACATGAGATTGTTGATAGATTGGGACGCGTTCCGGCCATCGAGACGCGTCCTTGACGTCGGCACCCCCACTTAGAAGTAGTGGCGGACTGGCGATAGGTTGAGTGATCGTTTTATGTGGCAGACCTGTGTAGCCTAGATGCACCGAGATTCTTGCTTGAAACGACCGCACTTATCTGGGCCATTGAAGAAGAGCTGCCGAGCTGGCCAGGAGCTGGAAACAGGCACCAATCTCCGGGAGTCGCAGACTCATCAACCATTCAAAACATGCTTCCCAGGCCTTGTTTATCGACGCTTGTCAGGTTATTTGTCTCTTATTTCCTATCTCCTATCTTTATCCTGTTTTTTTTTTCAAAAAAAAAAAAAATCATGAAGAGGCTCACACATTGCAATCCATACAAAAGATATTCACAGTTATATATGACAAGCAGACAAAAAAGAGGTAGCAAAGATATACAATACTCGTGCGGTCAAAGACATATACAAAAGAGGTCAGATTGAGCATTTGGGGTACAACTCATATTGATAGGAATGTGATGGGAAATGATACAGACTAGAACATAACCAGTCTCTACTCCTCGGCGAGCTGCATGAGACCCGCAATGGTCCCGATACTGCCCAGCGCAGCGCCAAGTACTACAAGCCCCATAGCCTGCGCCACGTTCCTCCTCTTCGCGGGAGGTTGAACCACCTTGTTATCCTGCGCGATGGCAGTGTTCACCTCGATGACGGAAGATTCGCCAGGCGTCTCGGTAGGCACCTGGACAGACGCGAGACGCTTGAGCTGCAGCACAGGCACGAGGTCTTCGTCTTCCTCATCATCCTGGGGCAGGGAACGTTTCTGGCCGATGATGGGAGTGAGGATACGATCGGAAGCGGGACTGCTCGTGGAAGGGGTAGCAATTGGATCGCTGATAGCGGCGAGATCCGCGGCTGTTGTCCGAGGTCAGATGTGGGGTTGAATGATAGCGAGACTGCTTACCTGGCTGGAGGGTGTCGGGCGCGTCAACGTCAATAGCTTCAACATACTGGGTGGGACAAGGCGCGTCCTCGTCGTCCGACTCCTCCTCAGTCTCAGACTGCACATCTTTGTCGTCATTCCTAGCCTCAAATTCAGACTCTTGCTGCACGCTTTCATCTTCACCTTCACCTTCACCCTCATCTTCATCTTCATCCTCAGACTCGGCCTGGGAAGCCACTTCGGGATCTATCGACCGCTCATCAGTATGTGGCACAACAGGCCGAGACCACTACTCACCGGAACCAGCGTCCGCACCCCTCTCGGCAGCTCCTCGCATATATTCGGCAAGTTGCTGATCATCGAGACACTCCTCAGGGCCACGATAGATATCAGGCAAGCTTGTACCAAACCATTGAAGCTTGCTCTGCTTGGAGTTGAGTTTCTTGATATCCTTGCCGGTGATAGCTCTGAGCAAGTCGCGCTGCTTCTTGACCGCCTCATGTTTACTCGCATCAATCTCGCTCTCACCCTCACTCTCGCTCTCGCTACCGCTCTCACTCTCACCTTCACTCTCACTAGCGCTGGACTCTTTGTCGTCCACCGCGCTGTCCTCGGACTCGTAGCTCGTGTCGGACGGAGCATCGCTCACCAACCCTTCGTCTTGGTCATCCAAAACAGCAGAGAGGGGCTGTTCTTCGTCCCCCGTGGTGACCCCGCTTTCCTCTTCCCCTTCGCTGAGTACCTCGTCCCCACCGGTCGCGGCAAAGTCGGCATTGCTTTGAACCGGCGCTTGGTCCTGCTCGGAAGGCCAACCGGCAGACATTGCGTCGTCGAAAGCGTTCTGTCCCTTCGGCTCGTGCTGGGGTGCCACGGGTGCCTGTGCCGGCTCGACTACATCCCCAGACTCGGACTCGGAATCTTCAACAGAAAAGGCAGGAACAGACTTTGCCGGGAGGATCTCAGAAGCCAAGAAAGCAGCAAGGTCGGAAGCGCTGACCTTTGCAGACTGGTTGACCTCGGTGTCTTCGGCATACTTGTCTTGCTCAACGGCAGCGCGCTGTGCAGTGGCCTGGAATTCATAGTCGAAGACGTCTCCAGAGTCGATACCCTCAAGAGCATGACAATTGGCGAAGGGGGCTGGCGAAGACTGATAGTCATCAAAGAGAGACTTGCCCTGAAGGGAGCCGTCGCGTTTGCCACGCCCTTCAGCTTGGTTCAAGATGCTACTGAGGCTGAGAGGGGACTCCTTCGAGAGAGAAAGAGACTGGGCGTTGAGGTTTTTCTCGGGACCAGCGGCAGGGACAATACTGGGGGAGTATTCGGGGGAACTTTGGCGACATGTAAAACTCCTAATGACTTCCCTGACGCCCTGTACCTCTGGACTATCCTGCTCATTGTCGTCTTCGTCCTCGCTGGCAACGACGTCGCCCTCGAGAGACACATGTGCAGTACCGCGAGGATAGTCGTCATCGTCACCCTCGTCGTCAGAATAGAGGATGCTTTGAGATTTGGCGACACGTTGAAGCCCAATGTCCTCTTTGTTGGGGATGGCGACAATGTCGTCCCCGTCCTCATCGCTGAGGTTGGCAGCATTCTCATAACGAGCCTGAGAGATGGGCGCCTCGCTGGCATACCTCATCCAAGCGGGGATACCGTACTTGGAGCTCTTGTCGCCTTCAAGCATCTCGATATCGTCCTCGTCATCTGAATCGATGACGACTGGGGCATCATCGATCTTGCTGACGTTCTTTTCAAACAGAGGGATCTGGGAAAGAGCAAGAAACTTGCCAGTGCAATCTTCTGGAGTAAGTTTTCCAATTGACTTGCGAGTGCCCTTGTCGCTGCCTTTACCGAACACCGGTTGAGCAAAGACCACTTGAAGCTTGAAGGGCGTAAACTCCTTTCCGTCTGCATAGACGTCTTTGCCCAGTACGATAGTGTCGTTCTGGCACAGCTGGACAGGCGAGTAAGGGTCGAGCGAGACCAGCTCGCTAGATCCGGCAGAAAGGATTGACGTCCCGTGAAGGGACGAGAGGTCGGTGATGTAGACATGACCGTTGGTGGACACGGTGAGCTGCGCGTGAGCACGGGAAAGGATAGGCGAGATGAACACCTTTGGACACGGTCAGTAGTGAATCTCGCCATGCCTAAGAAGGAATCGTACTCCGCTCTCGCCATGCTCTTTGGTTTGGCTGCTCTTCCGCCCCAAGATGACGCCGCCGTGCACCAGACCCGCAGGCTTCGTGGGCTTGCCGTCTTTGGTAGGGATGTCTTTGGTATCAGTGCACGCGAGCTTGGCGATGCTAAACTCGCGCGGGGTGGTGGTGTTCGCGTTGGTGGACCTTAGCTGGAGAAACCACGCTGAGAAGGCGATTAGCTGTGGTTCGCGGGAAGCGGGATGGATAAAGGATATAAAGGATGGACAAAGGGATGGGTGGATGGGATGGGTGAGTACATGGTCAGATGGGTCTTGAGGGGAAAGAATAAGGCGGGCGTTCTGCAGCACGCGCAGGGCGAGATACGAAGCAGTATAGCTTACCATTGGGCGTGTTCTCATGGGAAGTCGGCGGGAGGGCCATGTCGGTGGCAAATGAGCGGAGACGCGCTCCTGGATGGATGTACGGGGGGGCTGTGCTATCTGGGCTGTGCTGGGGTACAGCAGTGTGTGGGTGGCGAATTGGGATACTGGCACAACGATGGAATGAGAGATGGACCACACTACTCAGCTGATGATTATCGACCCGCACACCAAGTCACGTGCTCAGTAGATAAGGGTTTACATAATGTCAAAGGTCTCTTTGGCTCTTTGCACGTTGCATGGCAGGAGAGATACTTGGAGAGACTGCTAGGACATCGGGAGAGCAGGAAGAGGGGCGGCCATGATGCTATAGAGTAGAGTTGAAAGACTGCAAGAGGGGATGAGCGCAGCTGGCCGAGTGGCCATCGCGCCTTGTCAGTCAGCCATTTGCCTGGTGGTACGCACAATCACCCGCGGCCACCTCCATCCTGCACCCCTCTCGTTGACCGTATCGCCCTGATCTGTTGATGCTTGTACAAAGAACCAAACATCAATACCATAAAAAAGCTCGATAGGCGCGCCACTTGCGGACATCTCGGCATTAGTAAAAGTGGCGCTCTTTTACACCAGTTGTCATTCGCTGCCTTGCCCACCGCTGTTTACGTGTCTCCCCTCCTCGCCCACACCCCAGCGCCATGTACGCCCTCAACAGGCTCGCCAAGAGCCAGCCAGCCCTCAAAAACGCCACCGGCCTCCTCAAGCGAAACGCTTCCACCACCTCTGCCGGCGGTGTCAATGTCATCGGTTTCGAGAACAAGGGGCCTGCTGCCACCTCCAGCTTGACCGTCGCCATCAAGGCCGGTTCCCGATACGAGTCCGTCCCCGGTGTCGCCCACGTGTTGAAGAGCTTTGCCTACAAGGTGGGTTGGAGGAAGAAATACGGAGCGATATGCAGGGAAAAAGGGACCAAGAGCTGATTCGTCGACAATTTCCTAGGCTACTGCCAATGCGTCTGCTTTGAGAACAGCGAGGGAGGCCGAGCTGTACGGTGGTGTCTTGTCCGCTTCCCTTACCAGGGAGCACCTTTTGCTCTCTGCCGAGTTTCTCAAGGGTGACGAGTGAGTGCGCGTCAGATTCATCTCGATCGCGAATAACTAAACCTGTCTCGCAGGGAACATTTCCTCGGTGTCCTTGCCTCTGTCCTCGGATCCTCCCAATTCTACCGACACGAGCTCAACGAGCTGGTCCTCCCCGTCGTTGAATCAGAATCCTTGACCGCCCAGGCTTCCCCAGTTGCCGTCGCCCTCGATCTCGCCCACACTGTCGCTTTCCGACGAGGTCTCGGTAACTCTCTTTACGCCAACAAGAACTACCCCGTATCCATCAACGACGTCAAGCAGTACGGTGAAGCTGCCTTTGCCAAGTCCAACCTCGCCGTTGTCGGCACTGGTATCTCCACCGAGGCTCTTGCCCAGGCCGTCAACAACTCTTTCGGCTCTGGCTCCAGCTCTGCTTCTCAGCTCGCTACCCCCGCCGCCCAATACTATGGTGGCGAGGCCCGAGTTCCCCTCGACATCCATGCCCCTGCCACCTCCGTCCCCACCCTCGTCATCGCCTTTGGCACCTCTTCCCCCGCTACCGCCGACCTCAAGGTCCTCAAGCACCTCCTCGGTGGTGAGGCTTCCGTCAAGTGGACGCCCGGTGCTTCTCCCCTCTCCAAGGCCGCCGAAAAGATCCCCGGGTCTTCCGCCAAGGCTTTCCTCCTCCCTTACTCTGACGCCGCTCTCTTTGGTGTTGTCGTTTCCGCCCCCACAAGTGCCCTTGTCAAGACTTTGGCTACCGACGTTGCCAGCATCGTCAAGAACGCTGGCGAGGCCAAGGAGGAGGAGGTGAAGAGGGCTGTGGCCAAGGCTACTTTCGAGGATGCCTCTAGCACCGAGTCCTTAGCTGGCCTCGTTGCCGCTGCTGGTCCCGCTGCTCTTTCCGGCTCTGCCCCTACTTTCGAGTCTTTCTCTGGTGTTTCTGCTTCTTCCGTTTCCAAGGTATGTCTTTGCGTTTTGGTAATGCTATTGCTGATGCTTGTCTCAGGCCGCTGCTCAGTTGCTCAAGTCTAAGCCTACTGTCGTTGGTGTCGGAAACATTGCCGTGCTTCCTTACGCGTGAGTCTTAGAAGTACCGATTTGCACAAATGCTGATATGGTTACAGCGATGAGCTCGGTCTCTAAGACTGAGGGGAATGAGGGTTAGAAAATCATAGTCATGGCATTTTAGATTGTATGAAGTGCATATGACTCGGGCTATCATTTTACATGGGTTTACAACATGATGTAGGGATATAATCACAAAGGGTATCACGTGGCGCCGTAGAATCTGACAGCGGCTTCTTCCACACTGTGGAATTGTCAGTCGGGCCACGAGAAGAAGGGTGGAGACTTGCCGTTGCTTGACCAACATCATGACACCTTGCTGCACTACACCCTTCACAAGCTGCCCCTCCAGTCCAATATAGAGGCCCTTGATACCTTCCTTCCCCACCCTGTCTTTGAGCACCTGCAATATCCCTCCCTCTTGCGCCTTTTCCTTCCCCTTTACAGATCCTGACTGGTCTAGCACCTTGACCAATACCAAAGGGTAGAGAGGAATCGTGGCTAGGGCATTGGACAGAGCGCCAAGGAAGAAGGTGATGTATCCTGGTGGATGGGCACGATGTCGCGCGGGCACGATCGCTTTCAATAGCACAGAGTGGATATACAAGGTCAACGAAGGCAAGAGAGTAAGAGGAATGGTGGGACCAAAGCCTCTGAATAGTCCCGCCAGCCCGTCATCGGCGTAGATCGTCTTTAGCGTGTCGAGCATGGAACGTGTGTCGGCCTCGCCAGACTCGTTCACTTGCTGCCGGACGCAGACCGTAGAGATGGGGAGTGTCACTCCTTTGGAAGTGATACCGGCGAGGATGCCGATGATGAGCTCTTCGAATGGCTTCGCTTTGTTGCTGGCTGTTGTATCGGAAGCTTTTCCTGATAGACCACCGGCAGGTGACGATCCGGCATGTTCAGCACGTCGAGCGCGGTATTGGCTCAGCGCTTTCTGAAGAGTGGTGTAGGCAAAGAAGTAGAGGAAACTGGAAAGGAACGTGGAGAGGGTATCAGCCTCAAGGCCGTCATATACTCTGGAAAGAGCGTTACGCCGAGAGAGAAGGCGATGGAGAGTCAATATAAGAGTCACTGAGATCATCAGCTCAATTCTCAGTGTGGAAAGCATTGGTGCGCACATCGTCTGGCAGGAGATCGTTTGGCGTCATTCTGCATACGGGTGGTGGCGACATCGAGGGGGTAGACAATGGCGTTGCCAACTGCCGAGCTAGATGATGTGTTAGTGATCAAGCAATACGTGGACGTGGGACTTACCCTACTGCCCCCGATGAGGCCTGGAGCAATGGCGGGAGTTTTGTTTGCATCTAGAAGTTGCTAGGGCAGAATGGCTAGCCCAGTGCCCCACATGCAGTGAAAGCGGGCAGCCTCGGCGGCCGGGAGATGATACTGGGGCGGAACTCGCCGGGCTGTGATGTGTTGCTGTTGCCCACTTCTCCAGACGACGAGGTATCTCGGCAGCGCAGTCGGGTCGGAGGCCTGTCTCTATGCACCCGCACCGCCTCGCACCCGGGCACCCCCTAGGGCCCCTATTGCCCCTATTGCCCACTGACCCTCTCGCTGTTTCAGCCCACGCTAACGCTCTTGGCAGCACTCTTCCGCCTCTGATAAGCCCAGCCAAGGCGTATATAACCCCCCCGTGTTCTTTCGCCGTGCTACTAGACAGGTGGCAAGTACTGGATACTGACCATCACAATGACCTCTCCCCTCCGCCCAGCTCTGCGGCACAGGTCCCCATCCCACATCTCCTTCCTCCCAGACGACCCCGCGTTTCCTTCGCACTCGCACTCGCAAAGCGACACCTTGTCGCCATTGAAAGGGCCGTCGGGATGGAGAAACACCTCGCCTCAGAAGAAATGGCATGTAGTCATCGAATTTGGCGGAGAATTCGTGGTCCGCGAGCAGATGCGGAAAGAGTTTGACGACGACGGCGGTAGTGTGTTGGCGGTGCTGCAGGCCACTGTAGGATCTTTCATTCTTTCCATTGATCAAGTACTGACATATACCTCAGCCGCATCAGCAACTTGTCCATCTCCTCCCCCAGCTTCATCTGCCCTCTCCCCTCGGGCTCTTCTTCACTCTGGTCATTCCCTATCCGAGCGCACGCAAAGCTCCCAAAGTTACCGATAGCCTTTGGCCCACCCTCTTCTCCTCCCATCTCATCCCCGACCCCTCACCCCCTTTGGCCCACTCCAATCCATCTTATGGCTGTTTGCCAATAGCAGCAACACTCGAACTGAAAGTGGACAAAGACCTAGCGAGGTGGTGGAATGGATGGTTGAGGGAGGGCGAAGGTGGTTTTGGGGTGGGGATGAACCTGGGTATAAGCTCGAGGATGGCAGATGCGGAGAGAAAGAGGGTGGACAGTATACGCAGTGTGAAGAGTATGGAACCGGTCATCGACAGTGAGGCCACCAAAAACGACCGGCAAGAAGACGCTTCTGTCTCTATCGAGGTCGTCTCCCTACCTGCTACGCTTGCCCCCTGGCCAGCCAGCTTGTCTCAACAGCCACTCAAAGTGCAAATATGTGGCTTTGCACCCAGCCTCCGGCCTTCCCCTTCCCGGGAGATTTCTGAGCCTGACCTTGCCCCTCTGGAGCCATCGAATCCTCCGCCTGCTGCTCGAGAAATCCCAGTCCCTCTGGAGACCTTTGACCTTCCCACATCTCCCAAAGATATTCCGGAGAGTCCGTACGACAATGGATACACCTCCTCTGTCCCCTACTCTCCCACGCTTTCCCCTCCTGCCCCCGAGGCGCTCGCTTCTCAGCGTTTTCTCCAAGACCTTCAAGGTATGCTCGAAGGTGTTCAGAAGGAAAAGAAGAACCTCGAGGTCAAGGTTACCAGCGATGTGCCGTGGGCAGACCTGGCCAGTGCGGCGTGGTCGGAAGCGACGAGCTGGGGTCCTCCAGACACTCCTTCCCCTGTTATCTCTCCCCGTCCGCTCACTCCTCCCATTGCGGCTTCTGCCGAACCCATCATCACTCGCGAGACTGAGATTCACCCTCACGCCCCTCACCCCGAGGTCATTGAAATGGAGCGTGACATCCAAGTTCAGCGACATCTACCCAGCTCCAACGTGGCTCATCATGAGCCTAACTCGGAAGACTCCAAGGGATACGGGCATCATCCATCTTGGACGTTCCTCCCTCGTGGTCCGGTAGAAGCCAAGCCGTGGGAGCACAACTGGCCTTACTATAGAAGCCAAGACGTCCCAGAGCCGGAGGGGTTGAAACAGTTTCCGCGAGAAGAGCACGCGCATGTTCAAGAAGAAATTAAAGTCGTCGTGACCCACGAGAAGGAGCAGGCTGTCGAAACCAGTCTTGCCGATCTAGTCTCGCCCCAAGCGTCTGCTTTCGCCAAACAACAAGCTTTCGCAAGCCCCCAGGCGCCTCTTTCTCGCGACATCGTAGCTGAAGGGCTGGACACGGCGAGCGAATTCGAGTTTGACGCAGGCTATTTTCCAAGCCATAGTGGGGCAAACGGGGAAGAAGAGAGCGATGACCTCGAAGGATTCGATATCATTACCCCTTTCCAGGAGCCGTCATCTGTACTCGGAAAGAAGCCTGAGGATCTCAACTTTGACATGCCCAGTCGGCAGTTTGTTCGAGAAGACTACATCCCCGACACGCCTTCCTCCCCTTTCGACAGTGACAGCTCGCAAGAAGAATTCGAATCCACCGATCCGGGGGGTGCATTGATGGATATGATGGCTCCACTCTCTCGGGTGTCGGCGGCTGTTCAGCCTGTCATGCACGCCAGAGCCCCGTTGTTAGGAACGGCCCTCGATGTTATTGAAGAAGCCGAGGACAGCTCTGTAGAGTCGCCTCTGGTCCCGAGAGGTTCGGCGCTGCCCGAGGTGCGAATCATCCAGACGACGGTGGAGCACGCGCCTTCACAAGAGGAAGATACGGAGACATTCGAAGGGACGGTCGTGAGTAGTCAGATGGAGACGTGGGAGACGGGCCTGGTTGGTGAAGTGGAAGTGCATACTCTGAGTGGGCAAGAGGTGCCTAGAATAGTGGAGAATCGCTCAACCGAGGTGGAGCAGCGAGACTCAGAATCAAGGAGTACAACTCCGGAGGAGCAACCCCTTCCGCCACCACCATACGAGCCCATGTTCAACCCTCTCCCTCGGCAGGCCATAATGGGGCCATTCCCACAGATCGCTCCCCGCCCTCCATCCCACTTGTTTTCTCCCAACCTCATCAACCAGATGTCGCCCCGTATGGCTTCTCCTTACTCTAGATCCGGTGTAGGTTCTTTACCAGACCCGCATGTGAGGTTAGACCCTCAAAGGTCTGACGAAGGCCGGCCGATGTCCAGGGGTATGACCGGGTTGGATCCCAGGCAGAATATGCGCCCGACGCCACCTTCGTTCCACGCAGACTCGTCCGACTCGGAAGAGGAAAGACGGGTAGAAGTGTGGGAGCAACACGAAACTCCACAGACGAGGAGGAGCATCTTCCGGCCACGTTTCAGTCGCTCTCAATCCCACTTTGACACATCCACCTCTTCTACTCCTGTCCATGCCCCTCGGTCGTCCTCCATCTCCAACCTTTCCTCGGTCAACATTTACCGCTCTTCTGCCGCCTACGAAGGCGCAAGGGACAGCACCTTCTCTCTCGCATCCGTCACTTCTACATCATCAAAGGCGCCGGCAAGGCCGCTGAAGAGGTTGAGTAAGAGTGTGTCGGGTTTTTCAGGGGCCCAAAGCGTGGAAGCGGATGGGGCCTTAAACGGTCTACGCCCGGCGATGAGTGAGTTTGGGCATACCTGAAGATATTATGTTTTGCTGACATCATATAGTGAGTTTGAGGGATTCGAGCATGTACGTTGAAGGTAAGGGTTACCCGTACCTTGAGATCTGTGAGTCAGACCGATATCATAGAGAATCAGGCTGACAGCAAGAAGACCACCCGCCTAGAGCTCGACTCGTTTCTGCGACAGTCTACAGCTCCGTCTATCCTCGTCTCGAAATATACGCCCCAGCCAAGTCTGCCATCATTCTGACAGAAAGACAAGTCAAGCTGGTGGACTACAGCTATCCGGCTATAGTGATCTATCCTGCAGTGGACAGAGCCAGGTCGGCTCCGAGGACCATCTCAGTCAGGCTGGTAGACTACCAGTACCCAGCTATCGCCCTTTACCCCGTCGTCGCCCGTCCGGTGTCCAGAATGGTGTGGCATCCTGCAACAGCAGTGCGGAGCATAAAGGTGATGCTGGTCGACTTTAGTTATCCCAACATCATTCTTTACCCTGCGGCTTGCTCTGTGAAGAGAGTAATCAAACGAGAGGTCGAGACGAGAAAGACGTCCGTCAAGCTGGTCGAATATGCCTACCCCGATATCGTGCTCTACCCCGCTGTCATAAGAGCTGTCAAGCCCGTCCCCAGAGTCCTCATTTCGGCGCCACCCACCCAATGGACGCCAATGTCGAAGAGTATTCGAGTTGATCTGGTACCTATCACATACCCTGATCTCGTCATCTACCCCGCCATGGCCCCAGTCTATCGAGAAATGGATATGGCTCACCTGGGAGCCTCTGTCAAAGTCAAGCGGGCCGACTACACCTACCCGCATATCGTGCTCTATCCAGCCGTGGCTGGTAAGCGAAATGTCAAGGCCCCGGTGAGATCGACTTGCCAAGTCAAGCTGGTCGATTATAACTACCCAAACATCGTCCTGTATCCCGCCGCCGCCACCAGGGTCCGCGTCAGGAGAGAAGTGAGGATGTCCAGTGTTCAGGTTGAGCTGGTACCATTCTCATACCCCAATCTGATCATCTACCCGGCCACATCAGCTCGGCGAGATGTTGGGATATTTGGCAGCAGATCTGCTGTCAAGGTCGAATTGGTCGAGTTCCTCTATCCCGACATTGTGCTCTACTCAAGCATGTCTCAGCCTCGCGCATCTTCTTCCCCTGTGGTGATTGCCGAAGCATCATCGGGTACGGTTACTCCCTCTGATAACGGCTACACTTCTTCAGTCCCCTACTCTCCCAATACGTGTTTTGCCCAACCTTCATATGAAGCACTTTCCACCCAGCCATTCTTGATGGAACTGCACTCCCTTTTAGAAGACGTTGCTGAACGCAAGGCGAAGGAATTGCTAGTCAAAATCAGCAATGATGTACCGTGGAAGGATTTGAGTAGTGCTCAATGGTCCGAAGCGACGAGCTGGGGTCCACCCGATACACCCTCGAATTACGAGTACCCTGTTGCGACTGTTGCGCCGAGGATCGACAACATTGCAAAGTCGATTGGTGCGCTTCGTAGCGTAGACGTGCTCTTGAGGCCATTTACATACCCCGATTTGGTTATCTATCCCGCTGCTATCCAAGTCAAGCTGGTCCAGTATGTCTATCCCGACATTGTGCTCTATCCCGTCATGCCGAATCGCGCAAGAAGCAACCGGAAGACGCACCAGCAGCTTGGTGAGTATCTGACCTCTCCATGCGATCATGAGCTGAAAGATCAAAAGTGGCAGAGACCGTTCATGAACACAAGGCGCCACCTGATGACAAGTACTTGAGTGTAGCAGATGGGCTTCTGGAAGCCGCTAGAAGGAGGTACGAAGCTGTCCGATCATCCCTCAGTGAGCCCTCCCGTCCTAGCTGTCATCACTCAGCGCTAACTCTTCTTCAGGCAAGATCGATACCGAAATGATCCCCCCTCCAAACCACCACCGCTCCGGATCAAGCGTGAGCTCCATACAGTCGGCCTCCACCCAGGCAATCAATACACCCGCCTCTGCCCTTTCTCCTTCATCCTCGACCCGCTCCCGCTCCCAGTCGTACCTTCATTCCCGCTCTCCATCAAACTCTTCTCTTCCTTCTGCGAAGCCTCCTCCCAAAGATGCCCTCCCTGCTCTCCCTGCTCTTCCAGTGACCGGTACGCTCAAGGGCGACTTGCTGAAGTTTGGGCATTCAAGGTCGAGCTCGAGTGTTAGATCCACAGCTGCGTCGACGGCCGTAGAGGGCAATTCTCCGGGTGTGTTGAGTCCACAAAGTACGGGAACGAGGACACCCACCAGAGCTAGAAGTAGCACCCTTGTTTCGGAGAGGATGAAGGCATTGATGGAGCAGACGCAGAGTAAGTCCATGACGATCCCAATTCTGCTCTTAGCTGACGCTATCTGCAGAGAGTCCACCTTTGCCGCCTTCTGCGGTCAATGTCAGGGGTATCCGAAGCAGTACTTACGGTACCATGAGTCCGCCTCATATCAGCAGCACGGAAAGCACGCCGACGAAAGTCGAGGAGAAGCCAGGGCACCGCCCTGTTGGCAAGCTGTCAAATACCATGTTTCGCAATTGGCAATAGATCATAAAGGATAGAACCGTAAAGCTTGTGGATTACCCGGTGTTTGTAAAAACTGTATTTGTAAGCGTTGTCCGTGTTCTGGGATACTTGTACATCATGCATGCCTATAGGCTAGTCTGAAGAAGCGCAACCGCGACAGCCTTCAAGTCATATGAGCCATTGTTCAGTCTTGCACAAGAGATACGCACCACAATGAGGACATTCCACCACAACGTCCTTCTTCAGCTGCGCCTTGGGCACTCTACAAATACAAGTAGACCCCTGGAAATTCATATCCTTCGTCTGGATACACCTCACACAGCAGAGCTTCTCGTACCCATTCTTCTTCCACTTTGCTATCAGATTAGCATCGGCATAGCCTTGCTTTATAAGCCAGTCGTAGAGATCTCGCGATATGAGTTCGCGCTTGTAGTAGAGGTCGTAGATGTATCGGGAGCGAGCGTGTGATAAACGCATGATCGGCCTGCTGAGAGTCAGTCTTGTCGTGACTATCTAATCAAAGATACTGACCAAACACCTTCTACGTTACGCTTGCCTTCGTGCGTCTCGCTTTCGGCATCTCTCATCTTCTTTTCGTAGTCTTCGAGGACATCCCTGGAGGCAACAGTCAGCACGAGAAGCAATACCTGGCGCCATCGGAGCGAGCATCTTGGACAGGTCCACGTACTCGATATCTTCGAATCCCTCTGGGGGAGGTTTTGTGCGTTGTGTTCTGATTTTGGGCATGGCGTTGGATGGCAAATGAAAGATTGATGCTGAAGATAGTAGTACAGTCAGATAGTTGTCGACTTTTGTTGGCCACCACCACACGCAGCAACAAGGAGATGTGTACGTAAACAAGGCGGGAATCGCCGACGCGCGCACGTGGACGCGTCTGTACGTTTTCATGTTCTTTTTGTTGCGCTCACTTGGCGCTCACAGATCCTCAGTTCATTCCGGAATACAAAATAATCTTGCCGCCCTGCCAGGTATAGAAACTACAACACGCTGCCAACAAATTCTACACCAACTCGCATTCCGCCGCCAACATGGGCAAATGGCAACACACAAAATACGACAAGGAACTTGCCTCAAAATTCCAGTGTCTCTTGTGCGTGTCTTTGCCGCCCTCGAAACATGCCAGACAGCTGACTGGCTATATCAGCGAGGCTACAGAGAACTGTGACAGACGGAGGAAGGGGCACAGCAAGGGTGCGGTCTCAGACCGAGCCTTTCGCCTCTTTGTCCAAGAACTGGACCCAAATGACGCTGCTACCCAAGACTGGTTTCTGGAGCTCCTCAGGCGCATGCGCAAGCCTTCGAGACGGCCGCACTCATTAGGACGCTCGCAAAATCCAGAAACGTTCTTGCATGATGCTGGCGAATGGATGATGAGCCCCAGTCCTCCATTGAGCCTCCAGGAAGATGACCAGTCCGAGGCCGGGTCTCATTTATCTCATTTAATACAAGATTATACCCAAGGCCCCATAGCTGTTCCTTCCTCTAGCCGATTCCCCTCTCCAGAGCGTCGGCAGCGAATGGCAGTCCCTGGCGAGCCTTCATCATCCAATGCTCGAGGAAGAGGAGGGTGGCGATTCGCCCCCTTTGTTCCGCACGCTTCGAGGGACATAAGTCGCCTTGTCAGATCACCGTTGGGCGATGAAAGAGATCACGATACTGCTTCCACACCCGGCGTACCTTCAAGACGGGAGAGAAGTCCGCCGGTGTCTGATGCGAGCTTATCGTGGCTGGCAGGCTACAATCGAAACGCGCCCTCCTCCGACCCACGTCCTCTCCGCCCCCTTCCCGTTCGTAGCACCACCAACCGTCCTCCCATCATGTTTCCCCGAAATACACGCGACCTCCTCGGCCCTCTCTCCCGTAGCGGACAATCCAGCCGGACGGCCTCGCCCTCCGGTGCGCTTCGTTCCACACATAATGCTTTGGTCGGGAACAATTCCCACCGAGATCCCTACCGAGCTCAACCCGGCCCCAGCAGTCAGTCCTCAGATACCGATCTCCGAGCCATGTCTGACCACCTTGCCACAGCTCTCCGTCGTAGACGCACGCACGACGAGATTGACGGTGCCCAAGCTGAGCCCCGTACGAATGGGCGCCAGCGAACAGACGGGCCATCGGGGCGCATCGAGCAGGATTGGCGGGTGGATGATGATGCCTGGAGAGCAGCGGAGGCCGAAGCGGAAGGCTGGGGGAGGGATACGAGGAGGGATGGTGTGGTGTTTGACTCGGCAGACATGCTCGGAGAGAATGGAGAAAATGCCAGAAATGTAGAGGAGGGCGGGAATACGTTCTGGGCGGTGGACGAGGATTGGGAGGATATGGGCATGCCATATCCTACCCGGGAGAGGGATTTTCCACCGCTTGCTTTGTCTCACTTGCTCGACACTTCCCAATATGACGACCCATACCTCCCTGACGAGTATTAGATGTCATCGGCCAATCCCTTTTCTTGAAAGGGCCCCAAACCAAAAATGCTTGCAGTTGTAGATCTTTATTTTGTCATCATCACTTTGTAACTTCTACCCCTCGTTGTTCGTAGTCCTGGTATTTCCATGTACATCACCTGTCTTCTTGGTCACTGTGGTCAATAGAAGAGCGCGATGAAAAGCAAGCTGCACTTCAACCTTCCATTTCCTTCCTTTTCAATATCCCAGCGAGCAGCGACAGTAGTGACGTGAGTCAGTGAGCGACTTAGACTTGCGCGTCGCGTCAATGTTGTTCTGACTCTTTTTTTTACGTTCTCCACCATCTCTCTTCAACGCATCAAAACAGCCCTTCTTCCTTGAGAATGTCTATCAAAGTAGACATCCCAAAGTCCGAACAGTCACGTGCAGACGTAAGTTGCCAGCTCTGAAAGCCACCTCGGTGACTGACCTCTGTCGAACAGGGCAATATATCTTTCAAAAAAGGCAAATGGGCCGAAGCTATCGGTCAGTCGCCTTCTTCCTCTGCTGCCAACCCCTCTTGCTAACGATCGAACAGGACACTATACGAATGCGGTTATATACAACCCCCAAGATCCTGTTGCATACTGTAACAGAGCACAAGCGTACCTCAAGCTCGACAAGTAAGACAATTCTTCCATCGTTATTCACTGCTTGTAGGCATCTGCTCATACGGGCGTAGGTTTCAGGATGCGGAGAGGGACTGTACGAGCGCACTCGATCTGCCAAAGGGGAAAGGAAACATCAAGGCTCTTTACAGACGGGGTCTTGCTAGAAAAGGTCTGCAGAGGAATGCCGAGGCTATCGAAGGTATGTCCTGTCTCCCATATCTGAGTTACGCTGATATGATCTAATGACAGATATGGAGGCGATTTGGAAGCTGGATCGAAAGAATGAAGCTGTCAAGACAGAGCTGGAAGAGCTGAGAGTTTTGTGGAGAAAGCAGGACGAAGAGCTGAAAGTGCGTTACGTTGGCTCTTTTATATCCGGATTTTACGTGCTCACAGGTCTTTTAGAAACCTCCACGGAGACCTCTGAACCCACTCTCTCTTCCCAAACCCACTCCATCATCCCAACCCATCGCCGACCTCACATCCCAAACGCAAAAACTCGACATTGCTCCCAAACCCGCGCCTGCTCGAGAATCCCTTGAACCAACGGGTCCAAAGAAGGAGAACTCGTTTGCAGCTATACGGAAGAACAGAGACGGGAAAAAGATGTCTTTTGCATCGTCCAGTAATGGAAGTGGTCCGGGAACGAACGGGACTGTCCAGGAGAAGGAGGGAGGAGATCGGGACAAGAAGGAAGAGGCCATACAATCTGCTCTCCACGGCATATTCCCTCCCTCCAAACCCAACTCATCGCCTGCAGCCCAACAAGGAGCACCCAAAGGCCCACTGGTCCAGCCCGCCGAAACCAAAACCGTCCCTGCTCTATCAAAGAACATTGACACCACCTCGACCTCCCCCGGGGCTGGTCTCGTACTCTTACGTCACTTTACTCCTTCCCCCGCTTTCAACTACAGCCTCATATCCCTCTACCCTCCTCCGAACATCCCCGTGATCCTCGGGTCACTCTTGGAACCAGATACACTTGGGCAAGTGCTCTTGGCTCTCGAAGAAGGTGTTCAATCGGAAAACGGCGAGGATAAGGAGAGGGTGAAGATGGTGTTGGAGGGTTTGAAGACGACAAAGAGGTGGGGGATTAACGTGGCTATGCTTAGTAGGAGGGAGAAGGAGGCTGGGGAAGGGGCTTGGAGGGGGTGTGGGGGTGAAGGTAAGTGGGCTTGAACGGGGAGACATTTGACTCGAGCTATGCATATCTACGGCATATCTTTCTCTTCCTCTGTGATTGGGGATAGTGACGATCCAATTCAGTGTGTCATTATCAGACACGGAGGTCTGGCAATTATCGTTTGTGAGAGGCGCAACACTCATATATATATATCATCAGCTTATGAGCGCTCAGCGGCCTTCGCTCTCCATGAATGTGCTCGAACATTCCCATGCTTGTTCCTACAGCTGCAGCACCCAGTCATAATGCACTATGCACATCAATTTGTACAGACTAGACCATCACAAACAGATCGCGGAATGCAGCAAAATGCAGCACGACGGATCGGAGAGCGACCGCCGCCCCCAAGCTCTGCCTCTTGGACGGGATGCTTCACTCACCGGGGCCATAGACATGCCTGCGAGGGCATCTGGCATGAACCCTCTTTGTCTGCACTGGGAGAGCCCCTGCATGATAGTATGTGCCACACTCCATTCAACACTTCACTTTCCGCCACCCGCTGCTGCTGCACTCGTCCTTCATTACCATCATTTATAACCCCTCGGCCTCGAGCCTCGAGCCTCCTCTTACGCCAAGGTATACCACGCAAAGCAAGCCATTCGGCCCGCCGAAAACGCAAAAAGGGTGCAAAAAGGTACTCTTTATTACGCTGCATGTGCATACCCGCCAAGGGGCTGACCTGAACATTCCCATCACCTCCCCTTGCCCATCACCTGGCACTGCACCTGGATCACCTGAACATGGCGTACATGGGAAAAATGGGTTCAAGGAAGTTGGACCCTGAATGAGCTTGAAAGGCCTGAAACCAAACTACGAGAAAAAAAAAAAAGAAGAGCGAGTACCGTCTTTTGAACCCTTGACCCTGAAGGAAGGCCAGGAAGGGATAAGTGCGTTGGTTTGATAATCTAATCAGTTTATCTCTGTACCTCATCCCTTCAGGGATAGATAAGATATAGTATGGCAAAAGAGTCATACATGAGTAGTGATGCATGGTAAACCGCTTTCAAGAGGTCTTACAAGACGACCAGAGGAAGGGAGAAAGGCGGCAACGCGTGCCTTGCAGCTTGCGATGTCCACCGCCATCGACATTCGACTCGTCGCCTCGCCTCCCCGTGTACTTTGGAGAGACAACAATCAATGCATCTCCCCTGACAAGTACCCAAATAACCCAAAAGAGTCCATCCCATATATCTTGATGGAACCCCGAATCTATAAGAACGACCAAAGACCAAGAAAAGGACAAAGACTATAATATGTATGCTAGTGTAGATGGAAAACATTTCTTTGTTGCCGGCTCATCTACGGGGATGGCCATACCCATTCGCCGTAGGACTTCTCTGCGCTTGCCCTCCACCTCCTCCACTACCACCACCACCACCACCACCACCACCGCCGCCATAGGCAGCAGCAGGTAGCCCATAAGACCCTTCCCTATGCTGAAACTGCATCGGGTTGTACATGTGTCCCTGCTCTGGCATGCCCGTACCATACAGACCATGGTGCGCATACCCGCCCGGCGCGGGCGCATAGCCCATCGTACCCGCTGGGTATCTGTACGTTTGCTGATGCTGCGGTGGCACGGCATACGACGGGTACTGCTGGGTATAGTGCGGTTGCGCAAAGAAGGACGGTTGGTGTGCCGGGGGCAATTGAGCGTGGGCGTGCTGCGGGTGACCGTTCGGGTTGGTGGGTGACGGCACGCGGGAGGAAGAGGCCGACGGAGGTTGGGCCATGGACATGCTTGGCGGAATGGGGTAGGGAGGCGGGTAGTGGGCTTGGTCGTACATGTAGGGTGCGTACGGGTTTGGCCCGGCCTGAGGGGGGTAGGGGGAGGGGAAGTGTGGGGTGGATGCCGAGGTGGGGGTGCCGGTGGCGCTCTTGGACTTGCGTGGTTGGCGAGCCGTCGATGATTTTAACCCGGCGGCTTCCATCGCCGCATTGACTGCCGCCCTCGCTGCTGAACCTGAACCCCGTCTTAGTGTAGGCGACAAGTGCGTTCGGTAGCTATCCCATAGCGTCAGCTTATATGAATATGCGGGACGCGACTTGTGCTCACTGCTGCTGCAAGTTGTCTTGCCGACTCGTCCGCGTCTCGCACCCCGGGAAGGGGCACTTGAACGCCTTCACCCCCGTGTGGATCCGCTGGTGTCTTTGCAGATGCCCACCGGTCGTGAACCCTCGTTGACAGACGTTGCACACATGTGGCTTGGGTTTGTTATCCGCCGGCCCCGTTGCGCCATTCTTTCCTTTGAGCCCCTGCGGTCCTCCTTGCTGTGGCTGCTGCATAGATTGCTGTTGCTGGAGGGCCTGCATCTGGACTGTCTGGCCGTTCGGCTCGCCCACGGATGCCGAGTCCTCGGTCTTGACGCTGCCCATGGAGAGGTCTGCAGCAAAGGAGTGGGTTGTGCTAGCCGAGTCTGGCATGGGGGTGAGAGTGGGCAGCCGTGGGGGGCCCTGGGCGGCTGTGACGGGGGCGGGCTGGGGGTAGGGGGCGGGGGAGTAGATGGGGGGGATGTGGGCCGGGGGACGGTGGGAGGGGGAGGCATCTGACATGGCGGGTATGACGGTGAGATGGATGTTTACAATACACTGGGCGGAAAGGACGGCGCGTTCGGAGAGCGATCGGATGTCGGCAGGGGGAGCCACAAGTCAGCTCAGTCTGCCTCTACTTTACAGCCGAAGAATCCCCGACGCTGCCTGTGTGGCTTTGTCTGTGCACCCGAGATCGTCTCGTCTCTGCCACAAAGACACCCAACGACTCGCCATCACCCCGGCACCCCTCCCGGCGCCTACTCCGCCCACAGCCCGCCAGGAGCCCAGCGCACCACAGCAGCCAGCGACAGGGGCAGCGGCGCGTAGAGAACGACTGTACACTCCTCCACCCCAAAGGACCCACCACAAACCTTCGGCCAGGTGGGGAGAAGAACGCGATGCAGCAACGGCAACTCACGGGTATATGGCGTGTCGCGAGGGGTGTCCTCCGCTATCCTATGCGCTTATCGGGGCAGCCAGTAGACAGATGGCAATGGTTTTGTTGTTGCGAATGAACCGAAAAAAGCCCCTCGGTGTTTTTTGACAAGAAGGTGAGAGACGTGGCGGAAGAGAACGAAATGTGGCGCTAAGAGGCGATACCCACCTGTTAGCCCCGCTTATCAAGCTCCGCACGCAGTACTCACCAGGCTGTATACAGTCGTCACTCCATGAACAACAGTCGACGTTCAAGAAGATGGAGGAGCGGGGAGGATTGGAAGAAAGGACAAAAGGGTTTCGTTGGATAATCAAGGGTCCCAGAATGCAGGAGGGGCAGGGGCGAAAGGGAAAAGAAGAGGGAAAAAATTCAGAGTGGCCAACGCGCCGCACCGATCTTGGGTGTTTTAATTGGTGCGCTTGCTGCGGTTGGAGTATCGGCTTCGGGTCGAGGGGGATCGGGCTCGCATTTATTGGTCCTGTCGCCCAGGGTGCACGAGGGGAGGATCGAGGGCATGCGAGGGCACAAGCAAAAGATCCAGCGAAACACGAGAGGGAGCCAGACGGACCCCAAAGGGCAGAAGGCAAAAGTAATCTCCGCATCTCTGTGGATCTTGGGCTTTTTTCAGATGTATTTCATGGCGAGTCGCCCACGAGGGCTAGGAGAGTTTTCTCTTCGCAGAACTTTATTGTAGGCGCTACACACTTCTCTGGCCCTTCCCCCATAGCTTTCAGAGCTGAAATACACCCAGAAACGCCCAAACAAAGCGCAATCCGGTTCCACCGCCGAGCCAAATAAGCCCAAAACAGTTCTCCACTGGTTCAGGGAGCGCGTTTCTTTCCCCTGAGTGTCCCTTGAACGTGACCCTGAGTTTTCCGCACAATTTAACGCAAGGCAGCGTGAATCAACAAAAATGACGAACGAACGAGATGATGAGAATGGCTCACCGCTCAAATGCCGGAGGGCCTGGCGAATGATCCGAAAGCTTCGGAGAAGACCGATACGGGGTGGTGACGACTCTGACGTGTAGTAACATGTGAGTGGGCAAGTGCAGCACAGTCAGTGTCAGCGTGGTAGTGCAACGTCCTGAACATCCTCCGTCTTCAATGACCCACCGGCGCTCTACTCGAGTACACGTTTGCTTCGACGCTTGTTCCTCTCGGTGTCTTTTCGGTTGTCTGGTCGATGCTATGCTTGCGAACAATCCCCTAAGGGACTCGGTATGAGATCTTATCCTCTGCGTCTGCGCACGGACCAACCAAACGCCGAGCACATCGTATCACGACTCAATTAATAGAGTGCGACCAACGTGACCACCACTCAGCCATCGCCCACCACTCTTGTTTGACGGAAGGTGGCGTATCTGGTATATATCTCGACACAGAGTGAACAGATACAAAATTTCGTCTCACGCATGGGCCCCCAGCCCTCCGGCATTCGCCCGTGTGCAGTGCAGAATAATTGACTTTCGCACTTTAAGTAAGAGAGAACAGAAAACGATGACATCTCCCCAAACCCAAAAAAGATAGCGACTATGCGCGCACTCGTGACGCCACAAGGTACGCACCAAACGGGATCAATTATTCTCAAGTAAACATCTCCCCGCCCAACTCGCGCGAAACAGCCCTCCCCTCATAACTCGCATTCCATCCATCCACCCTTCAACTCCTCTTTTCTACCTCGTATTTTATCCCAATCGCAGCATAAATGTCTTCCAAAACCGGTGGTGGCAAAGGCGGCAAGAGCAAGACTTCTGGTGAGGTCAAGGTTTTGACTACCAGGTCTTCCAAGGCTGGTCTTCAGGTATGTCGGCGTTATATCCCTCTTTTGGGCACTATTTACGCGTCGGGGCTGATATTTTTTCGTCTATAGTTCCCTGTTGGTCGTATCCACCGGTGAGGACTTTCTCCGAGGACTGGGAATGGGCGGATGCATGCTTGAGGATGGGATTGTACTGACGGATCTGGGTCAGATTCTTGCGAAGCAAGAATGCCAACAATGTGCGTATCGGAGCCAAGGCTGCCGTCTACGTCGCTTCCATCATGGAATACCTCACTGCCGAGGTCCTCGAACTTGCCGGTGCGTCCTCTTCCCACACATTACACGTGAGACAAGCTAACGACGAGACAGGTAACGCCGCCAAAGATCTTCGCGTCAAGCGAATCACCCCCCGACACTTGCAACTCGCTATCCGAGGTGACGAAGAGCTTGATATGTTGATCAGGGCTACTATCGCTGGTGGTGGTGTCCTTCCTCATATCCACAAGGTACGCACCCATCCCACTCCGAACAAGATGTGGCTGACAGGGGAACGCAGTCTCTTGTGGCCAAGCCTGTGGGACAGCAGTTGAAAAAGTCCAAGTCTGTCGTCGCCTAATCCATTCGCCTTTCTGTCTTTCGTTGTGTCCCAACCGTTTTCGTTATTTCGATTTGCTCTTACCTTTCTATAGCGTCTGCTCTTGACATGTCCTACGCGCTCGATAATGCGTGGCGTTCAAGAGCGGGGTGTCTTTTTCAATTTCGACCGAGATGTATAAGGGTATATATATTCCATGGACGCGCTTGTGCCACAAGGTCAAGGGCAGGATACATGTATAAACAGCACGAGTACAGCAGAGTTGAACAAATAACACACGCAGTCCTTGACCCTTTACCAATGCGGCATCCAGCCCAACGTCTACCATGCGCATGTCAGTAAAGAATCTGTGGACTAGGGGCTGTGGTCCAGGTAGACTTACATATCCTACAGTCGACGCGTCAGCTTTGTTTCATATCAATGGACGCGTGGAATGAAAGGGGCTCACCTTGGGAGAGATTTTTGAGGTCGGTGGCTTCTTCTATGAGCTTTTGGACTTGTTTATTCACACTCAAGGGCTGCTCATTATCCTTGTGGAAACCTGAGCCTATTGTCAGCTCTAGTGAGCATTGCATGGGACCACTTACCGATGAGCTTCTTCTCGATCTGACCTAGCACCTATCACAAGTTTCAGCCATCTCCTTGTCCACTCCCGCAATGGAACATACCTGCAAAGCCCGACCATTCGTCATCCCGTTCCCCTCTACCTTGGCCATATATGAATCCGTCTGCATGTACGTCGACACGAGCGAGTTTTCAAACTTGTAGTAGCCTTCCATATCGCCCGATTGATTGTTGACGGCGACACTTTGGGCGACACTTTGAGGAACGACGTATGATGGGCGGTGAGGTGATTTCACCTTCTGGGCTTCTTTGTCGGGAGTAGGTGCGCCTGTGAACGTGTGAGTGAATGACACGATGTGGGTAAAGTTGAATACCTGTGGTGTCAACGTTGCTTGAAGGCTCGCCGCTGTTCTGCGTGATCATCAGTCATGTCATTCTTGCGCAAGACACACCACATACCGTCCAAGATAAGAGCGGGTCGTACAAGAATGCTTCCAACATTGCCAGAAGTGTACTTCGACTATCTCTCAGTACGCCCATGGCGATTAGCGAAGCTTGTTTGTATGATCCTCGCGATCCTGGAGTTTCAAGACCTCCCCGAGAGGCGAGCTGCGTCTAGTCAGTATGGTGCAGGACCTAACGAAAGAGACAAACCTCAAAGGCGTTGGTCATCATTCTGGTGAGGCGGAAAGGCACTTTCTCGGGCAGATATGATCTCTCTTGGGCGACGTCGAATAGCTATGTCTCGTGTCAACATATGTGCCAAGCAATCGTGTCCAACTTACATCACCGAAATCGATATGCAGAGCACCCCACGTCAGCTGGTCTACAAGTATGTTGCTACCATGCCTGTCCCCAAGGCCAATGATATAGCCGACGAAACCTTGACCGTCGTCAGCTTTGTCACCCCATGAAGGAAACGCCACCCACTGCCAACACCAAGGGTACGTGCAAAGTTTGTCCTCCTCCTAATCCAGACATCCGAGTTCGGACTCCTCTGCCAGAGCACATCCCTGATGTCGCCTGCAGCCCCTTGTCAGCTTGGCAACAAAGAAAGATGTTAAAACATACTCTGATCAGAATGCGAAAGTGCGGATTTGAGCCGTTGGACTTTGGTATTGACTGGTAGCTTGTCGTAGCGGTCAATCTCGGCAGAGACGTCCATCCGGGCTTGATCGGGCTTTGGTCGCCCATTTTCGGGGTCATACTGTGAGGTCTCAGCCGCGTCAAGTGCAGTAAGTGGACACGACTTACACCCAGGATTGAAGAGGTCTCTGCATCATTCAACCATTGCTGGTGATACTTGTCTCGTTTGGTCTGAATCATTGATTGCAGTCTAGAATCGTCAGCCTCTGTACATTACAATGATGGTCAACTTACTGCTGAGTATTCGGTACCCAGCTGACTAGACCGGCAGACGGAGAAAGAGGGATTACCTCATACGGCAAGAGGTGAAGATTGCGACTGAAAGCATCGGGGCGATGGTTCAGGAGGGTATTGATGAGACTGAACAGCTGCATGATTCTCTCGTCGCCTCGCAAATCCTCATTGCCTGTCATGGAAACATGTCAGTACGATATCCGGCTTCGCTCCTGTAAACTCACCCTTGAGAAGGAAGGTGTGGTCTGCCATATACGACCTAATGACAAGTTTTCTAGGAAGCATCTTGGAGAACAGCAGATGCACAGTAGGATGGAAGCTGTCGATAAAGGCTTGGTCGTCTAGTTTGATATGAGGGTCATACTTGCCCGGAACGGTCAAGATACAGTCTCGAAGGGTCAGAAGCCGAGGCGCAGTGCTCCCAAGGTGTAGTTTGTTGCCCGTGACTTTCCATTGGTTAAGGTGTGCGTCGAGCTCTCCCCAAAGCTGTGGTGTTGTCAGCATCTGGGAACACTCCGATAGCAGGCTTACCTTGTAAAGCTCGGTATATACACTGTTCACTAGACTCATCTGTCTTGTAGATCTATATCGTAGCAATGTCTTGTTGATCCTCAAGAGGACATTGCCGAAGCGTTGTACGAACTTTTCCTCGTCAGGCGTTTCGGGATACTAGATGGTCCAGAGTGAGTACTTGCATTTTTACAACCAGAGACGCACCTGTAGCTTGATCATGTCTTCTTCCCAAAACTTTGGAAGTTCGTGCCAAGCCCTTTCCATGATCTCTTTGCGAGGCAACACCCTGTCAATGATGCTCCGCCACCTAGTAGTCGTTAGCTTCTAACACAAGACCATTGAAAACAGAATCACTTTTCCATGAGAGAGATAGACACCCTGATCAGCTCCTTGCCTACCAGCTCCGCCTGGTCGACCAGTCTTGTCCCGTCCGGCATCGTGCAGATAAAGTTCATAATCACCCTGGCAGCTTCATGATGCTCTACCTTCTGAGTCTGCGTAGCCGTCAACAGTGGCCAAATGACAGCGTGCGGATAGCGCGACGAGATGGTCTTGAGCAGATTGATCAGCATGTACTGAAGATCTTTGTGCGGGGTACCGAGTCGAGCGATGAGTTGCGGTATGGCAGCCAGCCAGGTGTCTACCTGAGTGATGTTGAGCTGATTTTCGACTTCGACGAGAACAGCCTGGCTTTCGCCGAAACTGAACCAGAGGGTGACGAGACGCAAAAGAGCTTTGATGACGAACTCAGGGCTCTCTTTGGTACGTGATGCCTGGAAAAGTCCTCGGAGCGCGGGGACAACTATCCAGAGAGTCAGATAGTCCAACAAAAGGAGCATTTTGCTTACTGTAGCTTCCGACAGCGACACCGTCAGACTTGGAACAACCGCTACTCTCAAACAGAGTGACGGATCTCTCTGCCAAAGAGAATGAAGCCCCATACCTATGGATCATGGTCGTCAGAGAATGTCAGGGTCATTGTGATAGACCCACCATGACTCGTCCAATTTGGACGCCAAGGAAGTGTAGGTCAAAACAAGAGAGTTCTCGTCCTATCACCATCAGTATCCATCGGCCTCAAGCAGGGTGTGCCTCTCACCTGGAGCCAATCTGATCCTTGCAGGACAGCAGTCCACTCTCCAAGCCTATAATATCTTCGAGCAACAATGAGCTTGGTGAGCCGCTCCTGATTGCTGATCACGTCGGACACCGGCTGCAGCCCAAGCCCGGACGCTTCAATCTTGTCTCTGTCGAGCCCCATATGCTGGAGATAGCGATCGGTATGGTCATTCAAGCGTTGTAACACTGCCTCCATAGCGGCTTGATCTCGCTGTTGAAAGGCGTCCTTCCAGCTTGTGAATGTCAGCAAGCTTCCATGCTTGTTTGTAAGAGGGACTCACTCAAATCTGAGCTTGGTGTACTCGACTTTGCAACCAGGAGGAGTGACCTCGGGGGCAGTCCTCCTGATGATAGACTGCGCCGCCTCATGCATCCCCGCGCTTTCACAAAGCTTTGCCGTATTCAGGAAGCAGCTTTGCAGCTCAAAAGTGGTCGGCGGACACGCCAGCGTCCATATCTCCAGTCGCCTGAGCCACGAGTTGGCATCCGCATGGCTCCTTTTGAATCTGCTCTTCCAAGTGTTGAGGATGCTCTCCCTCAGCTCGGGCTGAGACTTGTATTGTATCGCTTCCTGCAGCTCAACGAGGAACTCTGTCTTTGCCAGGCTCTTGAGGGCTACCTGAGGCCCGACTCCAAGCTTGACTTGGAGCTCGTCGTACGAAAGACTTTGGGCCTTGTTGATGTGATGGAAGGCAGAGGCGTATTGTTCGTTGCGGACGTCGATGATGGCTTTGTAGAGGGATTTGCTTGTACCTTTGGGGTGGAATGCGAGATAGTCGGCCATAGTGTCGAAATCGCCCTTCATGTGTCATCAGCATGATGATTTGCGAGAGCGCTCGGCTTACCATGTGCCATGCGGCTGCCGTAGCCCAGTGGGCAGAGGTTCTCCTTTCGATATCATTCAACCCTTCGAAATAGTTTTGTGCCAGTTCATATCCTTTCTGATAGTCACCTAAGGCATGATCTACGATACTGATGAGCACCATCCCGTTCGCCTGCCACTCCACTCACAGCAGATCATTCTGATGTTGAATGAAGAGTACATTGTGGTTTCTTGCGTCTCGTCAATCTTTATTTGCGCATCCAAGCCCTGTTGCCAATGGCTGAGTGAGGTAATCCACATTGGGTCGGGCTCGACATTCCAATCGTTCTCCAGCCATAGGAGACTACTCCAAGCGGCATCATATCCTGACGACCCCACTCTACTCCTTCATCAGATACCTGCGGCCACACAAAGAAAGAGACGTACCTGATGTTTGCTTCGACTATGTTGGAGACATTCTCCTGAGTCGGGTACATTTCAGTGTACTGCTCCATATACCATAGGATCACCCCTGGGAGGGGCTGGTTCAGCGCCCCTCTGAAACTTTCGAATGCGCAAGCTCGGGCTGCTTCCTGCACGCCGTGGGACAATGGACTCTTTCTCTCTTTCGAGAAGAACGCGAGGAGGTCCAGAATGACGACCAGTATATCTCTGCTGATGGATCGATCGGAGAGGAGGTCGATGAGAGCTCTGTCAACGCAGCTCTGCGTGAATTGTCAGAAGGTTATGTCAAGATACATCGGAACGTACCATGAACATGGGATCACCTTCTAATGATACATAGCACTTGAAAAAGGCGGTCTGAAATATGTCTCCATGGACCATTGACCCAAGCTATGGCTTTTGTAAGCGGGTTGGAGCATGCAAAGAGAACACGATCATCGTACACGTGAAGTTATCACCACTTCCGGTATGCCACTAGCTTCCAAAGTGGCTTGATAAAAGTTATGAAGCCATACTGAGGGACTGTCGTGGGCTGAAGAAAGAAGCGTGTGGGTCCATGCGTGCTGGACGCTTCGAGGTTTTGGAGGAAGGTTGTGGGCCAAGATCTCGGCGAGTAAGGGATGCTGTGTGGCTGTTTCGACTCGAGAGACTAACTTTGGATCTTGGCCCTGATATGATGTATTCTATAGAGATCATCAGAAGCCATATGCAAAATCTCTTCGAACTCACACTTCGTGGACCCTTCCCAATGAGCTGATTGTCCTCGTTCCGGACGGTGATGTCAAGCCGCTCTACAGCTTTGGTCAAGTACTCCATGACTCCCATATCCCCGGATTTTCCCAGAGCCCTTAAAGGCTTGATAATGCAGCTTTTCATCGGCTCCAAGGTTCCTGCTGCGCCTACCAGGAGCTTGAGAGCTTCCTCAATCACACTCCTCGGCCTGGTTGTCTCCAGACCCTTCAGCAGCAGTGGCAGCCATATTGATGTAGTCAGTGGGAGGACCTGCTGAAGCTTGGTGTTGGAAAGGATCCTAAAGCCCTCGGTCCAGACTGTCTCATCGTCAGGGGAAGTTATGAGGGCTTGGCAGATGAGCGGGACTGTGCGGTGGAGGATGTGGCGTTGGGTGTTGGTGGACATGGTGGGGCCGACCAAACGAGACAGGGAAGCTGGAGTGACATTGCTCGAGCTGACTGTGGAGAGCGGATAGCATAGCGAGAAGGGTCTCCTTTGTTGCGTTCGTCCGATGTGGAACAGAAAGGATGTGGATGGGAGTGTTCGTGTCGACGTCATCAGATATGTCAGGCGGCGTAGTAGCACTGAGATGGGTATTGTCTCTTGACTCTGCATCTATCCCGCCATGACACAGGGCATCCACTCCATGAGCACCATGCTGTACGTCCACCCCGCCCCCCGGCCACGCTGACAACCCCCTAGCAAGCGTCTCGAGGGTACGCATCGCCGCCGTCGCCAGGGCCTACTGACCATCTGCAGCTGTCACAAGCCGCCTCGAAGACATCGCCGTCTCCCAACACTCCCAGTCCTCTGGAAGCGCCCTCAAGTCCCCCACATCCAACACCCACGAGGGCCTCGCCGGCCATGTCCCTCCCCCACCTCCACCCCCTCCCCCTGCAGCCGCGCCTGCTCAGCAGGAGACCCCTGTTCTCACCCCTATCGTGCAAGCATACCAGGACCAGATTCTCAACGGCGCCCTTCAAGAGTTCTTGGGAAAGGCCAAGGAGGTCGGCGGACTGGTAGCTGAACATGTGAGTGCATGTCGATGTGAAGTATAACAGTCTGACTCGTCACAGTCTGCTCTCTTTGAGCCCCTTGTTCAATCTCAGCTCGAGTTCCTTCAACTGGCTTCTGCTCATACCAAACCCTCGCCCACGGCTTTCGCCCCCCTTCTTGAGCCTCAAGCCAAAGCCATCCAGGCGATCATGGAAGCCAAGGACAGGCTTGGTAGATCCAAGGAGGGCAGGGAGTGGGGCGTATGCTTTAACGTCTTGGGAGAGGGTGTCCCTGCTTGGGCCTGGGTTCAAGTCGAGCCTGCTCCTGTTCCCTACGTCCTTGAAACCAAGAATGCTGCTCAGTTCTGGTCTGACCGTGTCATCAAGCAGTTTAAAGAAACGTGAGTCTCTTATCATTGTTGCAACAATCGCTGACTATGAGTGAAGAAACGCTGCTGCCGTGGCCTGGGCCAAGTCCTTCCTCGCCCTCATCGCTGCTATTCAAGTCTACGTCAAGGAATGGCATACCACTGGTGTGACCTGGAACCCCAAGGGTTCCCCTGCGCCAGCTACCTTCCCCACAAAGTCTGCCTCTTCTGGCGGTGCCCCTCCTCCTCCTCCCCCTCCACCTCCCGCCGCTGCTTCCCCTTCCGCCCCCGCTGCTGCCCCCGCTGCTGCCCCGGCTGCCGGTGGTCAAGCTGCTCTCCTAGCAGACCTCAACCGCGGCGGTTCCGTCACTTCCGGGCTACGCAAGGTCGACGCTTCCCAGCAGACCCACAAGAACCCTGAGCTGAGGAGCGGAAGCACCGTGACTGAAGCTGGAGCTGGCGGTAAGAAGCCTCCTGCGCTCAAGCCTAAGCCTGGGTCGTTTGTCGCTGCGCCGCCCAAGAAGCCTGCCAGGCTCGAGTTGGAAGATGGAAGTCGATGGATCGTTGTACGTATATCTATTACAGGGATGAGTGACGAAGCTCATTTTGATACAGGACAACCAAGAAGGCAACAAGGCGATCAAGATTGAAAACACCGAGCTTCACCACACTGTGCACATCTTTGGATGTAAAAACTCCGTCGTTCAGATCTCTGGCAAGATCAACGCCATTTCTATGGGTAAGTTCTACACCTTTCACCAGGACCTAGCTGATAACGAACAGTTGGGTGCAAGAAGACTGCCATTGTCCTCGAATCCGCCGTGTCCTCTCTATCGATCACATCCTCTCCATCCTTCGAGGTCCAGATCACCGGTACCATCCCCACCATCCAAATCGACACCACCGACTCTGGCTCCATCTACCTCTCCAAGGAGTGCATGAACACTGTCGAGATCGTCACCAGCAAGACGAGCAGTATCAACATCTCTGTGCCTACTGGCGATGAGGGCGACTTTGAGGAGAAGCCTGTGCCAGAGCAGATGAAGTCGAGAGTCGTGAATGGAAAGCTTGTCACGGAGATTGTGGAGCATGCCGGGTAGACAGAATGAAAGAATCTTAATGAGTGCTTTATGACAGATTAGAGATGCATGATGAGCGTTCTTTCACGTTGTCCTGCAAGTGCCTCAAACATCTGGTCATGAGCTCTAGCATAGGTCGAATGCATTTGATGATCTCCAGCGTCAACTTAGACGGCACCAGCTGCCCGATAGATGGTGACGACCTTGTCATCCCCGGCGACTGCAAACTGCTTTCCCGGCGCCAAGTTGCCGGCGTCAGCAGGCTGCCACGAGATTCCCCACGCTTCAGCGTTGGTGGAGGAGGTGAAGACGCATGTGCGTTGGGAAATGTCCCAGAGTTTGACCAAGCTGTCTGCGCCCCTGTATGCCATCGTCAGCAGACATCGTGGAGGGAAAGAGGGACGTACACGCTACCCAGCAATTTTCCATCCGGAGAAGCAGCCACCTTCAGAACAAAGCTTTGATGCCCTGGTAGAGTGGCTACAGCGCCTTCTCCTTGCCCCCCTGCACCATTGGTGGAACCTGCCCGCACGTCGTAAAGGACGATGAGCTTGTCGTCCGAGCCTGAGAAGAGCCACTATACACTCGTCAGCTTGGTCCCGCACGAGAGAGGAGAGGAGCATACTTGAGAGTCGGGAGACCAAGTGATGGTACGGACGGCTTTGTTGTGCGAGTTGTATGACGCAACGATAGATTGGGTCTCGGTGTCGAGGACGATTACTTGGCCCTGCTCTGTGGACACAGCCAGAGATCGACCATCAGGCGACTATATCATATCAGAGCCCATACCATTCCTCTTTCGACCCGAGCTCACATATTGCAGGTCCATACAGAACTTTCCCTTGCCGACATCCACGGCCGACCGGGGTCCGCTCAAGATGCCTTGGCCCTCTGAGCTGGCTTCCGAGGAGATCGAGCCAAGACCGATATTGGAGCCACAGCCTGCCCAAGCCCATGAAGTGCCTTGCGGGTGGATAGCGCACGCGAACGCAGGCACCTCTGAAAAGCAGAGTCAGCAAGCATGTCATCAGCAGGAAGCAAAGAGTCCTGACTAAATTCATCCTCCCCAATCGCTTCACTTGCAGTCTCCACCTTACCCAGGATCTCCCCGCTCTCCGTGTCTATAGCCACTACAGTCCCGTCCAAGCTCGCGGCTAAAGCTCTAGTACCATCGGCAGTGACTGAAAGGGAAGAGATGGCGAGGGGGTGGGACGGGATGGTGTGTACTGGAGCGGTGAGGGAGGAGGAGTCGTAGATTCTCAGATGCCCATCGGCGGATGCGGAGATGATGTTGTTGGAGTGCAGCCAGGCGAGGTTCCAGAGGGCGTCCGGGGCAGCTGCGAGGTGTTAGTTATATGGGCAGGTGGAGAAAGAAAGGCGTACGGGTTGTGGATTCTTGTTGGAGGTACGCCAGAGACTGGAACAGGTCAGTGCATTCATACTTGACCTCATGGATGGACTTACCATTGAGGGCTGTTTTCAGGTGACGAGAGTAGTGATCAGGAAGGTTGGCGCGAAAGAAAGAGGAGATGAGCGGGTTCCAGCGTCATCGTTTTTCGGGGGCCGGATCTCGGGACGGCTAGAGCGATAAGACGCCGAGTGAAATGTCTTTTTCATCTCACTTTTCGCCATGTCCCTCGCCGACAGCGTAGACTCCCTCCCCCCCCCAGACGACCCCGGGCGCATCCTCTCAGTCCAGTCCCACGTCGTGTCCGGCTATGTCGGTGCGTCAATTTGCTCCGTCCACCGCCATCGCTGACACACCATATCAGGCAACAGAGCTGCCACATTCCCCCTCCAGACCCTGGGGTACGACGTGGACGTGGTCAACACTGTACAATTCTCGAACCATACTGGTAATACCTTTCCCTCTGTCTATGCGTACAATACCGACTCTGCTACAGGCTACGGCTTCACCGACGGGCACAAGACATCGCCTGACGAGATAGCGGCTATATTCAACGGTCTCCGTGTCAATGGCCTCCTGACCCATCCCAAGGTCCTTACAGGGTATATACCAAGTGCTTCGGCTTTGCAAGTCGTCGCGAAGAACATCGAGAGCATGAAAGACAAAGATCCGGAGACTATCTATCTTTTGGACCGTGAGTCTGGATACGGTGCGGATTGAGTATGTGCTGATACCTTGCACAGCTGTAATGGGAGATATGGGAACAGGCCTTTATGTCGCGCACGATGTGGTACCTATATACAAAGACATGCTCAGTCTCGCAAGCATCATTACCCCCAACCAGTTTGAAGTCGAGTCAGTTCAAAATCAAAAAACACTCTTATCTCAATCCCCGTCACTGACGTTATTCTAGGCTCTTGTCAGGCATCAACATCACAGACCTGGCCTCCCTCCGGAAGGCTCTCTACCACCTCCATACCACCTCGCCTCTCCCGCATATCGCATTCTCCTCCATTCCCCTCCCCATCGCCCTCGTCGCGTCTCTGACCCTGCCTCCCCCGCCCAAATCTTACACCCGCTTACTGCCCCACCCCCTACCTCCGTGGTACGATGCGGTCGGAGTGGGTGCACCAGAAGATGAAGTTCTGGTCTGTTTCGCGAGTAGTTGGGTGGACGGGCAGATGGAAACGCATGCCTTCGCGCTGCCCACCATCCGGGGATACTTTTCGGGCGTGGGAGACCTGTTCTCTGCTATGGTCTTGGCGCACTTCAAAAACCCACAAGCCAAGACCGATCTGCCGCCTCTGGCCTATGCAGTGTCAAAGGCATTGTTGACGGTACAGCAGATCTTGCTACGGACGCATATTCATTCTTTGGCACAAGCCGAAGCGGCGGGTAACGCTACGCCGCGGCCCCTCCATAAAGCGTCTCATCAACCGCCCAGCGTCATCCCCTCCGACGCGGAGCTCGACGACGTCCTTCCGTCCAACCCGAAAGACCCCAAAAGAAAAGCGCGAAGAATGAGGTTGAGAGAGTTGAGAGTGGTGCAGGAGAGAGCGCTGATCGAAGACGGAGGTGAAGGATGGCCGGGAAAGAAGTTGACTTGGGAGCAATTACTGAAGGGACATGTGTAGGCATATACATATAACCATAGTCCTTTCTACTCGAGTACCTTATCACGAAGCTTGACTCCTTGATCCCAAGGATTGAGTTGTGAGCTGCAAAGACTGATGCAAGTCTTCATAGCTCTGTTTCTGCAAATCCTGCAAGAATCTTGCAAGAGAGGCATTATCGAGTCGAGACGTGCTGGCGACTTGCTTGAGTTTTGCCCGAAGCTTGAGGGGTTCCCGCTTCCGTCAGAGACTCCCCCGGTCAGCATACCTAAAACTCACCTCCCAGAGGACTTTACGTCTGTGAACAATGAGATTCGATAAACTTGACTGCCGGCCTAATCTTCCGTCAATATGTCCCCCAAAATCGACCTGGAGGGTCCTCTACCTTGCTCTTCCAAAGCACTCAGCTTCTCCGCAACCTCCGTAGCTCTCTCAATCACCGACTGGGGCAACGACGCGAGTTTTGCGGTCTCCAAGCCGTAGTGCGAAAGAGGTGCTGCTCCTTCGGCAACTTTGTAAGAGAAAGTGGATGTGAACTCGGAGGTTTCTTTGCTTGCATCGTGCTATAGTGAGCATATGAGCTTGCCGCTTTTCTTTTTTCGCTGGGTTGCTCACTTGGACTTTGAGGTGGAGCCTGTTGATCATTAGCAGAAAGATCTCCCACCACAGGACGCGATACTGACTTGACCACTCCAGGGAGATTTCCGAGGATTACCGCCAGGTCGTGATAATGAGTTGCAAAGAAGACCAAAGTCTTTCACAGTGTCAGTCGTTGATAGATGGCATACTAGAAAGAAAGGCAGGCTGGGAGGCTTACTTTGCGTGTGATCAGAGCTTCTGCAATGGCATGCGAAATACCCATCCCTTCCAAGGAGGACGTTCCTCGTCCCAGCTACAGCCGCCCCGTGATCAGAATAACAATCGTTCGCACAGGAGAAGGGCTCACTTCATCGATGAGGACCAAAGTGCGGGGCGTAGCAAGACCTACTTGGATGAGGGCTGGTTTTCGAAGCTCAGGTCAGGTGCTCACCAAGTATCATTGCTGAAGTAGCCATCTCAGCCGCAAAAGTTGACAGACACTTTTCCATTGAATCTTGCACCCCATCAGCTTCCATATCATAGACTTTTATTCCACAAAATCACCCACCGTCATTGGACAACCGGCTCAGCAAAGCGTCCGGGAGAGGAAAACAAGCATATTCGGCCGGCACGCTGAATACGAATATATGACGTGAGTTACACCGGCTGAACCAAGAGCACATATCACTTACAAACAGCCGACCATGGCTTGGACAGTCAGTATACCGATCTGTCTGAGATACGTGCTTTTGCCGGACATGCTACCAGATCCTGGTCAGCTAGGATTCTGACGGCCAGAGCCGGGGGCGACACACTTTGGTCCTTGGATGATCTGAAAGTTGGCAGAACCTCTCGAAGCATAGACGTGGTTGGGAACGCATTCGCCGGTACCTAGAGTCCCGTCGAGTATGGGGTGGCGTCCGCTGTGTATCTGAAATGCTTTCAGTCGGGAAACAAAACCAAGTTGATAAATGCCTAAGCAAGAAACTGACCGCTAAGGTGTCTTTGAATTCGGGTCGGACTTGTGACAATGTCAATAGTTTCACTTACACGCCCAGGCTATATGAGCTTACTGCAATTGTGACCTATTTTGGCAGTCAGTGATCAATGCATGCTTATCCCTGATGTGCTCACCATTAGCGTGGAAAGCAAAGCCTGCTACCAGATCCAGCACGGCAACCTAGAAAACGTCAGCCGTGCTCAGCCCGATGAATGGCTTGAAAACTCGCAGCTTCTGTGCAATGATAGAGTCCGCTGAGAGTACCCATGACTTCTGATATGAGGTTTGCGACAATCTGACCGCTGATGAGGAGCACCTCTTGCTCGGATTGAGACAGCTTGGCACATCGTTTGAGCTGTAATTCCTATCTCGTTAGCATACGTTTTTTCGTTGCCAGTCTTGCCGTGACTTTCCAATTCCTGATTGGTGAACCGGATTCTGCAACGGTAGTAAGTCACCAAGAGCCTAAAATCATTTGTAGATCATGGCTCACTTGTTCTTCATCTTTTCCACCCCATAGAACTCCGAGGGAAGAGCGTGTTCGATGTCATCGGCAGGTACGGTAAAGTAGAAGTTGCGCCCCTTGTTTTCGACTTGACAGGTGAAGCTGTGGGTTGCTATGGAATGTCAGCTCCCATTCGTAGGCAAGAACCCATGAGGACAGTCTACTAACCATAGATGTCTTTTTCTACTGTCAAGAGGAAAGGTATCACACATTGCATCATTCAACATTGCCTGTCAACTCACAGTCGTAGATGTCCTGCAAGTTCTCCTGATATGTCTGTCTTGCAACATCGAGTAGAGGTGCAAAACTGGCTCTTACGGCGAACAGTCTGGAGATCCTCGAGTTCTGACCTTTTGCGCTTTTACCGACGGAGACCTCTCGCGAAAGACAAGCTATAATGTAAGCATATACAGTGTATATCTGACAACGCACCATCGATGATACCGAAGACTTGATCCAGCTGCTGTCCAGAAAAGTCCTATACCGTTTATGAGTGCAAGTCGTTTACAAAAGAGATTCCCGAACCTTGGCGATAGATCGAAGGATGTGGGATTCAGTGTTGGCCAGCTCTTCTCGCAGGGCCTGTACCACTTGAAGATACTCCATCAGATTGAGCAAGAGAGATATGCGGGTGTCTGTGACGTTCACTTCCATGATGTGAAGTTGCTGCTGAGATATCTGTATTATATGGCAGAGAAATAAGCAAGCATTCGTCGCACTGATTCACAAAATGCTGACCTGGGAAAGTATCGAGTCCAGATCAAGCTTGATTTCCAGTCAGAGGATGTCGGTTACGGAGCATACTGCTCACCTGGGCCACGGATGCGAACTTTGAACGAATGATAGTCAACTTGTCTCCGCACTTGACCAGTTCTGGAGACAGTCAGTACCACCCGGTCAAGGATACAAGCAAACTTACCTTGCGTGGCATCAAGCCTGTCATCAATCAACTTGACGACTGTGAGGGTGATGTCAGGCGAGTAAAACGTGATCGCGTCATCGGGCAAGGTTCTCACAGTTACCAGGTTGCAAGATGCTGGTGCGCAGCAATCGAGAGCCCATAGGCGTGTGGCAATGGTTTAGGACAGCTATGGGAAGTCAATCTTCTGAATCCTGAGCAGGCTTGTGACTCACAGAAAAGTGTGTTGGTCGTCTTGTTCGTCAAGCCGTTTCGGACCAGTTCCAGGCTTCTCGCAGTATCCACATCGATAAACATGGTTCCTGCAAGGTGGTCAGATCAGACAAAGGGAATCATGCTAGAGCTCCCACCTTCTGATGCTGCATATCGGATGCGCAAGCTTCTCTCTTGGATCTCGATACCTTTCTCCAACTTCAGATACTTGAAAAGAGCCGAAACCGCACAGAGAGCGTAGAATCTGGAGATCATGTCAGCCCTAAGAGGAAAGTAGAGTGATTCAGCTTACTTGTCCTCGACGGCCATCAGAGTTGAGGCTTTGAGCTCATCATCCACTGCTAGAGACTCCACAAAGTCACGGCCTTTGACCGATAGTCAGCTCGTGCACTCGCGGCGAGGAACATGACTCACCTGTTTCCCTGTTCCACAACGCTCTTTCAACGCCCATGCACTCGATCTCGAACTCTTCTTCCAACTGTTCTACCAAAAGACCATCTCCAATAGTTCTCCTCTCGTGCTTGAGATACTGTTGTTTGTTGTCGTCTTGAAGCATGGTGTCAGGCACTATGATAGCGCTCGGGGGATGTGAGTAGAGATGTTGAATTGTCTTGTGGAAAGCTGTGTGAAGGTCAGTCCGTAGTTTTGTGGGCGAGAGGGCTGGTTCTCACTGGCATTGTCTGCAATCTAAGCAGGGACATCAATCAGGCGAAGGTCTAGGAAGAAAGCTAAGTGTCCTTACCTGCGTGACGACAGTCTGAGAACTGAGTTAGCTCTAGCTTGCAGGATATTCCTCATGTAGCTAACCTTTCCTGTGAGAAGACAGATAGCGGCGACGCCTATCTCATTACCGCTGCCTGTAGCGTGACTTCTCAGACGACATATCACATGAAATCAGTCACCACTGACCTTTGCCTTGTAAAAGAGCGACGACGAATGGGGGGCTGTCATCGGCATGGGTCGAGGCTCTAGTGGGTGGGCGGGAGATCCCATGGCGGCGGACAGAAGTCACTACAGAGTTGGAACGCCCACCCCGGCGGCTGTAGGCGGTGTTTGTGGGGGAAGGCGGGAGTGCATTCTGTCTAGAGGTGGTGGCCGTACTGGCGGTGCGGTGTTGCGGTATGGCGGGCACTGTTGAGCGAGCCATGGTGCGCAAGAGGCGATGAGGAATAAATGCAAAAGAGAAATGAGATGGCAAACGGTTGACATCAACCACGACACCACGAGGGTCCAAGCGTGACCGTCGGCTTATGAACACACAGCCTTTCCTGCCTCAACAATAATAATGTGTCGTCTCTTTGGTCCTTCTGCCTCAGCCTGATCTTTCACTGCGCGCCATCTGGAAGGAGCGTAACTGCTAGAGGGACACTGCAAATAAGCCATGATGCATACACACAACAAACAATTTATACAAAGCGATTACGCTCACTATGCAACACCCAAGACCCCACCTTAAGATTTCTTCTTCAACCATGCCGAAATGGTTCCTCTCTCAGCCACTCTCTCCTCCTTCATCTGCTCCTTTGGCTTCACCGGAGAGCTACTCTCGCCTCGTATGACCACGGGTCTCTTCTGGTCGGCTTTCAATCTCTTCGTGACCGCCGGAGACACTCGGCTCGCCTCCCTGATCGCATCCTTGTTCAAGCACCAATCGACATGGTCGTTGAGCTCCTGGTTGGACGTGCCCCCGGGAAGGTGCTGGCCACATATTGGACACGCAGGGCCAGGCGAAGGAGAAGGGACATCGGTCGAGGGTGTTGGAGATTTCCGTTTGCCGAGAAGAATGTGGGACGATGGATGGGATTCGACAAAGATTGGGTCGTCGTCATCATCTGACTCATTGTAAATCTCTCCATCATCTTCATCCATCTTCGCCATCTCGGACATACGACCTCTCCTTTTGGATGATTCTTCGGCCGTATTCTCAGCTGGAGGTTTGAAGAACTGACATGCCATCAGGACAGATGATTACCAGCAAGAGACATGCTCACCCCTTTGATACCCTTCTCCTCTACTGTTAGGTCCTTCAACGTCGATAAGCGTATCCCTAAAAGGCGGATTCGCAGGGGCAGCTCCCGTTTCAGTAGCTCTTGTGCAATGGGCAAGATCTCTTCAGCAGTTGTGAGGAATCTTGTCACTGATTTGGCCCTTGTCTTATCTGCACTTGTGTCAGCCGGGCAGATAAACTGGTTGGAAAACACTGACTTTCGTATGTATGTAGCTACAGACAGCAAATGTCAGCGTACAGCTATATGGACCAGATCGGGACGCACCTTGAATTTGACGGTAACGGTCTTCCCAGCATATTGCAGGCGCTCGAGATCCTTCTCCAGCTCGTCCGCAATGTCGGCCAAACAAGCCAAGATATCGTCGTCATTCGTCTTGTCTCTGAAGGTGCGTTCCACTCCGACGCTCTTTCGCTCTTCTCTTTTCCCAGGGGCAACTGTATTGTCGGAGATCCCGAGGTAAGCCTTGCTAAGATGAACAATCAGCCATGACAGTAGGTATACAAGCGGGAAACGCCTCACCAAAGCCCATGGAAGCCAAACCAATGATCCAACAGCAGTAGCTCCACCCTCTTTTCGTATATTTGCCCGCAAGTCTCCACCCCCAGCCCTTCAAGACACCGCTCCGTCACTCGTCCAAAGCCTGGGATTTTGCGAACAGGAAGATCGCGCATGAACTTGACAATCTCGGCACGCTCAAAGCTGAGCTCGAATTGGCCGTTGGGTTTATTTTTGTCGGAGCAGATCTAAGAACGGTCAGAGATGTAGAAACATTCTAGCCCTGACACACCTTGGCAAGCATCTTGTTAGGGGCAATGCCGGCTGAGATGGTAAGGTTTGTCTTTTCTTCAACTTGTGCCCGGAGTTGGGTGACGACCTCTGCGGCTGTCATGCTATGCGTGGACATGTAAGGTGTGATGCTGAGGCCAAGTGTCAGTTGATCTTCTGCTGGAAGAAAGTGAAGCTCACTTGAGATAGCCTTCGTCCAAGCTAGCCATCATGAGATTCTCGTCATACTGGACAAGCACTTCACGGACAGACTTGGAGGCGGCAATGTACAAGTCAAAGTGCATTTCGGTCCTACATTCGAGCATCAGCACAGATCTCGAGTCGTCATAGATATCTACAAGATGATCTGGGGGCAAAGCTTTTTGGCTATGAAGCCAGCCATCCCTGAGCGACATCCAAACTTTCTGGCCTCGTACTGTCCGATTATTAGCACCCCGAAAACTTGTATGTGAAGACTTACAGATGCGGTAGTCAACACCCCTCGACCCACGCCGAACGGTTTGCCTTTTAGGGTCGGGTCACGTTGGACCTCTACAGAAGCATACTATAATAGATGAAGTCAGTGGAGCTCTTGCAAATGACTTATTCGAGCTCACGAAAGCATCCATATCCACATGTATGATGGTCTGTGACAGATCACGAAGAGCCTCGACATCCATGAGCTAAAAAGAAGTCAGTAAGCAGCCTTGCGAGCCTAAGCGACGCACTATACGATCGGCCTCAGCTTCAATCTGCTCTTCTTTAGCCATCGACATCAGTTCATCTCGCTGTACAACGATGATCAGTTACTGTCTGTTTGATTGATGCAGGACTTACTTTGGCCCTATACCATGTGATTTTCTCATTGAGCTCTTCGTCTTTTCTGACCTGATTCTTGTAGTATTTGGATCCCTATTTTCTGTCAGCTCTGGTAGTGTGTATTCTTATACAGCTCACTTTGGAGGCTTCCGCGATGATCCTGTTGATTTCTGCGCCCATCATTGTCAATGACTGGCGCTTGCTTGTGCCCGCTACACTGACCCGTTTGGTCTCTCATCAAACCTGTATGCTGGTCAGATATCGACGCATATCGAGATTGACATCTGGCTTACCTGCTTTGCCAACACTCGGCCCAGCCAGACTTCTCTCAAAGCTCCTCTGCTTTGCCTCTGCTTCCGCCCTCTCTTCCACCGTCATTTCTTCCCATTTCCTCTTCTCATCTTCTTCCTTATCCTTCCCCTTTCCCTTGTTTAAGCTATGTGGGCGTGACATGGCACTGTGTCGAGGACATCAAGTTGAAGCTGGCTTTGCTGACAAACCACCACAATCATTGCACCACAACAACAATAAATCGCGGTTGACATCACCAGATCCGGACACCCTCCATATGTCCCCGCTTATTTCCTCTTCCTTGCTTCTCCGAGAGAAACCCGGAGCACATTTCATGCTCAAATCTGCATCTCGCGCATATATACCCAGCACAGTACTCTCGAGAAGGACCCTCACGAAGATGGCCTACCCAACCAGCCCCCATGACCCCCTCGAGCTGCTGAACAAGCTCCCGGAAAAGTTCGAAGACGCGAGAAAGAGTGGACAGTTGTTGTTCTTCCCAAGCGAGGCCAAGGATATCTACATCTCTGGAAAGAAGGTGAGACGATCTGGCTGACGCGACTGCCTCCATGGTGCTCACTATCGCACAGTTCAACATCCGACTCTGTCCGGCTCTCCAAGACAAGTCCAAAGCCAAGTCGGACGCCCTCGCTGCTGTCAAAGCGGAGAGAGACGATGGATCTCCAGACAAAAAGAGGCCTAGGACTGCCGGGTCATCCAAGAATGACGAGGAGGGGCTGGAGGACAAGCAGAACGCACAAGAGCCGTTCAAGCCGCCCTATGTGCCAGAGCTTTTCGTCGGGTCTTTGAAGGGAATTGATGGAGAAGAGGGGATGTCTATCTTGGTGAGTACTGTGAATAGAAGTGCATGAATTGCTGCTGATGGCCACATAGCTCAACAAAGTTTGTATTTGCCGCTTAAGCCTCATTGTCCTTCACTGATCATTCATAGTACGCCGTCCTCCCCAACCACTTCCTCCTCTGCCCTCCTTCCTATCAAGCTCAAGACCTCCCCCCTACCCCTCCCCAGCTTGCCACAGCTTACTCTCTCCTTCTTGCCGCTTCTCGAAACCCCAGCAACCCGGCCAACCTCCTCGCCTTCTACAACGGCGGCCCCGGTGCCGGCGCTTCTCAATCCTGGCGTCATATCCAGTTCGTCAACGTCCCAAACGGCCGCGCTCCTGTGGAAGACTGGGTACAGAGCGTCAATTTTGAAAGGCCTGACAGAGCCGTGATCGTGCCCGACTTGCCATACTTGCATGTGGTGCATCCCCTGCCCCCTGCTGGGTCTCTGCCTTACCCGTTGACAGAGGAGGCGGAGGAGAATCTGGTGGATGTGTTGGCGCTGGCGCTGATGAAGCTCCTGGATATGGCATTCGATGCTGCCAGGCGCGGAGGGGGAAGGAAGGATGGTGGATGGAACTTGCTTCTCACTCTGTGCGTCCACCACACCTAATATCAATCTTTACTGACTCTCTGCAGAAACCATATCCACCTCATTCCCCGAAACCTCCCCTCCTATCCCCTTCCATCTCCTCATCAGCCACTTGAACTGAACTCTCTCGGTTACGCCGGGCTCATTCTCGTCCGCTCGCAAGAAGAGGAGGCGGCTCTCATGTCTGCGGCGGAAGCCGAGGGAGGCGGCTTGGTGGGGTTGCTGGCCAAGTGTGGAGTGCCCAGGGAGACTGGAGAGAAGGTGCTGGAAGACGAGGCCGTGTTCCAAGGACAAGTGGATGCGGGACTGATTTAGATACGTAGAAGACGGTATATGAATAAGAGAAGCTCAGACGTCGTCTCGTCAAACAATCATGCATTTGTACCATACATACCCAGGGTCATCAGGGGTGATACAAGAGTCACCTCTTAGTCTCTCCATGATGGCCAAGCTCGAGAGAAAGGAGAAGTGGAAGAAGGATGATCTAGCTCCGTTCTGTGGCGCTCCTGGGCAGTTCGAGTAGATAATTTTTGCCTGTCGAGACCTTGCCAGGACCAGAACTTTGCATGGCGATTGCACGAGAGCTTGCCGCTTTGCTTGTTGGCCGACAGCATACGTACTTTTGTATGGTTCGGCATCTTCGCTATCACGTGACTTACCCTTAGTTGCAAGAGACGCAAGCAGGACGCAAGAGACGTGTTAATTGCGTGTTAATCAAGAACGACCAGTCTATATCTCTCTCAGTCACAATGTCCCGGTAATGTCCACCCTGGAAGCACCTCACGAATCCACTAAACCCTCGAAATGGGGCAAAGTGCGCTCGTCTGTCAAGTTCACAGCGGCAGCCAAAGAGAAGAACCGAGCGACAAAGGCAGATAGCTTGTCCGTCTCGAATGCCCCTATGCAGAGCTCAGCCGGGGCAGCGGCAGCCAGAAGCTTGGTGCTGTTCTTCGGTATGTCTGAAAGAAGAAGGGCCGAAGGCAGTAGCTGATAGACGCAGGTTTCTTGTTCAGACGGCCTTCGAAACTGTTTAAACCGAACAGAGGCAAGTGCACCGAGCAAATCCGCCCTCAGAGCTGACAGGCAGACAGTCGACACATGGCTAGGTCTCCGACAGCTCGCTATATCGACAGACCAACATCTATCCCCAGCATTCATCCGCTCACTTCTCCAAAATCGTACAGGCCTCATCGCCGTGGGCCTCACCATCCTCCCTCCCATGCTCGTGAACGCGACACTCGGATTCTTACTCTTCACTTCACATTCCCTCTTTTCCCTGGGTCTTGCAAAGTTGGACTGGTTTCAGAGAAAGGTGGAGGTGGAGAATGAAAAGGGAGAGATGATCGTCGAGGAGCAAGAGGAAGAACTGAATCTGGAGACCCTGATACGGGGGCCCAGTGTGATACCAAACCACCCAACGGTATTGAGTGCGGTAGCTGGGGCAGGGGCGGGGCTGATACAGGGGATGGCGTTCACCCCAGTGGACAATGTTGTCAGGTACGCTTTCATCTAAGCCATGACCGGACGCTAACATGGGGCAGACTTATACATCAATCTACCACATCTTGGGTCAATATTCTCGCCCGGTTCGTGCATCTTCCCGTACCCAAGACTCCAGACAATATGAAGGGAAGTTCCGTCACGCCTGTGCAGGCAATAAAAAACTTCTTCTCAGACGATGCGTGGAGAAGGAACAGGAACTGGTGGATAGGCTGGCGGTGGGCTGTTTCCCGTGACGCGTAAGTCACGTCGTGGACCCGGCCAATTCGGAAGCTCATGAAGGTGAAGGTTGAGCTACAGCTGCTTCTTTGCTACCTTTGATGTGACCAGGCGAGTGGGCCTGCGAGTGAAGGGCATGTTTGGCGGCAATATCGAGCATGACTGGGACAACATCTTCATCCTTGATTTTGACGGCAACGCCCACGATGATTCCATTTCTTCACCCTCTCCACCACCTTCCAACAATACCTCCTCCTCTTTACCGACCTATCGTCCCACAGGGGATCAACCTCAAGCGCCCACACTCGCCCGCGTAGCCCAAGCAGCGACAATAGTGACGGGCGGTGTGCTTGCCAGTTTACTGGCTCAAGCGGCGGGACGACCATTCAGAGAGTGTCAACGGATCATGCAGCTGGACGACCGGGAGTGGGCGCGCAGGGCCGCCAAGGGAGAAATGATGGCTAGAAGACCGCACTTCTGGCAAGCTCTACTCAAACCCCGTCCCGGGGCCAGACCGCACCCCATCTTAAACACACTACAAACCAAGGGCCTCCGCCCTTTCATTAGATCGGAAGGAGAGTTCAAGAGTGCGCAGATGAAGCGCGAGTTGGCGCAGGAAGCACAGGCTCAGGGGAAGCTCAGGGGTATGGTAGGAACGGTGGTGAAGAGGGTCGGGTGGAGAGTGGCCAGTGTTGGGCCTTGGGGGTGTGGGTTCCTGGTATGGGCTTGGATCGGGGGCGAGGTGTAGATCCAACGTAGCTCATGAAGGCATATCATAGAAGGGATGAAGCAGCGACAACTATACATATTTCATCTAATGCTTGACGGATATGCAGTGCTGTCGCAATAGACCAGGCGGTCTTCTGTTGAATTGCGGCCGCCCGCTGGGCCAGTCTTTAGCATTTGCATGATACTGGAAGATACACTCTTGAATTAAGCTCTTCCTCAGAGCGGCACCATAACCGATCCCTACAGCATCAAGCGCCAAAATGGTCATCGTCAAGCGTACTTCAGCGGTCCGTCGTCGGGCTTCCAAGCCGCCCCGTCATCCTACGTTCACCACGTCGGGGCCTCTCTGCGTTATTTGCGTCTCAGACCAAGCGCCTCGAAAGTCCTCGGATGGTTCATCCATCCCCATCTTCTGCGGCACCTGTGAAGGAGGAGTCTATGCCGAGGGAGCCATACTACAACTTATTGGCAAGGTACGCCTGTTTCTTTTGTTGTTGTCATCTTTATCTGACCACACATAGATGGATGATGAATTGATCGAACACGAAGTGGACTACCTGCACGACACTGAGCAGACTGGTCTTTTTGGGGTTGGTATTTGGTGAGTGATGCGCTGAAAACACCGATGGGTCTGACCTTGCCGATAGACATCGCCCTCCAGAATTGGCGATACATACAAACAAGCTCTCCTCGACCTACTGGAAAAGTGCAGCTACCTCGATGACCTCATCACCAAGACTCGACAGCGGTTCCCGTCTGTCAAAGCAAGCGAAGCGGAGGTGCGAGATGCCCTTCGTCAGCTGGACACCCATCTGGAGACGTACCCGTCGTCCTACTTTGACCCCAAGCTTGATTTGAGAGTGCCTACCATCGTTATCGGCGACCACCCCCCGGCTTTTGCCCTCGCATTTTGATGGTATACTTTCAGATAGCCTCATTTTCGTTCATGTGTGTGTCTCCCGTCATGATTTGGTTTCGGAGCTTGGAGAGCTACTCGATTTTGTAAGGGGACCTGGGTTTGTGCTGATATATCTCACAGTCGTGTTTCGCGAGGTTGATCAGTAGAATGACAAATTAGGGACGAGTGAAACGCATACAGAGTGATATTGAATTTTAGTAGGGTCCTCTCTGCTTCTTGGCCCAGAGTGGCAAGGAATTTGAGCGAAGACGCATTTATGAGCTTGGCAGCATTGCGAAAGATGGACGATGATGCGAGGGCAGAAGCGCTGGGATTTAGCAGGAAGGAGAAGAATTTGAAGGCAAAGATGGACGATGCAATGGACCAGATTGAAGCGGTAAGATGCAGTGGTCTAGACAGAGTCGAGGAGATGGCTGATTACATGGGATACTGTTGGATCATTGTCGCACCTTCATCTTCGCCACTTGTCGACGAGCCCTCCTTGAAGCAGGACGTGACTCCCCTTTCCTTCAAGACCCCTTCAAAGACGGCGAGAGTGAAGGGAAGCAGCTCTGGATTGAGGTTATTGAAGAAGAGTTATCCAAAAGAGAGAAGCGGAATGAAGGTAGGGATTAAGGGGGTGCGAATGTTGGTTGATGTATTATACGGAGACGGAGGAGGATAGTTTAGTGACATGTATATGAGATCATGGGGGTGTCTTGGTGGACCATGGCTGTTGGGTTGCTTCGTTCAACGTTGCTGCTGCCACATCCAGGGATATCCACCTGAGCCTTACAGCATATGGTGGAGACGGGCGCCGTTGCCACAGATTGGCACGTTTTTGGCCTGCCGAGCGCGGCACGCTAAGCGGGAACCAAACTGCCGGCAAGCTCCGGCTCGCTGATTATCTCTGATAGGAGAATATGACTGCGTCACAGCGAGTAGCTCGGGGCTCGGAGAGTAAACTTGGCACAGCTTGACGAGCGTTATGGTATGCTGTCGGGGCTCACCGCGCCCTCTCCAGTGCAGCGTACTCGTGCCGTACGGCCGTAAGCTTCGTACAGAGTACATACATAAAGGGAAAGAAGCGCCAAGAGACTGGTGCCTGGAAGTGGACGCCGCCGCCCACCTGAGATAAATACCCGCATGTGTCGCCACCAGCTTTTTGCTTATTCTTCTACTGTACTACTACTACTGCTACTCTACTGCTACTATACTACTACTATGTCCCACGACAACAAGGTATCCATGGACGCCACCACCATCGACTTCAACAACAGCACCGGTGCCAAAACCCAGTTATCCTCCGCGGGCCACTCCGTCCCAGGGAGCGAAGAGCTCGATCGCTATGTCACAGACGACGTCCCCAGGCAGCAGAAGATGTCTGTCAGGCCTCAAACCGCCCCCGAGGGAGGTTTGATCGTAAGCACTCTTTCAATCGTACCAGACGCACGCTGATCGTGGACAGGCCGTGCAACCCCTGCAGAAGAACGAGATGCAACCTTCTTACGCTCAAGACCTCGGCGCCGGCTCAATCGACGTGAGTTTTTTCATTTACTTCCCGTAGAGATCGAGCTGATAGATCAACAGCACGGCTGCTATGGAAGCTTCATGAACGGCCTTGGTGCTTGTATCGGTGCTCTCGGTGAGTTGACTCTTTTTTGTGTTTGGTTCACATGTTGACGATCACCAGGTGTCGTGCCATGCTGCCCCTGCCCGAACGTACGTCTCAAAACATATAACACGAAATTCTCACTGACACACCCTGCAGCCCTTCCACAACATCTCCCAAGGCTCCGTCGGCCTCGTCTCCCGTTTCGGCAAGTTTTACAAAGCCGTCGACCCCGGTCTCGTCAAGATCAACGTCTGTACTGAGGGCGTCCAAGTCGTCGACGTCAAGATTCAGCTCACCGGCGTGCCCCGCCAGACTGTCCAAACCAAAGACAACGTCTCGGTCGATGTCGACAGTGTTATCTGCTGGCACGTTATCTCGCCGTACAGAGCGGCTTATGGCATTTCCGACGTCCGATCTGCACTGGTTGAGCGTGCGCAGACGACACTTCGACAGGTCGTCGGTGGTCGTGTCTTGCAGAGTGTCATCTCTGACCGTGAAGGTCTCGCCCACGAAGTCGCTGAAATCGTACGTCCCCCTTACCAATCTTTTCACCTCCTGCTAATCCTCTCTGTAGATCGAAGCCACCGCCGAAAAGTGGGGTGTCGCTATTGAATCCATCCTCCTCAAAGACATCAATTTTTCCATCGAGCTCCAGCAATCTCTCTCTTCTGCTGCTACCCAAAAGAGGGTCGGCGAGAGTAAGGTTATCGCGGCGAGGGCAGAGGTCGATGCCGCCAAGTTGATGAGGCAGGCTGCCGATGTGAGTTCTCATACTATTTCTTGATGAGACAGCTCTAATGTGGCGTGTTAGATCCTTGCTTCCCCGGCGGCTATGCAGATCCGACAACTCGAGGCTCTGCAGAACATGGCTCGCAACTCTGGCTCAAAGGTCATCTTTGGTACGTCCCATATGTCTCTATCTGCTACACTCATTCTGACTTGATGGGTAGTGCCGATGAACCTCGGCGGAATGGGCGCCGCGGGTCTTAACAACGACGTTGCCGACCAGATCCGCGCTTCTGGTCATGAGGGTGAGAATGCCGAAGCTGGACCCTCGTCGGCCAGTAATGCAGGGTTGATCACTTCTATGGCCAACATCTAAGTCCCAAAGTTCTTGTCGAGTTACGTCTTTGAAACGAAACGGAAAGAAAGGAAATTATGTTTGGGAATCAGTAATCTTTACGAAAGGAAAAGGGGTTATCTATAATTTTGGAAAGTGAAGGAAGGGAAAGAGGAAAAGTGAGAATAGCTACACACAGTATAATTGAGATTAATCTTTTGGGTCCATCGTGCGCCTGTCTTATACAGGCAGACCTACTGTAATTCTATCTTGCTAGCCTTCTATGCGAGTCAAATGTAAAGTACGTGCACTGTGACCCGCCAGATTCCCGCTTTGCACGCATTGCACATCCTCTCTCTATCCCTCTATTCTCCTCATCGTTCCACATTCCACCGTGTGGATCATCATTGGGCAGATGATGGTATACACGTACATATACATTATAGGCTCTCTACAATCACTTTCTCCTCCTTGCGAGCTCCTTCTCAAACCTCGCCTTCTTGGCCTTGCCCCCACTTCCTGACGTTCCCGCGCCACTGCCTCCTGTCCTCTTCTTCCCCCTCTCCAACACCTCTCCCCTAGCCCCAAACTTGCCCGATACACCATCCCAAACACCCTTGTCACCCCTTTCCCCAAGAACGCCTTCCAACTCGGCTTCCAATCCGTTCCTCCCTCTCCTGCCTCTGCTAGGCCCAACGCCAAAACCCATAGCGAGCGCCTCCTCATCCTCACGACGACGCTTCTCGTCCCTCTTGGAAGTGACCAGACGCGTCATGTTCTCTTCTTCAAACTCGTTGATCCGCTTGAGCTCTGCAGCGCGCTTGGCGCTTATGGAGTTGCTATGCTTGGCCAGCGTGCTCGATGTCGGGCGGACAGACAAGCCAGAGGTAGACTCGAGTAAGGGAGCAGAGTCCATCGTGGCGGCGAATTCGGAGAGGAGAGCGGGGGCACGACGCTCGCGTTCGCGCCGGGAGGGGGCGCCTTCTTCAGAGTAGGGCATGGCGGCCACTCGGGGAGGTCGGTAGATACCGTCGCCGCCCTCAGCTTCGTCGTCGTCGGAGGGAGTGCCTTCTCGGAGCTTGGGAGCGTTTCGGTTGACGATAGCCGTGGGGTTGGGTCGGAATGATAATGGGTCTTTCTTATTGTCAGTCAAGGGTCAAAGGCAGGTATAAAATTTACACACCTTCTTCGACATCTTCGACTACCTCTTTCCCACGCTTCTCCTCTGCCTCGGCGAGCCCGACGAGCTTCTTAATCTGATACTCGAGCTTATTCTCCAAGCTTCTTGTCTTGTCCATGACTTCCTGGTTCATCACCAGCTCTCCCGCAAGCTCGGTCAAAATATCCGTCAGGGACGAGAGTTCAGGGCGGGAACGGGGGTTGGTGAACGGCGTGGTGAGGGAGGAGGAGGAAGCGGGATTGGGCTGTTCTTCTTGGGGAGAAGTAAGGCTGAGAGAGAGGAGGATGACGAGCTGGTGTAGTGATGACAGCAAGAGGTGCGGCCGCAGATTCAGCAATGACAATCCTTGTCCAAACTCTAGGGCTTCATCCTTCTGTTCAACTCTGCACGAAAAGACACAAGTCAGTAGTTTGCAGCTGTACCAAAGAGCGAAGAGGCGTGCTCACTTGTTGAAGAGAAAAGTGGAAGAAGAAATAGTTGCATCAACAGCAGTCTGTATAGTCCCAAACAACTTCAACACCTCATCGGTGGAAAGGATCACTTCGGCGTCAGACTCCATCTTTTATCTGCGTTTGAGTGTCAGCTTGCACCTTGACAAATGATTGTTTTCTGGGGTATGCTCAGTCGCGAGGTTTCTAGGCTCGCTCCACCCTACTAAGGTGGAATAGGCGTGTAATCTATGTCACTTCTTTGAGTGCTCAGTGCCCAGTGCGGAAACATCACAGCATACCCGAGAACAAGCAGGAACACTTACGATTTGATTAGTTTGCTATGAAGAAGAAGGAATGAGAATGAGGAATTGCGACGAGGCAGAATTTTATCAATGGGGCGGGGACCGCCGCAGAATGTTGATGTCTTCATGTCACCACTTCTATCTTCTCTGACTTTCTGCTCACTTTGTGCTCACTACTACCGAGTCGCGCTCCTCTCCGTTCCGACTATCTGCATCCAACATCGGTCATTACACCATCAGAAGAATTCCTCGAGCTGATTACTCGTCGCTTCGTCCGCCATCTTCGCATACACGTATACAATTCTACCAAAAAGCAGGTCCCGCACTAACCAGTCAGAAGCTGGTCAGAAGGTCCAATATCAAGATAATGCTACCAGAATCTAGTATCAGGGATGCCGTTCTCTCACACACACTTGATGATGTTCCCAGCATGTTTTTCCGCGCTTATGATGGTACCATAAATCACGCTCTTCAAGGCTTGGACCAGTTGGCGCTTCCGACGGATCAGCGGGAGTGGGAAGAGGGAATTATTGAGCTGCAGCCCAGTGCAACGTATGAGAAGTGAGTTCGAGCCTTCAGACATCATCTCGGCTGATGACTGGCCACAGCCAGCCTGATGTGCAAGAGTATCTGAAACTGTTGGGCAGCGATATGGCCCAAGACAGAGATGATCAGATCGACGAAGGACGGAAGAAGTTGCTAGACGCAAGCCAGAAGGGATTTGGGTAAGGTGTCACAATCTGGGTCTTGGGATCAACCATGAGAGTAATTGACTGACCCAATGTCTAGCTTTTTCGTTTTACATGCAAGGTCCACTTCGTCCTCGGATCTACCCTCGAAGCTATATCGCAGCCATTTCTGGGCACAGCTGCTCAGTGACCCGTGTATCCGTGCCAAGATCGGTCACGATGTTCTGGATAGAACCTACACTGAACACTCGGAAAAGTATAGGTGGGATTCGGTGCTCACTATTGTCTCGGAAGGTCGTGGATAGTCTCTGGGACTATGGCCCGACCCTTCGGTGTTTGCCGATGTGAAAGGATTATCCCACGGTTTAGTCATGGTGGCTATATTCTTTTGCAAGCTACACTGCCTGTATGCTGATACCCACAGACCAATATGCGCGTTCCGTTGCCCACTATGATCCATCCTACTCCTGATCCGGCAACCCCGACTTACTCCATGATCATCGGCCATATGTACTCTCGGTATTGCAACCCATCTACGTCTCGATGATGAACACTTGGCGTTCCGATATTCTTATGATCTACAATGAGATTGACCTTGCTCTGGTGAATCACGGCATCGCTGTCAGAAGAGGACACTGGTACAATGATATATCGAATGTCGCTCGGGGAGGCCCACCACCTTGGTCATTTTGGCAAGAGGAGGCAGAGATCGCTAGGGCGAAAGAAGGATGTCGATGGGAAGAGTCAAAGAGAGAGTGTGGCGAGAGGGGGAGGGATCAGTATCAGTAGCGAGACCCAAGAACGATGGGAGGGTATAAATTGTGATCGAAGCTCGAAAGTCACAGTGCACCAGAACAAGTCAGAGACACCCCCGTTAGTTATCCGCGATTTATTGTATCTGGCATTTGACACCTCGGTCATGTCGCTATCTCTTGACAGATGCGTTCGAAGCTAGTAAGCTCTTCATCCACAAGGTTCGGCTCGTTGGCGACTGACGAACTACAGTCATCGCGATTATTCTGCCTATCTGTGTCTAGTAGGCATGGCCGTCTCTGAGGGGCATGGGAAGATCTGGGGGGATGTACTTTAGACAAATGTGCAGAGACTGGCCGAAACTACCTTTCCAAGGAGATGGCGAACAACCGTGGGCGCGTATATGGTGATATTCCAGTGTCATCTGGCTCATCTTTCCTCCAGCCTTTTCATATCCCCTACAGACACCGACCTTTGCCTCACAGCCGAAAACTCTTTTCTGACCCCAGGATGGGCTGCCGCACTGTCGAACGATTTTCTGCGAACCAAATTTGAGCGACTCTACTCGCAAGACACCCAGAAGCGGGATGGTGATAGTGATTTGTTCATTCGCTACGAAAACCTCAACATTCCAAAAGTGAGATTCCGAATCAGCGGGCACTATCAATCGGTAGACAACATCAGAATTCCCATCCCCGACGTCGTACCCATGTTCCCTCTTCCGGGAACCTGCGGCTTTGATCTAATCATGGGCCGTCTCTATCTGGATAGCACCCACCCGCTCAGCATCGCTCTACAGCATTGCTTGATCTCTGTTGAAGATGTATACAACAAACGACATCACGGCTTGGAAGCGGAAGGTCTGGTGGTCAGGGCTCTGGAGAGGGAAGGCCGCGATGTTGAATCCCATTTACAAGGTCTAGATAATGTGGAGAACAAGAGAGTCGAAGAGGAAGAGGAAGAACATGTGAAGGAAGGGGGCAGGGATGAGGACGGAGATGACGACGAGGAAGAGGACGATGAAGTTTGGAGCTGGGGGTGGTCGTAGCGTGAGACTCATATGCTTTCATCTATTGTTCATATCTATCTTTATTGTTCCCGATACGTCCACATGCATAGCTTCTCTCCTGTCTTTGCTATGTTGAACGAGATACTGGGCGCCTAACGACAGTGGTAGGCGCGCCGGTCTCCCGCGTGGTCCTCGCCCCTCGGCCTCCGTCTGCTTCGAGTGGTTTCTCTGCATCTACAACCGCCGCGATGGTCCCCGTCCCCCAGGAAGAGCTCCCCGTCCTCGAGGCCCTCATCAACATCCGAAACAGGCTCACCGCCCTCAAGAAGGCAAGTCCCCTCCCCTTCTGCCAGCCCCAGCTCACCCCCTCCAGGACACAACCCGCTTCATCCGCGCCCCCGATGTCATGCCCATATACAACTCCACCGTCAAGCAGATCACCCGCCTAGTCAATGTCAGAGACGAGCAATCCCAGTCGCATCCGAATCTCAATTCGGGATCGTCCAATTCGGCGAAACCACCACTACCTGAGCCCAACAGGGTGGATCAGCTCTTGGCAGATGTCTTCCAGCTGTTGAGTCTGTTTTTTTTGACGATAGGAAAGAGCCGGGAGACACCCGCTACGTACTGTCAGATCGCTTCTATGCGCGTAAGTCCAGTCTTGGCCCACGTGCCGATCATGACGACTGACCGCCTTCTTAGCAAATCCTTTCACATATGAACGAAAGTGGAGCGTACACTGAGCAATTCCTCATACCTTTCAGAGAGAGACTGGATCAGTTGAAGCAGGTCATCAAGCAGGATTCGACGGAAGGCAAACACCCAGAGGCGGTGGTTCGGCTGATGCTTTCAAAGCTTGAAGGTGTCGGTACGTTATCAATCTTGTACCAACCAAGCGTGACTAACATGGGATCAGAGCGCCAACTCGATGAACTCTTCCAGTCCCTCACCGTCCTCTCCATCGAACTCGTCCCCATCCACCAACGCCTCGTCGCTCTCCGAAAACAGCTCTCCGCCCTTGCCGCCGAGCCAAAGCCCAGCAAGGCAGAGTACAAGGCCGTTCTTGAAGAGCTGAGGAAGATTGATGGGAAGCGGGTGGATGGAAAATTCTTGGGTCCGGGAGGGTCGAGTGTGCCGGAAGGCCAGGCGCTGCTGAGTGGATTGTTGGAGACGTGCTTTGAGATTACGCAGGATATCAAGGCCAGGGATGCGGAGGAGGATGTCAGTCCGGTGTTGAAGCCGATCTACGACAGGTTACTGGAGATGAAGAATGCGTTGGATCAGATGAGTAAGTGAGATTGGACTGCGCGGTGGCAAAATGCTGATATCTGACAGCTTTGACACACCGGTGGACACTTCGTGAAACCGACCTGTACAATTACGCCATGTCGTTGCGCGAGATTGACTCTATGCGGGTCGATGGAAAGTTTGTGGATGCCGATGGCAACAAAGCTGGAGGACAATACGTGAGTACCACTCGGCTGGCGAGAAGGTGGCTCACTTTCGACAGGCCTTGATGTTCCTGTTGCGACGTTGTTATGGTTTGATCTACCGACTGATGTCTGAGTCTGAGCCCATATCCGAGGAACTTTTACCGATTGTACGCTCTCTCTTGTCCAAATTGACTCTTGCTGACTCGAGCAGGCCAACAAACTTTCGACAATCAAAAAATGCTTGAATGAAGTTTTAAAGTACGGTGGCCCTTACACTCCCCGCGACCTCTATCCTTATCACCTTGCCTTGCACCAAATCGATACTCTCCGCAAAGACGGCAAGTTTTACGCCGACGATGGAAGTATACCCGAGGGGCAGGCCATCTTGGTCGCGCAGCTGAGCGAGGCGCATGAGTTGTTGGAGATGTTGAAGGAGAGCATGAGCGATGAGGAAGACGACGATGACGAGTAGGGGTAAATCTACAAACAAGGATATTTGTGGAACAAGATGACTGGCGCAAAGTCATGGCTGTAGTGATTAGATATTATATCTGTACCGGGGTGGGCCATGATAACCGCGATCGAAGTCGCGTTTCCATATGCATGTTTCGCCATTCATTCACCAAGTGTCCCCACGAGTCAACATGCTCCACCTGCCCAGCAAGTGGCTATCGACTGGTTGCCAGAATTGCCACCTATACCCGTCGGTCACCCTGACCCTCGTAGAACGAGTAAGACAAGCGCAAAAAGGCACGATGGTTAGATATCGCTTCATGTTCGCAACTTCAGTTACGCGTCCAGTCAACCGCTACTTGTTTTCTCTCTCTCGCCTCAACTTTCATCCCATTCCCTCGTCTCGCCCTGCCCCCCCCCCCCCAACCGACATGTCTCCTGCTTCCGATGACGAGGGAGTAGACCAGCTCTACGATTCGGACGAAGATGTCGGGTCTGACGCTTCCGAGTTCACGCCTCCACCCGGGGCGGATGACCCAGAAGGTCTGCAACTATTCATGGACAGGATCACAGAAGGGCAGCTGGAAGATCCGGAACACCAGGTGATGGACTGCAAGAGACTGTATGGTGAGTTGATGCTGGTCCTTGTGTGATTACACGACCAACTGATCTATCTGTAGAGATGGTGAAAGACGAGAGTATCGATCTGGATCCCTCATATCAACGTGACGTGGTATGGAGCACTGCAAAACAAGTTGGCCTTGTTGAAAGCTTGATGCTTGTAGGCCATCTTTGCCTTTCCAGACACGTCGGACTCATCATCTTCTCAGAAATATTACGTCCCGCCCATAATATTCGCTCTCATCAATATCCGTACATTGCAAGAAAAGTACATCTGCATAGATGGAAAACAGCGTGTCACTTCTATCATACGGTTCATGGACGGCGATATCCCATACTCTCGGCCTGGTTCGAATGAAAAGTTTTGGTGGACGGATGTGGGAGCACCGGGAAAGAGAAAGGTCCTCCCGGGGCCTCTGAAGAAGCTCTTTGAGAAGATCAAACTCCCATCGGTGACGTACAAGGAGCTCGGGGATGATCAGCAGAGAGATATCTTCCGTAGGTCTGGACTCTTACTTCCTTGTGAGTTGCGCTGATGACGGCTTCAGAGCGTGTCCAGCTTGGTGTTGCACTCTCATCTGCCGAGAAACTCCAGGCCATCTCATCCCCGCGCTCTTTGTGGATCACCTTTCTGGAGCGCAAGTACATTGATGGTGAATCTGGCACTCTCAAGGGCCTGATAAATTGGGATCTGAAACGAGCGAAGGGCTTCCAGAATACAGCATTCTTCGTCTGCCTCGCCAGCATGAACTTTGACAAGCGAGCCGAGGGTAGTAGATCATCAGGACGATCCACATGGACGTCCGGTTTTGAGAACTGTTCTCCAGCGATGGTGCCTACGACCCGCAAATTGAAGACGTTCGTCGAGCGACCGGATGAGGTGAGCGCGCGTGTTAGCTTTGCGATAAGCATGCCTAACAGGACGCAGCCGAACGACGCCTTCAAGGCAAAGGTAGAGCTGGCATTGGCCATATGGGTCAAGATCGGACAGGAGTTTGGTCGTACGGCATTCCACACTGTATCATCACGCGTCTCTCCAGCTGGCAAGTATATTTCTCACCCCTCTCCAGACTTTACTGATCCGACCTTTTACCAGAGAGCATGTTCATACCCTATGTCATCTTTACTCACGCCGCTCACTTGACTATCCCTCAACTCGCCAAAGTCATCGGCAACCTCCGTGTCGAGATACACACTAAGCACCACGGCAACGTGCTCACCAACGCCAAAACCGCACAAACATTCAGTGATTGGTTGCTGAAGACGCCGGCTTCGATAGCGAAACAGGTGGGCAATAAGGAGGAAAGACAGTTTGCGGCGGAGGAGTGTGAGAAGGAGGTGCATGTGGGAGTGCCCGTCAATGGGGAAGGACCGGCGAAGAAGAAGAGAAGGAAGGGATAGTGGTAGAGCGTGTGTGCTATCTTTTCTTCGTTCAGTTCTGAACATGATGTACTCGTATGTATCATATTTTCGACTCATACTTTAGGATGCGGAAGTCAGTCGGGCATCATCATGTAGTCGCGAGAAACAGGAGGCTTCGGGGCCAGCCACCTTGTAAGCTCTTCACTGCCCCAGTCATTCCGCCTGGCTCAAAGTGATAATATCACAAATATAAATGCATATGAAACACAAGGCACACGGAAAAATGGAACGATCCCTCTATAACAAGTACTCTGCTTACAAAGACGCCTTGCCCCGAGACTCGTAAGGCAAGATTAGGGTGAAGAGACCAGCGGCTATGAATAAAGCTCCACTGGTATACACGGGCGCGGAACTCTCCAAGTCGGCAAACATAGCAATGATGGGGGCTGTATACAATCGTCAGCTTCAAATTGTTGGACGACGCGGATGAACGTACCCATGACACCCATGAAACGGTTCGTGATAGCCGCGAGCGCATTACCCGTACCCCTGTCCCTGGTGGGGAAGATTTCGGGAGTATAGGCGCAAAGCACGGCGTACATGATGTTGGAAAAGAACGAGTAGACGCAGTTCCATGCCAACAACGAGTTGGAAGTGAGGGCGGTGCTGCTCCCAAAAATGAAGACTCCTGTGAGGATGGCGGAGACAGAGAGAGTACCCTTTCGCCCAAGTCGGTTGATTTCGACGAGGTAACCACCGAGGATGGCACCGGGGACACCGAGGACGGCGATGATACAGGAATTTCGATAGGTGATGTATGTCGAACCATCACCGTAGGCAGCACCCTTCCTGGCCAACGTATAGGGGATAAAATTGTTGTAAAGAGGGAAGGCAAGACCGATGAAGGCCCAGATGAGAATGATCATACCGGAGCTGAAAGCGAGCTTCTTGGAAGCAAACAGCCTGCTGACGTGATCGCCACCCAGGCTCCTGACCTTTCTCTTGAACGCAGCCTTTGTGTTTGTCTCCACTTGCTGATCCTCGCTACCATAGATCTCGCACGCTTTGAGGTCCTCGACCGTCAACGTCGACTCTTTGCCGTTCCTCCTAGCGATTTCGTGCACGATTCTGACAGCTTCTTCGTCCTTGCCCTTGCCCATAAAGTACTTGGGGCTTTCGTACATTTGGAAACAGCCGAATCGGAGGAACCACATGAGACCACACAAGCCGCCCATCGAGAGAAGAAGCCATCGCCAGCCCATGTTGTCGCCTTTGAGACAGGTGACGGCGTCTTCCTCGCATGTGAATTCGCCGAGCAGACCCCAAGCAACACCGGTGACGATCAATTGGCTGATGGCCCAGAAACTGGCAAGGACGGTGAGGAGGTATTGGTGGCTCTACGTGATTGTCAGTGTGGTACTAGTGACGTGATAGCAAGACGCACTTGGGGCACTATATATCGGTCAGCGCAGAGCATTACATGGGATATTCTCACTTACCAAACTCCAAGAATAAGGCGCTGTCAACAGGCATGTTACCCCCGACACCGAAAGACCAGAAGGCGTCAAAGACGGCAATCATGGCAAAGTTGGGAGAACCGGCGGCGGCGAGCGCAAAGACGGTGGTGACACCCAAAGTAAGGTTGAAGGCCCACTTTCGGCCAAAAATGTCGGCTCCCAAGCCCCAGAAGGCAGCGCCAGCACACAAGCCAACATTTTGAGAGAGCGTCAAGAGAGCCGGCTGCCCGACATTAAACTCGTTGGCGACGGGGGAGAGAATGAGCTATGGAAAGTGTTTAGTGGGTGTGGGACGCATGATGGAAGGGGAAGAGTTGTACTGAGGTAAGGATGAGCCAAAGATTGTCTTGAGCCCAGCCGAATCCAGCCACACAGAAGAGTTGCCATTGGTATCGACCCATGCCAATGTCATTGATCTGCAAGGTGTCAGCGGCGGTTGGCGGGACGGCAAAACGGCAGGACGGCAGGAGCCTCGGCCTTGAACTCACTGCTTGGTTCAGCACACCAGCCTTGGCAGCATAGACGGGCTCCACACCATCGAGGACCAAGTCGTCCTCTGGGCTGGAAACGTTGGTCTGGGCGTCGTCTTCGTTGAGAGCATCGGGGTTGCTCTTGTCCTTCTTGTCGTTCGTGTCGATGCGCGAAGGCTTCTCCTGAAGTTCCGCCATATTATTTTGTCGGAAATGATAATGAAGAATAGATTGTGATTAGAAGATTGATACGATGGGGATCGCGATAAATTGCATCGACGGGGGGCTTTTCTGTATCCGACAGCGGCGGACAGCCCGTCTGGTGGAAAGATCTGATGTGACGTCTTTGCTATTTGTGCGCGATCCAGCAGGGCCTGCTGCAGATGCAGCCGACAATTTTTCAGCCGCAGAATTACCCAAAGCAGTAACCGATGCCCCCCCGAAGCGGTGGAGAAGACTAAAAGGGAGCAACTCGCTAACAAAAAAGGCAAAGGCTCGGCGGCCGTGGCCAGAGTGACTGACTTTTTCCACAAGTCAGGATGATGCATATGGGGTATGGGGTGCTCGCGCTCCTCGCATATACGAGCCGGTGCATAGCAGTACATACAAAAGAGCGAGGGAGATGGGCAAGCGTCATTTTCCACACTCGATCTTTCCGCACGGGGTGTCCTGAGCCGTTCTGAGCGATGAAACTGTTTTGCAACTTCAGAGATCATCCAGGCACGCTGCGGGAAGCCGATGTACGTACATATGGAATCTCACTGTCTCACATGCTCGCCGTAAGCGGCGTAGCCGACAGGAAAAGTTTTACAGCAAGACGGGGGTATTGCGGCTTGGCCGGCTTCAAGGTTTGGGGAGAGGTCGTATGGCAGAGTCGCAGCAAAAGTCGCAGAGGACAGCGATGGCGAGTCATTGGCGTCGTCCATCCATCGCAGAGATCCACCCACTGCATCCGGGGCCAAGGCTTCTCCAGCATCTCTTGGCTCCCTGACTAGTCATCTCAGGAAAACGATAACCGGTAAGCGTTTGTGTCCACATGCTCGACAAAGACTTCATACGGGGTAACAACGTGCGGGGTGCATTGTGTAGTGGCGTAGCGTATTATAGAGTGGGGTTCCGATGTAGGTCTACGATTCACAAGGTGCGCATTTGTTGTACTGATTAGATACGTACTATCAAGCATATGTGGGATGTGGCAGCAAGTCGTATATCCAATCTTCCCACCCTCCCTACATTCTTTCGCTCTGGTCATGTGACTAGTCGTGTATGCTGCACGAGTAGTCCAAGGAGGCCGATGACAAAAGTCTGATTATGCGTTGATATACATAGCCATGTCGGAGACCTTGCCCCAACTCCCAACTCCTCCGTGGCCAGTCTACGATTCACGACCGTGTTTCCGTCACTTCAGGGTCTTCTCTGTCCGGAGCTTGCCCCGAGAAACGTTACCAAGTGCTGCTGGGGCCCTTCCTGGGGTTGGGCTCTGGGCTTTGGGCTCTGCCTCTGTCCGCTGTGTTCGTACGCATGAAAAGCGATTCGTGATTTAGACCACTCTCTTCGTGATGAGTGGGATCATCTACACGTCATGAACGATGTAAATCAGACGTAAACCGAAATATATATTATGCTCGTGAAATGACAAGAGCATGCGATTATGGGACAACAGCCCGTCAAGAGCATGCGAATGGAGTGTACAACAATAGATTGACTACCAGAGAGCAATTCTATGGGTCGCCATTCAAGATTCTCGAGCTGTACCGACAGTCTTCCAGTCGCTCGCACACCCTCCTCATCTCATCAGGGCAAACAAAAACATTATGTATGCTGGACCTGGGAATCTTCCACATATACGGTGCTGTAATCACCAAGAACGACGTTGGACTGGTGTAGAAGCCTATGAGGTGGAGTGTTGGATGAAAGTCTTGATGAGGTGCCATTTTCTGATAGTCATCATCGAGCCAAAATGTACTATTGCGATGGGTCTGTTGCAGGACTCGCATCCCTCAATGGGTACCATACCACGCAGAGCCCACGTCATATGTGTAAGACGACACAGGACACAAGCGGGATGAAGCAGACTTCCATCCTGACTGTTTCTCCTCAGACATTTAGGCCGGGTATACCGCCGGTATACTGATGTGTGAAGCGTTCGCCTGTTCGCAAAGCCCACGCTATTCTGACAAACGCCTTATAGCTTGGTCACATGTTGGTGGGCGAGAGTTGATTCATGTGGGGGCGTAGAGTCAACTTGAGACTGAGAAGATAAGATCGAAGCGAAAACTTGACGCGTTGTGGTCTTATGTAGCAGATCTCCACATCGATCAGTTTCGAACATAGCAGATTGACAGCGCCGCATGAATGAATCATTTGAATCATTTGCCAACATCACACCCAAACACTTGCTAAATCCAGTCTCATATGCTCCAATCGTTGCAACCCGCGATCCCCATCCAAGAACCAAAGTGTCGAGAAATGTGCATAGAAGAGCCATGTAATACAAAACCCTTCGCCGCGGTCCGCTATCCCAAAGGATCCGTCTCCATCCACTACTACCACAAAGTACCTCTCCACCAGCCAAAGAAACTAAAAAGTTGCTTAAGCAGTGTCGACGACCTTGCCGGCGGTACCCCTCTGCAAACAATGTCAGCGAGATGAGGAAAAGATAGACCAAAACACGTACGAGCAAACCAGTCCTCCTGGCGGCGATAAGACCAGCCTTTTGACCGGCGGGGGCGTCTCGGGCCATGGTGGAAGCGTGACCAATGTGCTGCAAACAAGTCAGTATTCGCTCCAGAGCACAAAAGAACACGACGCGCCTGGTGGTTACCACCACCGTGGGGGTGGTCCACGGGGTTCATAGCCACACCACGAGTCCTGGGCCAAGAGTTCCTCTTAGCACGCATAGCGTGGTGCTTCCTACCAGCCTTAAGGAAGGGCTTGTCGATCCTACCACCACCGGCGACGATACCGACGGTAGCCCTGCATCGGGAAGAGACAGTCTTCTTGGAACCAGAGGGCAACCTGATTCGGGTCACACCAGACTCGGAGTGGCCGATGATGGTGGCGTAGTTGCCAGAGGTTCGGGCGAGCGCTCCTCGGTCACCAATCTTCTCCTCAACGTTGCTGACGATGGTACCTTCGGGGCACTGACCGAGGGGAAGGACGTTGCCGATGGCGAGGGAAGCCTTCTTACCGCAGTAGACGAAAGAGCCGGTAGAGATACCCTCGGTAGCGAGGAAAGTCTCCTTTCGGAGCTTGTATCGGTAGGGGTCACGGAAGACGACGGTGGCGAGGGGAGCACCTCTGTCACGGGCGTCAGCGACCATGTCCTCCCGTTTTGACCCTTCCTCGCATCCTCCCCGTGCATCCTCCATTTCGCTCTCTTTTCCTCCCTCCTGATGGATCCTCGACTCACCGTCCAGCGTCGTGGATGATGTCCTTGACAACACCCCTGATGTAGCCGTTCTTCTCAGCGTAGTCGACGTTCCTAAGCTTGGCGGGGTTCTTGTTGTGGTGGGTGTGGGACCTGAAGATACCACCGGACTTCCTTTGTGCTCGGATGACTCGACCCATTTCTGCGAGGTGTGAGCGGCGGGGGGGTGGGGGACGGGGGACGCACTGAGAAAGTTTTGAAGGTTGAAGTAGTCCTACCAGCACGAAAATCCCAAGTCGTCCCGCAACCAGCACAATTGCGGCGACCGCCGACGCACGGCAAATTGCGGCATCTTTGGATGTGTGGCACTGGGCGGGCTATCACCGATGAACGCGCCGGAATCAATCCTGTAGGGGGGTGTGCCCATAGAGAGTACTAATTGGCAGCGGCTAGGGGAGAGTAGGCGCCTGCTCGTATTGGGCCGGAATGCCAGGAGAACACACCCAGCCCACTATGCCAGTAATAGAGTGACGCAGATTTCTGGCACAATGTTGTTGTAGACACTCGGACACGTCGGTCATCAATCTTCATCTGACAATGCATGCCAACTCGATGAATCACAGATAGCCAACACAGCGCACCAAGCTGGGCCCATTAGCAAACGCCAGGCGATGTATCCTATCCTAGAGTATCTCCTCAAGTCCTTGCCTCCTTGGTCGTTCAACGAATGATTACAGTTGAACGCGGCGCAGGGGGCTTCCGCGGCAATGACCTTTCATTTATTTTTCCAAATATCTCAGTCTCAGCTTCGACAGGCTTGCCACCGCCGACCATGTCCACTCCCCCTCCCTCTACCCCCGCCCCTACTCCCCCCAAACCGCCCGTCCCCCCAGCCGCCCCTGCCGAGCTCACCGGCTTTCGCTCAGCCCTCGCGCACACTGGTATCCCCCATTCCGTCCTCACCTACTCTCCGCGCCTTCCCTCGCGCAACTGGCTCATCTTCTGGTCCCTCTCCATCTCGGTCACTTCTCTCTACATATATGACCGCCGAGAGTGCAAAAAGATCAAGGAAGAGACGGTAAAGAGGGTCGAAAAGTATGGACAGGAGCCTCTGCCCGGAGGAAGCTTGGGTGAGGCGAGGAGGGTCAAGGTCTGGGGAGGCAAGTGGGGTGGTGATGAGGATACTGATAGGGCCAACAGATACTTTAGAAAATATGTCAAGGTGCGTTCACAATACTCGTGATGTACACTGCTGACGCTTCACAGCCATACCTAGTAGCAGCTGGCATAGACTACGACATCCCTGCCAATCCTCTACACGGATCCATCGCCCGTCAGCTCCATGCCTCTATTCTCGCCCTCCGCCGTACTTCCCTCTCCCTCGACGCCCCCGCCCCCACTCTCTCTCTTCCCGGCTACAACGCCTCTCCCCTGCAAAAGCTCCAGCGCGAGGTCGAAGGCGGTGTGGTGATTGTCGGCAGGGCGAGTCTCAAAGAGTACCTGGAAGGCCTGAGGCGGGGATGGGAGGGCGGTGTCGACAAGTGGGAGTGGGAGCAACAAGTTCGGGAACAGCTCGCAAAAGACGACTTGGCGGTCTTTGGCCCCGAGGATGCTGCCCCCGCTCCTGCTGCCACCCAAAATATCCCTGCTCATTGGCACGTACCTCCCATCCCCCTGCCCCCTTCTCCCCCCATCTGTCTCCTCCCATTCACAAACCACCTTGGCTTCCTCCAACTGCCCAACATGATCTACGACTTTTTCACGGAGCGTCATAAGGTCCAGGCTGGTGCCGACGCCGCCATCTCTCTCATCGAGGGTGGCGTGCGGGATATGACGAGGGAAGATGCCGAGCATTGGGAAGAGTCTTCTCAGGGTTACTACAACAAGATGGCGAGGACGACCAAGGACAGGATGCAAAAGGCACGAGACGACTATTACGGCGAGTTGACGAAGCGCGTCCAAGACGCTCGGGCCTACGAGATGGGCGAGCGAGAAATGACAGATGAAGAGAAAAAGGCAAACAAGGTGACCAAAATTGCCGATCTAAAGGAGGAGAGGGTCAAGCGAGAGCTCAGATGGATGGGTAACGAAGAAGGCTGGGACATTGTCAAGCCCGATACCCCTGCTACGTGGAGAGACAACTGGGAGGGATGGTTGAAGGTTTACGACTTGCCCGCCGACGTCAAAGAGAATGGATTGTAGAAATAGACATAACGACCCGTTATCCTGCATGCACTAATTCCCCATTGATGTGCTTCTGAAGTAACGAATTCATGATCACAAGAGAGAAAGGGAAAAAGGAGAACGAAGAGGCTTGAAAAGAAGGTTGATTGTTGACGGACGGCTAAAAGGAGTTTGCTATTGGATTAAACTTGGAACAGAGGGAAGTTCCCAAAACCCGAACGATCATGAGTCTCTGGTTCTACACTTCTCTAGGCGGCGGCGGGAGCCTCCTCAGCCTTTGTTTCTTCCTTTGCTTCCTTCTCAGAGTCTGGAGAGAGTCAGCGGGGATTCCATCAAGGCAGGATATACGTACCGGGCTCGTTCATGTCAGAAGTCCAGAGAGTAAGGTTGTCCCTAAGAAGCTGCATGATGAGGGTAGAGTCCCTAAGATTGCGTCAGCCAAATCCCACCCAATCACGAATTTGCTTACTTGTAGGACTCCTCAGAGAGGGTGTCAAGCTCGGCAATAGCGTCATCGAAAGCCTGCTTGGCGAGATGGCAAGCACGGTCGGGAGAGTTGAGGATCTCGTAGCTGCTTCAGGTTAGCCGAGGCCTCTTTTTCTGCAGTCGACTTACTAGAAGACCGAGAAGTTGAGGGCCAAACCAAGACGGATGGGGTGGGTAGGGGGGAGCTCAGTGACGGCAACATCGGAAGCGTTCTTGTAGGCCTCGAGAGACTTGTCGGCAGAGTCCTTTCGCTTGTCGCCAGTGGCAAACTCGGCGAGGTATCGGTGGTAGTCACCCATCCTGGCATACGCGTCAGCGCGCCCTTTTACAAACTGTCTCCACTTACATCTTGTGGTAAAAGACCTTGGACTCGCCAGAGGCGGCAGAGGGAATAAGGTGCTTGTCGAGGACCTCGAGAATGTCCTCGCAGATCTTGGCGAGCTCGGCCTCAATCTTCTCCCTGTAGGACTTGATCATGGTGACCTGAGCCTCGTTACCCTTGGACTCCTCCTTCTGCTCAATGGAGGAGACGATGCGCCAAGAGGCTCGTCGGGCACCGATAACGTTCTTGTAGGCGACAGAGAGGAGGTTTCGCTCCTCGACGGTGAGTTCCTGGTCGGAAGAGGCGACGGCCTTCATGTTCTCGACCATCTCTAGGCAGGGGGTCAGGGTGCCTCCACACGGTCAAAACATGTGACAACGTACCCTCGTATCGCTCAGCCTGCTCAGCGAGCTTGGCGAGGTAAACAGAGTCTTCCCGGTTGGCAGTGGTCATTCTGTGCGGTGAAATGATGGGGCGAATGAAAAGGGACGCGTCAAGAAATATATAGAAAACATCCGGTCAGCGACATGCTCGACGGTAGAAATCGCCCCCAAGGTGATCACTGGGGAAAGAGGCAGAGGCGACGAAGGCGAAAAGCGTGACATGCTGGGCGCCACGTCTTCGCGTGGGCCGATAAGCCCTGATGCGATAACGGCGGGGGCACTCTGCGCAACGCATCTCGCCCGCCAGCGTCCATCGCTACCCCGTGCACGGCGCGGCGCAGGCAAGGATGCGAGGTGAGGATGGATGGATCAACGTATCCCAGGGTGATGGTCGATCGCACGGACGCGCGAAAACGGGGGGTTCCCGTCGCCACGTCGCAGACCCGTCCTCAGCCGACGCTTCGCTCCACCCGCCATGCGTCCCCCTCTCTCATCTCGCGCCCGCAGGCAGACTGGACAGATCGACTCACGTTGATAGTAGTGGCTGGGCGTTGACGACCTGCGTGGGATAATGTATCGTGCGAGGCGGTGCAGGGGCGGTTGGAGAGACGGGCGCGGGAGAAAAGGGGACAGATAGGAAGCTCTCGTCAGCGGTGTGCACGAAAGAGGAGAAGGCGCGAGAGAGGGAGACTGTGGCGGCGCGGAGGGGAGAGGGGGATGACAAAGGAGGCAGATGGGAAGAGGAGAAAGGGATGGAAGCGGGTGGAAGGTCGGACGGCGACGGCGGGCAAGGGGGGGGGCTTGGGGGCGGGAGGGACTTACGGTGGAAGCGGGTGGGCAGGGGGACGGATGGGTGGGAGTGTTTGTGGAGGGAGGCGAGAGCACCAACTCGGGAGGGGCTTGAGTGAAGCGCGAGTACGCTACAACCGTAACGCCGTTCGCCCGTTCGTGTGGCACGCATGATGTCACCCGAATTTCTAATGGCCTTCTAATTACCCAGGCACTGGCTAATTGTCATTAGCCATACATAGCGCACCTATGCTTCTTAGGCGTGAGCGTGCATGTCCTCGTTCAACCAAACAAGCCGCGCAATGTAAACAGTGTGGTGAGGCTTGCAGTAGGAGAGGTCCATGGTATCGCGCTTCTCGTGGTACTTCTACACATCGCGGCTGTCACCGTACATGGTCTGTCCGAACGTCAGCCATGTCAAGCCGGTAGGATCAAGTTGTCTTGCCAATGAGGCTGTCTGGCAGAGTATTTCATGTGTGATGTCTGATATGACTGAGCAAAGACATGGATTACACTAACCGGGAGAACTTGGAAGAGACCGTACTCGAGTACGGGCTCCCCAAGATAAGAAACCACCGCTTGAGCCGCCGCTTTAGCAGCCACAGATGCTGACGTCAAGTTGAAGTTGTAATGCAAAAAGGCAGATAGGGATATCCCGGGTACGCTGCTCTTTCTTGATGGTGATTTTTGATTCTCTCCAAGAGACCCGTCGCGTGGTGTCGTGGCGCACATCAGGACTTGTCCCCTCGTGTCAAGCTGATGGCGACAGCCTCTTTCCTGTGGGAATACATACGTATCCCCTTGAAGCAGATAGCGGACCGGATATGCCTTTCATTTTGTGACCCACGTATCGACAAGAAAGAAACAACACAAGAAAAAGCATCGCTCTGCCTCACCTCGCTTGAACTGGATTCGGGGAGGACCGAGCGTGGAATTACCCAATCAGGCAAGTGGAGGCGACCACCCTCAAACTGGGCCTCTTGCTGTTTCACTCAACATGGCGGGTTTCTCGGTAGAGGGTGATAATTAGTGACCATATGCGGGTGCAAGAGTCAGATTTGATTGAAAAATATAGACAGGTACGATGCTGCTCATGGCGACTGTACCAGTAGGGTTGCAGATTAGGACCTGGAAGAAATGGCGAAGGAGCGCGCGGCCTTTACAGCTGACCATACCATGTGAGGCGAAAATCCAGATGACAAAAACCTGGAGTAGTGAGGAAGGGAGGCAAGTCTGATACATGAGCTGGGATGTATGCATGATTGAGGGTCCCAGGGGGTGTTGCGCTGGGCGAGGTAAAGAACGCAAAGATCAGCATGATTATCGACGGAGCGCTGCTGACAACATGACGAGAAATTCAGACAGCGAGGGTGATGAGCATGAGTCAGCACCCATGAGTCAGATGCTTCTTTTGTATACTCAAGTACAATGGAGGTTGGGCCATGGCAGGAGCGGCGGGCAGAGAGCCTCCAGGAGCAGTTGTAAAATAACGATTCTCCAACTTCTTCGCTTTAGACCAGATGCGACTTGATGTAGCGCACATGAACCTGTGAAACTTTAATCAGCCTAAGTGTGAATCGAAAAGCAGTCATATCTTCAGGATATACTCACTGAGTGACTGGATCTTGAAGCAACTGGAAAAGAGCCTCATAACGTCGTCCCGCGTTTCGTCGCCTCCCGGGCGTGAGTTGGATCCAGTTCGGATGCCTCTCGACACGTTGCAGTTTGTGTCTAGAGCCCAGACTCCTCAGAGCCCCTCGATTGAGGGTGACAGACCACTCAAGACAGGGTGAGACGTTCCTTGCTGCCGTCCTCGTTCGTTGAACGACATCCTGCGCTGGATGGTCATAGCGTCTTTGAGCGATGCTAAAGCAGCAGCGAGACTTACGTGCTTATGATGCTGGGGGAGTCTGTGCGCCCAGCGGCACTCTTGAAGTCTACTCTTCTAATTCAGCCCTTATTCTTGTCATGTCTGGAGTATATAGTCGTGCAGTGCAACAGTAGGTCATATTGGGTGGCGTGCGTGGAGGCATTGTGCGCTTGGTTGTGGACGAACTTTATAAATCAAGTAAGAACGATGAGAAGAGGAAGAGAAGGAGGGATAGATATGAAGAGGGAGGATGGGAGAAAGATGGTGGCGGCCCGAGCGGGAGTTGACTGGATCGCCGGTGGCGAGTGGCGCGACGCGACGCGACTGTGATCATGGCCGTAGTCGCATGCTGTCTAAGTTATAGTCGCATCTACACTTGGACTTTCCAGACCAAAGTCGCTTCTTGATGCTAGCACAAAATACCTCGTGAGTGGTCTGATTTCAGTCACAATGGTGGCCGATACTTATCCCTAGCCGCAGCTGGCACTCCCACAGCGACAATACAAGGTAGTAGAAGAAAAAGTAAGGAGGATCCATGGGACTCATGACGGAGTTCTGACTGTATCAGAAATTGCCCCTGTTCTCACTTCCTCTCGCAAATGAAAGTCTATAGCAAAGCAAAAGCATCTTTCTCGTGGACGACTCTGGCAAGGCAGACGGATAGACAACGGATAGACGGCCCTGCCATCATCATCCTTTATGTCAAACGGTTCCACGACCTCTAACGAAGCCCTTAGGGTTTGGGAGATGGAGGTGCACTCAAAGACCAGGGAGGTCTCCAAGTCACTGCCGTAGGAAGGGGCCCTTACACGTGCTGGGACACATCAGATCGACAAGTATACGGAACATTTACGGTCGTGTACGCGTTGAACATTGTATATCTGTCTGCAGGAGAGCATGTTCCCGTCGCCTTGCGGAAGAGTTGCCAGGTTGCCATTGACGTGGCCTGCCCCTTCGCGGCATGTTTCCACAATTGACGTCCCGATGATCCAACATGGTTTTGCGGATAACGGAAGCATTTGTGGCAGCGTCTGTTTCCGTCAGTCATCCATCTCCTTTCTCTTATTCTTGTAACATCACTCTCCGACGCACCCTATTACCCCTCCGACTCATTCTTGTCCCCAGAGGATGCTCCCCTGATCAAGGCCACGTCACGACCATGCAGAGCCCACAGGACACAGGGCACAGCGCAGCCAGCATTGACCGGTACGTATCATATATCATGAGGACACAAAGCTGATACCGCGGCAACGTAGCGAAGCCAAAGCTCACGCAGAGGACCTCAAAAGCCTGCTTGCTAATAGCCACTTCCCTTGGAGCAAAGATGTCGAAGCTGCTCAGAAACAGTCAGCTTGACCTTCATAAACCTTGGCCCATGCTGATAAAATTCGGCGCGTAGATGTCGCAATGCCCATCTCAAGTTGATATTTCACCATCCCCTGTCCCCATATTCCCAATCTTTGGACCCTTTGTGGCTGCATACCACATACGCTCTTATTCAATCTTACAGAGATGTCGTCGCAGGCCTGGAGCGAGTAGCGCAGTCACAGGCAGGTTCTCCCGTGGGGAATGGCGGGGGACGAGGAGGGCGACGCAAGGGAGGGGGGGGCGGCGGTGCTGGGGGCGATGTAAAGAAGGCCTTGACGCGCTTCCGACAAGTACTTGCCAGCGAGGAGACGTTCTATCGCAGCATAGTTGCCCGAATCGCTTCTTCCTACGAGTTGGGCGAGATCTCGGGTGTCGCAAGTGTCCTCAAGCAAGTCAAGCTGCCCGTGGACATTTCCTCGCCCCACGAGGCGTCGCCGCTGTATGAAGATGCGTCGCCGCTGGCCAGGCGTGGGTCGACCCAAAGCCTGAGCTTGGCAGAAAAGAAGACAAAGTTGGGACTCTTGTATAAGGGCTTGATCTGCCTGGGCGATCTGGAAAGATATCGCGAACAGTACAAGGCGCCCATCAATGGTGCAGGAAGGCGAGCGCAAGAGAGAGTGAGGGAAGGAGGGAGATTTGAAGCAGCTGGGAGGTACTATACGGCAGCATGGAGTCTGCTTCCCGATGATGGTATGCTTGTCACAAGTCCATAGCTTCGTGTGCTGATGTGCTACTATAGGCTCCGCGTGGAACCAGCTTGCGGTGATATCGACTTATATCCCCTCCGACTTCTCCACTGCATACTACTACATCCGAGCCCTGTCCGTCCGTCAAGCTTTCCGGGGAGCTGAAGAAATCCTGCAAAAGTTCTTTAGTAGGATGTTCGATAGAGGCCGAATCAGGTGGAAAGAGGAGGACCCGGTGGAAAGAGAGAATGGGATGAAGGGCGTGGATGGTATTGAGAAATGGAAAGATGAGATGGTGGCCTTGATAGCGATCGTGCATCTCAAGATTGGGCAAGTCATCGATCATCGGAATAACAATGAATGCTGACCAATTTGACAGTTTCACATATATACCCACTCTCTTGCCCTCCATTCTAGACTCTCTCAAAGATCACCTGTCTTCTCGCCACCTTCCTACCGAAACCATTGTTCAACTCACCGCCCTCCTCATCGGCGTTCACTTTCGAAATCGTTCCACAGCCGGAGTCTTGCCTACCGGTAATCCGGTGGCTTCTCAAGATCCCAAAGTCGTCAAGAGATCTTATGAAGCTGAAGGCAAAGCCTTGGAAGTCATGCTCCGAGTCTGGACCGTCTATTTCCTTGTTGCTACCGAGGAAGTGAGGGATGCGAGCTTGGCAGCAGGTGGGTCTTTGGAACGCAGTGCTCTGGATGACAGGCCTGTCGACGGGGCTGGAATTCGCCAAGACGAGATGCCGCAACTCATCTCCGCCGTCCTCAGACGAAATTTGCCTTCCCTCCGGCTGATCTCCAAATGGCTAAAGTTGAACTCGTCATATCTTTCGCGACTCTCCAACACCCGAGACTCCAATCTGATTTGTTCAACAAATCTGACTACCGCTCAAGGCGACTTTGAGCGACAATATGAAGCCTTTTTGGGTCTGATAGGCAAGACTTTCCCGTTGGACAGATTGCCCAGTTTAGAGGAGGCGCTGGAGGAGGATATCGACATGCGTGGCTTCCTTGGCCTAGTTTCTGGGAGTGCCAGCGGAGGATCCAATGGCTTGGCAAAATTCAGCGCTCAGGGCCAGACCAGCGAGCAAGGCATACTTGATGGACGAAGTGCGGAGCGAGAAGTGCATCCAAACGAAGAGCACTTGATGCGACTGAGTGATCTGCAGGTGGACGGGAAATTGATCTTGAGTTTCACGCAAGGCCATCACTCTGTCGAAGTAAGTTCAGGTCTCTCATCAGTTTGAGTATAGTTATTGACATGGCAGCCGCAGCCTCTAGACATCCATCAATCGTCGTTCAGCATTCCTGACGCCACTACCAAAGCTTATCCAGCACTGACCGATCTTCCGCACGTGTCGCCAGCTTTGTTAGAGCAAGACGATCTTGGGTCAATCTCAACCAATACGGAGGATGATCCTGTCACTCTAGCCATGCGTGCAAGTCTCGGAGAGCACGGGGAGAGCGAGCTTGGTGAAGGCATTGACGATATGGAGGACGACGATGACGAAGAGGTCATCGTTTGGGGAAGGGGGTCAAACGCCTTTGCTCAGCCCCCAAGTCAGTCTCAAGGATCGTTCCTCTCGAATGGCACACCCCAGGCCCTTCCTTCCCTGGCTCCTTTGCATCAACCACCATACACAAATACTTCTCAATCATTATCAGCTCAACATTCTGCTACCCATCAGCCCAAGCCGCAGCTCCACAATTTCCAGCAGCCGACTCATGCTACAAGCTCTATAATGAGCGGAATGTCCAATGCTGGCGGGTCTGGAGCCCCCAAAACAGCAGCCGATCTATTGCACGATCTTCTCGAGGGTGGCGTCAATGGCTCTGTGTCACCTATGGCACAAGGTCCATTGTATGGTCAAACCGGATCACCCTTCGTCCAGCATTCCCCAGGCTTTGCACCGTTAGGGGGCTTCTCGAGGAGTATCAGCATGTCAGGCATCGGTCTGCCATCACCTCACCCATTGCCTCTTCCGAATGGACCAGCTGGACATACTCAGCATCGATCCAATGGGTTTCCCCAGTTTCAGCCACCCTCAATTCCGCAACACTCTCAGCAGCAATCGCAACAGCCATTCATGGGTGCTGCTCAATCGGGTGGAATGGGAATGGGACTGGGCAGTATCTGGACCATGACAAGGGAAGAGAGCGGAAAAGGTCAAAGCAGGGGCTGGGACGGAGTTGCCGCTGGCAACGGTACCGCGCCACCACCCGGTTTCGGCTTGAATGCTCCTCAACCCCCTGGGCCTTACCCCGCTCCCACCCAGCCGCAGCCCCAAGTGCTTCCCAATCATCAACAGATCTCCATGCCGACATCGCGTCCATCAACGACACTCCAGGCCCAAGTCAAAGGCACCTATCGCCCGTCACCCTCTACGAATCAGCCTAGCAAGCAAGCTGGCGTGCAGACAACTCGCCAGCCCACGGGACCTCCTTCCAGCGGGCCTATGTGGGGTGGTCCTGGGGCCGCAGGAGCAGCGAGTGGGAGTGGTGCCGCACAAGTAACAATGCCTTTACCGTCTGTCAAAGCCGGTGAAGGAGCACCATACTATATGCGCCCCGGGGTATTTGGGTCTACTGGATCTGGAATTGCCTCGGGACCTCCTGGATTACCTGCGGTTGCCGTAGGGGGTGGGTTGTCCTTGGGAGGTAGTGGAGGCGGGATCTGGGATAGCAGAGCTGGGACAAAAGAAGTCGGCAATGCGCAAGGATGGGTATGAAAATCCACAAGAGTCAGATTGTTGGATGCTGTCTTGAAAAAGTAGCATCGGTGTATGGTCACCTACCTGCTCCTGCCCCACGAATCGTCGCGCGCAGTAAGGAGCATCTCAGAGATAGGTGTACGTATATTTCTTGGCTGCACCTGTGGGTCTTGGGATGCTTGCAGTTGGAGTTCACGGGTATGGAGCAACGGGAGAGGGCTGTTTTTTTTTGTGATATTCTCGGCAAAGGAGAAAGGGTGGATGTAATGTTCTGTTCTGTTCTGTTCGTTCTGGGCGGGATAGCGTGCCGTACAATCACCATGCTGTGGTATGCATATTGAAATGATTATAGAATTCTCAAGTATACCGAGTACTGTACTCTACTGGTTTCACGTGGTTGCCGCGACTGTTTTGTTGACGTAAATCAGTATCTCTTTTTGATTTCTTCACTCAACCTTGAAATGCCTTTTTCCTCCTCCAGCACCGACAGCTTCAGCAATCACCTGCCCCCATCCCCGCCCCCCGTCCACCCCGCCCCTGCCGCCCTCGCCCTGAGTCTACGCCGACATCTCTCAGATCAGTCATTCGCCTCTCCCAAGGGCAAACCCAAACTCCGCCTAAGAATCTCACAATGGAGTGTCAAGAACAGGAAGAGCAAGGGCGAGATTAAGAGAAGAAATCAAGAGGAGAGGAAGGCCGAGGACAGGGATGAAGAGGAATACAACTTCATGCGTGCCAACGGGCTTCTGGCACCAGAGGAGTACGAATGGGAAAGAAAGTTGGAACATCGGACGTCAGTTGCTCGGCTGGGCGGCAAGGGTGTCAGTGAGTCGTCCATACCCTCTCTGGAACCCATCTGATGAGACCTAGAGATGAAGATGATATCTCTGCCCTCAATCTCTACCAGCCCATCCGCCTTCTCCTTCCCTGCACCGCCTCCTCGAGACAGCATATCCAAGTCGATCAATCTTGATGACTACGAAACCAAGACACAGTCTCTCTTGGCTGGGCAGTTCAGCGATGACAGCACGCAAACTATGTCTCTCTCTGGGGCTGGTGAGCCCGAGGTTGAGTCCGAGATAGAGTCTGAGCCTGAGGAGCAGGCTACCCCAACGGCGGTTCTCAAGGTGGCCGTCGGTGTACCTGCCATTGTGCGCAGCATCCCATCTATGAACAGCTTCATGGGGCAGCCCTCATTCGTCTTGCCCGAGGAGGTAGATATCTTCTATCGAGGCGGCTCGTGGTCGGATGAGCTTGGTGAAGGTGGTGAGCTTGAAGCGATACCTCCTCCACCGGAAACCAAGCAGGTGCCCAGGGCGCCCTCTCAACATCTGTCCGTTCCCAACTCTCGATCTGTCCCAGCAAGAGATGGGCAATTCACAGATGCCGATTCGTACTACTGGAAAGCAGAAGATGGTCAATTCTCAGACATTGGCAATGAAGAGGCCCATAAGCCGGCGGAGAAACCTCTCCCGGTTGCGCCTCGAGACGGTCACTTCATGACCACTCTGAAATCGTCTCGACCCTCCATTGGCAATCTCAAACCTTCTCATGTATCCGACCTCTTCTCCCCGGATGTCACTGGTGTCACATTCAACGCCGGGGAAGACGAAGACTGGTCAGAGTCGACTCCAGGATACCATCGGCGTGACAGGATGATCTCGTCAAAGTTCTACGAGCATTGCGAGACCACGTTCGAAACCGAGGAGTGCGACACGACGGCGGGTGCTTTGATGGTCCGGCAAGATAGTCATAAACTGTACAGGAAAGAGTATATTGGGTCTGACGGTGAGTTCTCAGCTGAGTCTATCGATCCTCCTTGTTGACTGACACTGGCAAGGCTCTACTACGACTCTAAAGCAGCATCGACGGACGACATCAGTCGGATCTACCTCGACCGACGCTACCGCTCGTCAGCCCGAATGGCCTCTAGGCACTGCACTCACTCAAAATCTTCTCCAGAAGGCCGCTACCAAAGACGCCCACGTCAGGACACACTCAGACTCTGCGCCACCACGCCCTAGCACCGACTCTATTGCTGTCCGAATTCTCAGTGGTACCGTAAAGAAGAAAAAGCCGCCCAGGCGCTCTGTGGACCACGAAGCGAGCCCTGCTGGCAATTCCTTCGACGACGTCGACCCACCTCGAGAAGACGTCGAAGTCATCGAATCTGGCCTCAGTACTCATCCTTCCATCCGCCGTCCTTCAATCTCTTCCTCTGTTGTCACCACAGAACGTATCAGCTTCTCCGCTCCTCGTGCCGTACGCCCCAGTCATTCCATCCGTTCCAAACGGGCCAACAGCACCACCCAAGCCCCGGAACCTCGCGCCTCATCCACCTATACCCGCCAATCCGTCACCCGCTCTCACACCGATTCTTCTGTTCCACGCTGCTTACTAGATCTGTCCCATATCTACGCCCCGTCCTCCAAGCAGCCACACCACCCTGTCTCTCAGAACAAGCCCCATCGGAAGATCCATGACCCATTTGCGGTTTTCGACCCCTACCCGCCTATCGTTCCGGTCAAGCAAATCCCAAACGATCCTTGGATTATGATCACGTCAAGTATGGATGATGACATGTTGAGGAAGAAGGGCTGGAAGAAGGTGGAGATGAGGAGGCTTGAGGGAGAAGGGTTCTGGGCGTGGATGAACAGGAAGGTGCATGGAGAGGGGTTGAACGAGGCGAGAGAGAGAATGTTGGCGGTGAAGGGGGAGGGCGTGGATGGAGCAGTGCACGAATGATACAGCAATTACCTCCAGGACGCTTTTGTGGTTAGATCAATTGTATCTATTGTCAGGCAGCGTTCCCTGTAGTAGAGACTTTTGTCTTTGACGTTCAAGTGGCATAATTTACTACCCCATTTCTCTGTAATGTCCTGTGTAGAGCTCTTCGAAACGACAGTCTCTATGTATCTTATGGCTTATGAAGGATTGACGCCAAAGGTACTGTCAGTGGCGTCAGGAAAGACAGCCACTCGGCAGTATATTGGTGAATGTATCTGCGAGTTGCCTCGTCCATGACTTGGTGTACATAAGTATGTACTCGCAAAATGCCTGAACGGTCTAATCAGGAAGGAATCGTTCATGCATAGGCAAGTCATCTAGCCGTGAAGCAAAGACATCATCAAGTCGTCAACATTAATCGAGAAACATTAAAATCGTGGTCAAACATCAAGCTTGGCAGTGCATGAGCCTGTTGTCATTCTAGGCCTCATAATCCGCTCGTGCAGTTCCTTGCAGCACTATAGGAGCACTTGACATGTACAATGACTGTCAACAGTCAGTCCGTCAGCTCTGTGAAACTTGGCATATTCTAGGACTGCGGCTTACCATGGCAGTCGTCGCATTGCATCGCAGGCCTCTGGCCAATCCTTTTCGAGCAGACGGCACATTTGGAGCTCGATATGCCGCCGAAGCCCTGTGTCGGTTTCTTTGATGAGGCAGGGGCTGCCTTGCCGCCTGGGGAAGAGGGCGGTTTGCGAGGTAAAAGTGCGGTGAAGGTCGAGGTCACTGTGACGGCCGCTGGTCAGCTGGGGTTCTTATACAACATGCCAGTACTCACAGGTCGAGGCTAGAGGCTTCCTGCCAACCAGTGAGATGGGGTCTCTATCGACTAGAGTAAATCGATGGGTAGCCGCGTTGTTGTTTACAATTTTCCGCGTTCGAGAGGGAGACCTTGGAGACTGAGGGGTCGGAATCGCAATAGGAGGGCTATGCATCTCTTGCGCCTCTTCATCCGGATCACTTCCTCCACAGTGGGTGACGAGAGTAGAGTAAGGATGATCCTGCGTCGCACCGACCGGCGCACCGGGGGAGGTGGGCGAAGTAGGGGTTACAGTAGCTGCGGCTGTACCACCGTTCTTGATAGTCATTGTTGACACTGTCTCCTCGGCAAAGGGGGTCGCTGGTTGGAGGACAGAGGCAGTTTGCGTCGGAGACCTGGCGGCATCCGAGTTGAAGGAGGAGTGAGAGTTTTGGATGGACGGGTTGATGAATGGGTTGATAGAGGAGGGTGTGCTTTCGATCAAGGGCTGGTGGCCTACTGAACGTCAGAGTTGCTTTCCAATGTGACACTAGACTCACCTGTAAAAGCGCTTGCGGCGGTGACATAGGTCGCAAAGCTCCTCGGCTCCTTCCACCTGGCCGTCCTCCACCTTTCCTCCACGTCTCCGGCCGTATCCCGTTCGCCCACTGCCGCTTGTCCGGATTCGACGTCGACCCTCATCTCTGCTAGTCGCTTCAAGGCCTCCTCTTCAGCTCTCTTTTCCTCATCTTCTTCTGGATCTGCGACTGTTTCTGGCGCCTGAGGAGCGTCGAAGACGGGCATAGCCCGCTTTCCTTCTCGACGATGAAGTTTGATAGAACCCACATGCTCGCCCGGCTCGTCCATCCATTGCAAGACCTGGAGCTCGATACTCCGAAGACGTGAGAGGACTTCAGTCATTTTGGGCCGGTCTGCGGGATCTTCGGCGGTGCATGCGAGAGCAAGATCGATGAATGCCCTGGGACAGCCAGGAGAAGCGCGAGCAGTCACTTCGGTGGGGTCAGGGACGAAGGAGGGTGCTTGACGCTATTGTAACAGTGAGATGTGGTCTCTGACAGAGGAGAGCATCTCACGGTGAAATGCTTGGAGTCCACGACGTGTCGGGACATGATTTCGATGAAGATGATACCCAGCGAAAAGACATCGGTGGGGAGGTTCAGGTCACCGCCATTGATAATCTCGGGACTCATGTATCCCTGTGAATAGTCAGAGTGTGCTGGAGACGCAAAGAAGGACTCACATCAGTCCCACAATACGTCATTCGCTTCAGCTCCTCCTCATTCCTGGAGGCGATCCGAGCAAACCCAAAGTCTGTGACCTTGATGCGTTGGTTGCTGGTGATCAACAGGTTTTCTCCCTTCAGGTCGCGATGAATACACTATCCGACAGGTCAACAAGAGGCAGCACGACACGTGTAGGCTGGCTCACCTGCCGAGCATGCAGGTAGGCGATGGCCCGGGCAACATCCGTTGCGAAAGATAATCGGAGCCGCCACGGGAACGGGTTGGAGGACAAGATGTACTGTCGCAGATTGCCACATGGGACAAACTCAGAGACGATGCTGAACCACTGTCAGCTTGCTATCGTATACCTCTTGAACAGGTGGCATACAACACCCGGCCATTATGCTCCGGCGCTTGACACAGTCCAAGAAAGAGGACAATGTTGGGGTGCCGACATTCACGCATGATCCGCCATTCCCGCTCAAAGTACTTGTGGACCTATGTGTCAATGGTGGTGAGTCATGAAGGCCTGTCGACAGGAGGTCAAAGCGCGTACATCGTACTCGTTCGAGGGCAGGATCTCCTTGACAGCGATGTCGATACCGAGGTACGATCCTGTATGGAATGAAGGGTATGAGTGACTGATGACAGTGCTGAGGATGGATGCTGGAGACCTACCTTGGTATACCGAGCCGAAGCTTCCTGACCCCAGCTTGCGGCCCCAGACGATATCCTCGTACTGGAGGGGGTGAGCGAGGCCTGTTCTGCGGGGGGATGGGACTCACGGGGACGATATCAAAGTCCATGGCGGGTGGGCTGACGGCAGACGAGATGGAGATGGACGATGGCGACGATGTAGAGCCGCGTGGAGGGCGAGGAACGGCAGGGTCGACAGCGCACAGACGCCAAAACAAGCACCAGGCTGACACGCAGACAGGGCGATGCATGGAGCTCCCGTGGACAGGCTTGTTGATATCCACCACAGACGACAGCGCAGAAAAGGTATGTATAGGATCGTTAGTGTATACGGGCGATGGTCATGGTCGCATCCCAGGGCACTCGGCCGCCGGGCTGTTGACTGTCCTCGTCTTTCCGTCTTGGTATCATTCATTGAAGCTCGATTCACAATGGCGGTCAGCATACTAGAAAGAAACATCTAATAAATGCTGGTCAGCTTGATCTTGCCAAACACCTGACAGGGCGCAGAATGGAGTAGAATGCGAACAACAATCAGCCGAGATAGCGTCAATATCCTACATGATTCCATCGTCCACACGTCTCTAGAATAAACCCAACAGATCATCTTGCCCTCCTTGCGCCGACTGCTGCTGCGGTTGAGGAGTCGCCGCCGGCGGACTCGCCATCCCTTCCAGCCCACTCAGCCCACCTCCACTCTGCTGCGGCGTCAATGCAGGCTGCCCAGGCTGTACCGCCGGTGCGCTCATACCCGCGGTCGAGAACAAGTCCATGAGCTCGTCCAGGGGGTTGGTGCTCTTTGCGGCAGAGGCGATTTGTTGATTCGAGATGCCGCCAGAGGGAGGAGGCGAAGAGAGCGAGGCAAGGCCGGAAAGGTCGTTGGATGGACCGTTGGAAGGAGCGGGATCATCGTCAAAGTCGAGCAAGTTTTCGGCTTGTTGGCCGGCGACGACTGTTTGGAGAGCCTTTTCTCTCGAGGCATCGTCCTCGGCGCTGAGCTCATGTCAGTCACAGATTGGTACACAGTAGAAACAATGATCACTCAAGATTCCTCCTCGCCACATCATCCGCACCTAGGCGACCCTTGCCGATGAATGTAGCAGCAGGCTTGTGATATACACTGGCAAGCGTCGAGATTTCATGGAGAAGGTCTTCCAGAATGGCAGGTGCAACAGTCGTCTGGGGCAGAGATATAGGTGGTCTGACCGAGAGCACAACAGACTGTATACAAGAGTCAGAACCGCGTGAGATGGCAGATGGGATACACACCTTGGCAGCAGCCGGGTCTGAAGACAATAATCTCCAATAAATGTACGCCCTATCTCTCACATCCGGGCTGTCGCAGTCTGTGGTAGCCGCCTGCAACACCTTTTGCACGATCGCTTGGCTTTCATCCGGCTTCTTCAAGAACAGCTTGACAATCGCGGTAAGCGTTTGGAGCTGGACAGGATAGCTCTCTTCCCTAAAGGTCTCGAGGAAAGCACCGAGGAGCTCGTCGGCATTCTCAATCTTCTCGGCGTACTCGCCGATAATCCAGATAAGAGAGGCTTTTGCTTCTGGCTCGTCCAGTTCTTCGAGGTTGGCGCAGAGGGCAGGGATGATGCCCTCGTACGAGTGAGGATATTTTCGGAAAATGTCCTAAAAAGTCAGTCCAATCCTGATTTCAGGCGCATTCGACACACCTTCATGACAATCACAGCCTCCTGTACCACATAGCTGACCCTGGTCTCAATCAACTCCATCAATACCCCCACACACCGTCCAGCCGCCTCATCAATCTTGATAGCCACCTGACCCACGGCCCTAACCGCCTTTCTCACAAAGTCTACATCAACCTCCGACGCATACTCCTTCAGCTCGCCCAGCAACGTATCCACATTCTTCTCGCTAGCGAGGCGGACCATAATCTCGAGCTTTTCGACTTTGACATAAGAGGGATCGTTATATTTGCAGAAAAAGACGCGCATTTCGTTGGCGAGAATGTCGGGACGTTTCTGGAGGAGAAGGTTGATGTTTCGGAGAGCTACCCATTGCACCTCGGGCGGTGATGAGATGAGGGTCACTATGAAAAGTCAGCTGCGACACATTGTCAATCGGGCCAATCGTACCTAGCGGGGGAGCCATCTTCTTTATGAGCGACTGGATGAGTTCCTGCCTAGTGACATTCTTCATGTGGATCATGATGACCTTGACAGCACCCAGCACCACCGCCGCGTTCACGTGCTGGAACTGCGGCATCACCCTTTCGCATATATGCTCGCTCTCCTTTTCGTCACTCGTCTTGTACCTCGCCAACGTAGTCAATATGGCGATCCGTCCCCATTCTGAGCACTCGTTCAATGCGACGAGGAGTTTGGTCAGAGTTGTAGAGTCGATGATGAAGAGTGATTGGTTGGGTCGAGACGGAGCATCGTCTTCGTCGTCGTTGGAAGGAGGTGTCTGGGGAAGACTGAGGGAGGCTTCGTGGATATCACCAAGGGCCGCAACAGCATTGGCGACAACCTGGAACATATGAGTTTCCAATACAGAATGACCACAAGTGCACCTACCATAGGGTTACCATCTCCGATCAGGTCTCTCAGCGTCTCGATGAAACCATATTCGACGCAGAGCTCCGGCTTCAGATCAAAGACCTTTGCTACACACAGCGCCGCCGTCTTCCTGACGTAGGGATTCTCGTCCTTCAGACACCGAGAGAGGGGAGACGCGAGATAGTCCAGGATCTTTTCGGCTCGGAGGACAGACATGGTTCGGATGGCCAGGGCTCGGACGAGAGGGTTGGGGTCGGCCGTGTCCTAATAAGGGTCAGCCCGGAAAGCTTGCGCGGCAAGGATACATACCTTGACAAAAGTGTTGACAGCAAGGATGACGAGCTCGGGCTGGGTCTTTGCATAGTTCATAAGATACAGATACACGAGCTTCTTTTGCTCGAGGTCGTCCGTTTGCTGCGGGGGAGTGAGTACAGGGCAAGACACGATGCGCGTCACGGACCATGTTCTTGACGACATCTGGGAAGAGGCCGCTGCAGTCCTTGCCGATGGTGTGGTTTGCGATTACGCGCTTGATGGCGTCTGCTCTCTTGTCGCGGTACTCGGAGTTGAGTTGCTGGCGCAGCTCCCAGTTCTCGCCTGCGGGGGTGAGCACGGCAGGGGTGGGGCGGGGGCTTACCTTTGCGCGGAGGAGCCATCGACATCTTGTTGCAGGGACAGCGCAAGCAGTAGCAACTATTTAGTAGTCGTTAGTCGGTGGCAGGCGGAGGTCGCCGCACAACGACTGCCATCTAATACCAGTCAGACAACAGTCAGACCATCTCGTATCCCCTTATCCCCTCTCCCGTCTCCACCATGTCCCTCGGCTGGCTCTTCAGGCCGCTCGCCCTCGCCTCCACTCTCGCCTTCTCGGCTCTCGGCGCCCTGTCCACAAGATACCAAAGAGCCAGGCTCTACTGGAACCTCATTCTCTACCTGTCCGCCTTGGGCATGGCCAGCACCTGGGGAATCGTAGTTACCATTCTCGCTACAGCTTCCGGTCAGGTGAGTCCAATCACATGCGCGAATCACGCGGTGGGCAAGAACGTGCTAATGCCGTTGGCTGATCAGAGGTTCAACATCAATTACTATGTCGCCCGGACATTCTACAATGTCGCGAGACCGCTGGTGGGGATCAAGATTGAAGTCGAGGGGGAGGAGCATCTGGACGATCTCTTGACCGCACATGGGGGCAAGGGTCAAAGTGCGGTGCTTCTGGGAAACCACCAGAGGTAAATGCTCGCTATGGCTCGTACACGCAAACTTGAGCTGACCATTGTTGATCTGACAGTATGCTCGATATTCTCTATCTCGGCCGAATTCTGCCCAAGAGGTCGGCGATCATGGCCAAGAAGGAGCTCAAATGGTCGCCAGTGTTGGGCCAGTTCAGTGAGCATGGCGAGTCTGATCTCGATCGCAGCTGATCCCGTGCAGTGAGCCTCTCAGGAGCCGTTTTTGTGGACCGAAAGAACAGAACAGATGCTGTCCAAGCCTTGGCAGTGGCTGGAGAAGCCATGAAGAAAAAGGGTGTATGTGCTCACCATCGCATGCAACGACCATGACTGACTATTCCTTAGGTCTCTCTCTGGGTATTTCCCGAAGGCACCCGGACATCATCTCCCGAATCCAACCTCCTCCCATTCAAGAAGGGTGCTTTCCACCTGGCTGTTCAGGCTCAGGTTCCTATAGTTCCCGTGGTTTGTGAAAACTACTATAGGCTGTTTGACGGTCGCACGCGCTTTGAGCCTGGAGTCTTGAAGGTCCGAGGTATGTCATGGCATGAAATTGTTGTGTCACTGTGCTAATAATCATTTGCAGTCCTGGAACCGATACCCACCATAGGCCTCACTGTCGACGATGTCACCTCTCTCGCCGAGTCGACCCGCGAAGCCATGCTTCAAGCCCTTCGTGAGATCTCCGTCCCAACGTCTTCTTCTTCCGGCCCCTCAACTTCATCTGCCGGTATCGCACCCCCTATTTCAGCAATCGTCACAGATCCTCCTGCTGGCGCTCCCATACATCTCAACATTTTTAACAACGACGCCCAGTCTGCGTTACGCCAGAGGCTTGCTCCAGGTTCGGGGGAGCATAGTAGAGAAGCGAGCTCCGAGGGGTCAAAGAGGGGCGCGACGAGCAGGGATGGCGAGACGACGGAGGATGAGATGGATGAGGATGCGGTGTTGATGAAGAAGCCCACAGGGGCGGCTTAGAGTTTTCAGTTATTTTCATATTTCTCTCTGGCGACTTGGCCGAGTCGAGTGCGTAACATGCACAAGCATTACACTATAAGAAGATCACGTAGTAGACAGGACAGTTGCCATTCGCAGAGGGCCGACATCTCCATTGTGCAGAAATTGTACGAGCACAAGGTCAGTAAAAAGACAAAAAATGGAGGAGCTAAGAATTGAACTCAGTACCTCGTCAAATCCACTCAGTTAATGAATGCTAATGACGCGCTCTGCCAAATGAGCTACACCCCCTTGAATAAAAACGCTTTTGGCGTTACTATCCAGTCCGTGTCAATAGCCTAGATTTCCAGATGACGTCGAGACCGGCGCTCCGATGCAATCCGAAGATGCAGCTGGCCAGCAGCGCTCGACCACTTCTTGACACTCATAGCTGAGAGGAGCAGCCTAGTCAGCTTTCTACTCATACAATCGTTTGAAGCAAACCATGGTACGTGACTCTAAGTCTTATGAGAACGAGTCGCTCATCCTCCTGCCTGCGTGCTTGTTGCAGTCCGCCCGAACTGTAGACATTCCACAGTCCGTCCTCGAGGACCTCAAGAACTTCCGCTTCAAGAACGCCAAGGGCACCACTGCAATCTCTAGTGATTCAGATTGACTTGACTCCACTATTGTGAAAAGCTTCTGACAGTTGGGGTGCAGTCAAGATTGTCAAGAGCAGCTTGACGATGGCGGTTGATGAGGAGTTCGAGGACCAGAGTATCGAGGAGATTGCCGAGGGTGAGATATACTTCTTCTGTCTCATCGGTTTAGTGCTCATGCTTTTGTCTTGAAGAGCTCCCCGAGAGCGGTCCCCGATATGTGCTTATCTCTCACGAACTGGTGAGCTGCGTCAGAATTTCTGGGGCTTCGCTCACCCACACTTCACAGAAACACCCGGACGGTAGAACATCATACCCCATCATCTTGATCAACTGGTAGGTGTCTCTTCCAAGCCGAATAGCGTTCTCAGGTCTATAATGACGATAAATCGCAAGGGCCCCGCCATCCTCCCCTATTGGGCTCATGACGCTGCACGCCTCCGCCCTGAGCTATTTTCACCAAGTGTCTGAGGTATCCAAGGTGACTAGGATTGGTATTGGATAGACCTAGAGTGCTGGGCTGATCATCTACAAAGGTTCTGGAAGTCAGGGATGGTGCCGAGGGCTTGACTACTCAGGCTGTGAATGAGAAGTTGCTTGGGAACTAGGCGTTGTACATGTGCTCCGCTTTTAACCGCTCTGCAAGTTCAAGGCATCAAAGAGTGTCCGATGCACAACTCAGTCCTTCTTCAGAGGGGTAGATGAGGTCACCGCTGTCATGTCCGACAATCGTGATTCAGTGATGAAGCAATAAAGCAAGCTGCACGATGCATCGTTCAACACGGCAAGCTTCGCGCGCCTAACGCGAGGGGCTGAGGCGGCCTTCGCCGGGGAGATGTCATGTAGGAGGTATGATAGAATGGTATGTATGCATCTGGAATCCTTCATGGCAGCCATCGCCCCCGCCCTAGTCGCCCTCCTCGAGAGGGCACAGCGCCCAGACAGGCTCGGCAGCCTCCTCAAGGAAGCCGTCGTGCTCGTCCAGACCGTCCTCGAGCTGCTCGGGTCAGTCAGCGACTCGGGTCGCCGTAAGAGCACAGAGCTGACCATGGTGCACAGCGAAGAAGCAGTGGGCATATCGTTCAACGGTGGGAAAGACTGTGGGTTCTGCTCCAGGCGACCTGACAGTGCTGACAGCCACATAGGTACCGTTCTGCTGCATATATACGCCGCCGTCCTCTATGCCCGCCGCACACCCACATTACCAGAGGGATTACTCCCAAAGCCCTCACCGCACATCCGCCTTCCACAGCCGCAGCAGACTCTGCAGCCCTCGATATCACCACAGCCTTCATATAACCCATCACGGCCAGCCCGAACCCCTCCGCCCGTCCTCTCCCCGCTACCCACCATAGCCTCCGCCCCGGAATCCCCTCCCCATCCCCACTCGACTCACCACCACCCCCCATCGCCTCTGCCCTATCAGCCTATAAGATCCGTCTACATTACAGCGCCAAATCCGTTCCCAGAGCTAGACGAGTTTGTGCTGGCTTGTACGGAAAGATATGGGCTGGATCTATGGAGGTTTGGGGGTGGGATGAAGTCTGCATTGGAGGAATGGCTCAAGTGCGGCGGAGGAAAGTCTGTAAAGGGTGTGCTGGTAGGAACAAGACAAGGTGACCCCAACGGTGGTGAGTCTACATGGCAATGCGAATGTCGAATAAGCTTGACACGACCAACAGAGGTTGAGGTTTTGGCACATACAGACCCGACCTGGCCACAGTTTCTCCGGGTACATCCGATTTTACATTGGACATACTCTGACGTCTGGGACTTTCTGCTGGAGCTGAACGTGCCCTATTGTGTCTTGTATGATGAAGGATTCACGTCGTTGGGATCGACAACGAACACGTCGCCGAACCCGTTGTTGAAGAAAGAGGTTGGAGGGTGGGAACCAGCGTACAAGTGTGAGTATTGCATGCTCGATTAGACCTGTGGCAGAGCTCATCGTATATGCAGTACAAGACGCCTCTCAAGAACGAGCTGGGCGGCATTGAACGATCCTTTTTTGGACACACTCTAGACATTATGGCGTTACGCGAAATGTACTGCTCATCATACTTGCGGAGGGGGTTATCAGTTGCTTTTTTAGCAGATAAGAATGCTGCCTGCCCCTCGATGACTGAAGATTATGCATGAACCAACCAGATGCCTCTTCATTCAGACTCTATTTTCAAGATCTTCCAATTCCCAAATGCTTTTGTAAGAAGTACTGTATCCCTAATCAGTGAGTAGATAGAATGAAGTTAATGAGAAACGATGCTAGAATAGAGTAAGAGACGCGTGAAACCTTTCCAGAGCCCGAGAACAAGGCAATCCCAACCGAAACACATCACCCAAGACGCAAAAGCTAGACAAAATGAAAACACGAATTACCCAACTCAATGCCGCCCTAAACGTCCGTCGTCCATACTCGTTCTTTGGTTCAGCACCGAAAGACCCCCAGCGCCCAGCTCAGACAAGTCGAGACCACTTGCACTCCGCTTGACAGTCTCCACCTTGTCCGCTTGGAGCTGGTTTTTGCTTGCTTCCTTTACGGCCAGCCCTTCCGCCAGCTTGGCCAGATCGTCCACTTCGCTCATCTCTGCTTCCTTCTCCGCGGCATGATCCTCGAGTATACTCGTAGGCGACACTTGATCGGTGCGGCCCACACTCAGAGGACTCTTGGCCAACTTTTCGCGTGAGTTTGCAGAAGCGACACCAAGACCGGAGCCTTGAGGGGGCACGGCGTTGGCGAAATAATCTTGCCCCTGCTGCGCTTGGTCACCATTTTGCTGAGCTGGAGGCGCACCAGGCGGACCTGCATACTGCCCGTAACCGATCGGGCCATTGGGGAAAGCCTGCGTCGTTGGGGTTCCCAAGGCAGCTGACCCTCCCTGGCCTTGCGGTGGAGCAGGGTACATGTTGACCGGGGCGCCGGGAGCAGCATTCAAGAATGGATTGTAGCCAAAAGCCCCTGGGCTCGTGACTGGTACTCCTGGCGAGAACGGTCCCGGACCAGGAGAGAACGGCCCCCAATGAGGAGTCGGGGCAGGCGGTGTAGAGGGATAGTTGAATACAAAGCCAGGCATACTTGGCGTCATTGGCGGCAGTCCACGGGTATGTAGAGGAGAGAGGGGATTGGGGCCCATGGAAGAGTCCATGGGGTGGTATGCAGGCATAGAGATGGGGCCCGGGTGGTGAGATTGGCGGTAGTGGGACTGGTGAGGATGATGAGGATGTTGATGGTGGGCTATCGGGCGGTGATCTGCTAGGGGGCGGCCATGTGGTTGAGCTTGTGCTTGGGCATGAACCGAGGTGTTGAGCGACCAAGGCAATCTGGCGACGGGCGATGGGTCGGGTTTCGCAATCGGCACAGAGGTGTCGATTGGGGTGATGCCATTGCCTTTCAGCAGCTCATTCACGCCTGCTGCAGAGACTTGTTCTGACGAATCCGACAGGCCCAGACCAGAAGACTCGCCCGAACCTCTCTGACTTCGCGAGGCCAGTTCGGGCCGGATATCTCTTTCAAGATGCGCTCGGATTCGCACACCAGCAACCTCGCGACTATATAGTTGTCAGCTTGAATCCTTGTTTGTACAAGAACGTACTCGTTGAAAAGCGCCACTGCCCGCGTGGCGTCTGCCTCGGTAGCAAACAACGCCGTACCAAACCCTCTCGGCTTTCCGTGAGAATCTGTAGCCACATCCGCTCTGATAATTGTACCCGCCGGTCTCAACATGTCTTTCAAGTCTTGCCATTGCATCGACATGGGAAGCTGCTACTTGTGAGCCTTGCACGTAGACGAATGAGAAGACTCACATTGGACACAAAGATGACTCTGTCGTGCAGAGTACTGGGCGGACCCAGGCCCATGCCTTGGTTCGCTAGGCCCTCCAATTGAGGGACTCTCGTGCTCGCCGTGGGACTCACTCCCAAGCCACTATCGCTCTCTCCGGCCGTACTGGGCCTGATCCCCGCAAACATCGATGGCGGCAACGGGCCCAGGGTCCCAGGCGGCGGCGCGCGTCCACCATTGGGCGAAGTCGGTTTGGGGCTGCTGCTCGACGTCGGGCGCGAACTTGGGAGTTGGGCACTTGACTCGGGCGGGGTCATGACGTATGCAAACGGTGTGAGAGAGTCCCGACGAGCTTGGTTGATAGCGCTTGGAGCGGCCGAGCCAGCTTGACCGGAAGTGAGAGACCCGGCGAGGGGAGAAGCTGCCAGTGGTTGGGCTCCACCGGTAGTCTGTACGCTGATGGGAACGGTGGAGGCACTGAAGAGCGATGCTGGGGATTGGCCTCCAGGGAGAGGAGAGCCGCCGGGTAGAGATGCGGGGTTTGTACTGGGCGACAGACCCATCCCCGGCAAGAGCCCAGCACCGGCGCCTGCAGAGAACGGCCTCGAGCCAGGTAGTTGGCCGTGCCACGTGCCGTTTGGCTGAGGAGTGAGATGCCCCGGTATTGAAAATGGGGCGTGGGATTGGCCGGGGAAGGAGTGGAAGGAGTACATGGCGGAGCGGGGGTTTGCGTTGTGGTGGACGGGGTGGGCTTGGGGTTCATACTCGGGCGGCAGACGGTCTGGGCGAACCTCGAGCGTTCTGGTCTGCCATGTATATCCGTTGTAGCGATCTTGACAGCGTCAGCCATGCCGGGCCGAGTACAGTACGACTCACCTATTGCCCGAGCAGCATCCTCCCTGCTGCCCATCAGTACCGTGCCATAACCTCTGCTCCTGTTGTCTGGCCCAAGACTGACGTCTGCCCTCAAGACAGTCCCTGCTTTCCGGAAGAGATCCTTGAGGTCCTGCCACCGCACTCTGTAGGGCAGCTGACAAGACGTGAGCTGCAGGCTGGCAGGTGTAGCGGGACAAACTTACGTTGCCGACGAACAAGTTGACCCGTCCATCGCTACCGACGGCGGAGGGCAGCAAATTTGTCATGAGCGGGGTGACTGAACGATGCACTGCCACATCAAGTCAGCTATGAGACCATGCTGGGAGAGCGGGGACGCACTTTCCGAGCTGAATTCGGAGCTGGCTGGTGGTGGGGCATTGGCAATGGCGGCAGCGATGACGGCGTCGATTTCTGCAGAGGTTGGGGGCCGGGAAGTAGGCAGGCCGGACATGTCTGTGATGGACACCTGGGGTGTGACCTGTGAGCGGGGGGCAAGGCGAGGGACGCGAGACGCACAAGAGGGGATGTCCCGAGGCCGTCGTGGGCGTCGAAGAGGGATGGAGTGGGGGCGACGGTGGTGCCGGCCGCCTCTTCGAAAGCCGGGGGGGCTCCGAGGAAGGACGACATGGTGCCGGGGGGGGGATGTGGAGGTGGTATACTACTCTACTGTTACGCTGTTACGCTGGGATGGATGCAGACGAGCAACACGTAACATCCATCCACCCGCATCATTTCTTAGCCGCATTCCATCCACGCTAGCCGTCCCCCGTCATTTCCATCCATGCTGCGCCATGCACCGCCCTTTCCGCCACCCTTCTATCGTCAGCCAGTGCCAGTGCCACTGCCCAGCTGCACCTGCAAGTGACAGCCCCCGCCCACAGCCCCCCGAGCCTGAGAGCACGTCGAGACAGCCATGACCACGCCTCAGGGCCCCGTCGATCGCCCCTGGGGCCACCGGCTCGCTAGCCTCCAATGGACATTCCCGCCTCTTCTTTCAACTTGACGCTCTTTGTCTCGTGCTCTTGATAATTAAATGTCCGCTGTGCACCGCGTCGTTCAACGCTTGACGCCATGGTTTCAGACGCCATCTCCCCATACAAGTATCTACAATGATACATGCGAAAAATCGCCTACATTTATTGTACACCAGTATCCCATCCGACTCGACGTCACCTACGACGTACTTGTCCCTGTCTATTATACAAAAAACTACCAAATCTCGACGATTATAAGTCTGGCGCCCCCCATGATCTTTGTTCTAACCGTCCCTCACCAATCTCGTACACCATTAGCCGTCTCAGGAATGGCATATTCTGACATGTAAACTCAAAGCCCAGAGTGACCACGTCTCGTCCGCGGACGACCATTTCCAGCGTTTGGAGAGAAAAGACACCACAGTCAGAGCCGTTATTCTGTTGTGGTGTATTCTGTAATGGGATCAGCAGTATCCTTGCGCATGTCCCAAAGAGGCGCACGCACCTTGTTGAACTGATCCGTCCATCCGGTCCAGTCCATCTTTCCACCCTTCTTGTCCGCATACTCTTGATTCAAATAATCTCGGACATCTCTAAACACGCTTTTACGCGCGTTGCCATGATCTCCCATGGAATCGTAGTATTCTATGCGCTTGCGAGCAAAGTTGATGGCGCAGGCCGTCCAGTGCATGTTGCCTTGATTGATGGGAAAGACCAGGGTATCTAGGGCAAAGATGTCGACCTGCGAACCGTCAGCCTCGTCTTGATAGAAGGGGCCAAGCAACCTTTTTCGTCCATCGTTTTAATTTGCCCCCAGCGTAACCCTGCTCCGACAGCTTTTTGTAGAAGAACGAGTTCATGAAATGAACCTTGCGGCCATTTTTGCCATTGGCGAACCGCTCACACATCAACCCACAATAGCTGTTTACAATCTCATCATCCAGCCACTGGCCTGGCTTTAGTCGTTTCAGAGACGCAGCATCCACCTCCCCACTCGCAAAGGTCTTGTGGAACCGTCTGTCCGACAGGAATTGGTCGGCCTTTGCCTCCTTGTCTGCCGTCATCTTTTTCGGGACATCAGGCTTTGGCGGTTTGAGTTTTGCCTCTCTCTCGACTTGCAGGCGTCTGAGGCTCTGCACCAGAGAGGATTCGTAATTTTTGTGGTTCTGGGCAGCTTGGGCGGCGGCCTTGGTTCCGATTTCGCGCTTGGCATGTGGTAGGTATGTCGGTGTAGGTGAGGGGGGTATCACATTGTCAAAGGAATGGGCAGATTGATCGTTTCGGAGGACGGACCGTATACCTTGAATCTTTTCGTCGGCTGAAGCAAGGTCAGTCAGTCCAGGTCGCACTAGACTGTACTCACTTTTGCGATACGGCCGTCTCTTCAGACCCCCCGGTCCTCCGCTAAACATGGTGATCACTCGCTGCGACGCCTTTCTATCATCCTCTTCTTTCTTGATGGGCCACATGGGCCTGCTATGGCGCATGGTGGCTTGCCAGCCATAGGGCGAGGACGTTGACGAGCTGTATGCATCGCGGTTCGGCCGTACGGGCGGCCTGCGGGGATGGCTTTGAGGAGCACCGCCCGAGGAGGAGGATGTCGGCGGTAGAGGGCTCACGGGCTGGGCTGGAGATGGTGGGTCGGGGTAGGATGCTGAGGACGCGGTGCGTGTGGGTGAAATGACATCCAGGGGGTCTGGGGACGATGAGCGTGAATCTGACTCGCTCTCTGATTCAGAGTCTCTCTCCTGGGCTAAGGCCGTGTCAGCAAGGCTCAGAGCTGACGAGAAGACGCACGCTGCCGCCAGGTGAAGAGGGAGGACATGGCGCGGAATGTCTTTGCGAGGAGGCCCTGCTGTGGTCTGGGGCGGGGCGGGGGCGATGGGCGGCGTCGCTTGGGGGGGCGGGTGCCGGGGGCCGGGTCCGAGTCGCGGGGGCGCTTTGGGAGGGACATGCTGTGCACAGCGAGACAACCGAGAGGAGGAGAGATACATGGGGGTTAATAACGAGTAAGAGCAACTTGTAGATACACGGGGTTAATAACAAGTAAGCAGCTTGTAGATACACGGGGGGCCTGGGTTAATAACAAGTAAGAACATTGCCCTCGCCACCAAAACATCAACAGCAGCGAGATCCCATGCCCGCCCCCCCCACAGACCCAGCAGCCCCGGCGGACACCCCCGCCCAGCATCGGCTCGTAATGGATGCGCCCCAAGACCTCGAGGAGAATCCAGAGCAGATCGAGCTCCTCAGCCTCAGATACAGGATGGAGCGCGACCGCAAACGCGTCAAGGTGCGTCTGCCCATATGCCCTCGTTGCCATAGCCGAGCGAGCTGACCGCCTCTGCAAGGTTTACGAACTACGCGATGCCTCCTGGTTCGACAGGGGAACAGGCTTCTGTCGCGGGGTGGTAGACGACGCGTCCGGCGAGGCCATCATTGTCGTGGAGCCCGAAGAGGATTCGCCAGAGGCCGAGGAAGATGCAGGAGGGTTTCTGACGCGCGAACTGCTGCTGCATACAAAAGTCGAGAGGGATGATATCTATGGAAAGCAACAGGGTACGTCGCTATTCTCGTCTTGTTACTCAGACGTACTGATATTGCCATCTAGAAACGCTCATCGTGTGGACTGACCCCGCCACAAGTCTCGACATCGCCTTGTCATTCCAAGACGCTGAAGGGTGCGAAGACACATGGCAATTCATTGTCGAGGTACAGAAGCACCTTCTCACGCTTCCAGGTAAGTACACGCTGCAACTCGGCAGCGTCCCATCTAATTAGATCACGCAGGCGAAGATCCCCATCTCCCCTCTTCATCTTCACCCCTCGGCAACTCTCCCCAGCTTGGCCCTGCCGCCAGTCACTATGCCATGGCCGATCCACGACTTGCTTGGCAGCCCCCATCCCTGGCAAACATTAGAGATCAAGAATTCTGTCTGAGAGCCCAAGCCAAGTCGGCGGCAGGGAGAGAAAGAGCAATGGAGCATATCCTCAACGAGGAATACATCAAGCAGTTGATAACCGTTCTGGAACAAGCGGAAGACCTGGAGAGCATTGTCGACCTGCATGCCCTGTGCTCGCTCATGCAGACTATCTGTGAGTGACCATCGGGAATACTGGGACCCGCTGACCACCCGAGTAGTGCTCTTCAACGACAATGGTATATTCGAGTACATCCTGCAAGACGACATCTTCCTTGGCGTCATTGGCATGCTTGAATGTAAGAAGTCCACACATCATCCGACACACGCTTACGTTTCTGCAGATGACCCAGATTTTCCCGACCTCAAAGCCTCCTACCGCCAATACTTTCAAGAAAACGCCCGTTTTCGCGAAATCGTCCACATCCCCGACGCCGTCATCCGCAACAAGATTCATCAAACCTACCGTCTCCTCTTCCTCAAAGACGTTGTTCTCGCCCGCGTCCTCGATGATCCCGCATTCAACATCCTGAACGGGTTCGTCTTTTTCAACCAAGTCGACATTGTCAATTATCTGCAGGGAAGCGATACCATGTTGACCGCCTTGTTTGCGCCGTTTCAATCTTCACCGCCGGGCCCACCGCCGGCCGATGGTCAGCCGGGCGAGCCGCTGGACGAAAAGAAGCGAGATACAGTCATGTTCCTGCACCAGCTCGTTGGGATCGGGAAAGCCATCCAATTGACGCCACGCATGGCACTCTATCGGACGCTGCTCGAACGCGGCATTCTGCATGCGGTTGAATGGGCGTTGCAAAGACCGGAAGCCAAAGTCTTGCACGGCGCAGCCGAGATCCTGACATTGATGGTGGAGCACGACGCGAATATGGTCAGGATGCATGTGTTCAGGGAAGAGGAGAAGAAGGAAAGGACGTTGATGGTGGAGATCATTGGGCTGCTGCATACCACCAAGAATGGAGGGTTGATGGGGCAGATGGCGGATACGCTGCGAACGTTGTTGGAAGTCCCAGCGGATACAGAGGTGAGTGATATATCTATATGTTGGGATAGGCTAATGTCCGACGTGCAGTCTTTTATTGCCAAGAAAGAAGCACCATTGTCCGACACATTCAACGTCTACTTTTACGAATCCTGCGGCGCCCTCCTCTTCAAGCCCCTTCTCGAATCTTCCGACTTTAAATCCCAACCAGTTACCAAACTTGCCAGAAATTACACAACACTACTGCAGAATCTTACAGAACTCTTGAGCTATTGTGTCACCACACATGGGCACAAGAGCTCGTATTTCATCCTCTCAAATCCCATCTCCAAGAAAGTCGTCGGGTTACTGTACATCAAAGATAAGCCTTTGCGGCATGGTGCGTATGCTGCTTTGTGCGGGGAAGCTTGCTGATTCCGTTCTAGCTGCGCTACGGTACCTGAAAGCTTGTTTGAGAACACCGAACCATTTCATCCATCGACACTTTGTCAAGAATGACCTTTTCGAGCCACTCTTGACGTTGATGGAGGACGAGACAACCAAAGACAATATGATGAGTTCTGCGTGTATGGAGGTGGTGGAGCAAATACGAAAGGTGCGTTCAGACAATGCCGTTCGGATCAAATCTCATTCAATCAACAGGATAATCTGAAAACCATACTCAACTACCTATTCGATTCCTACACAGATCGTCTTGAAGCTCTAGCTCGCAGGCCGCTCCTTCGCACGTGCCTTGTCGGTCTCAAAGCCCGCTGGGAGATGAACAATGAACCTCCTCCTCTACCTCCTGGGCTCAGCCCCAGCGAATTGGCTGCTTCCGCCAGCAAGACCGATGTGGGAGAAGGCGACAGCTGGATCGAGGGAGAAAAGAGGGAAGAAGACTACTTTAATGGAAGTGACGACGACGAAGGTTCCTCGCCCTCTGGCCCTAGCAAAAGTGAAGAAGGAAGCGTGCCGGCAAAGAGAAAGAGACATCCGACCACCTCGTCCTCGGGAGGCTCAAAGAAGCGAACTCTGCGATCTTCAACGTCTTCATCGAGTCTTGCAAATTCATCAACTACAGGGTCAGCAGGCCCTTCCTCCGGTGTACTGGGTCTGGACTATGACGATGCCTCTTCTGATCCCGAATCGCCTTTCTCTCAGGACCAGGGTGGCGAGGATGAGGATGAAGAGCTGGGCACAGAGGACGGTGCGGTTCCGTTGACAACTTCGACGTCATTACTGGATCGCACCATCTCCCGCGCTCAAGCCTTGAGCCCTCCCGATCATTCCAAACCGCTCACCACGACCGCCCCTTTCGCCCCCGTCTCGATTTCTTCGACGGCCAAACCTGATGAGAAATCGTCATCTGCAAAAGAAGATGAGGGAATGGATATCGGCGAGGTGACCGCCAAAATGCGGGAAAAACGGCGTAGAGAGGAAGAGGAGGAGGAGGAAGGGTTTGCAGGGCTTGTTGTGGGCAACAAGCCACGGCCTGTGGCTACCGTTGCCGCCCGAGTGTCAAGTGCGAGCGGGGGAGGTACCGTAGGGGCTGGCAAGGGGGAAGAGGGTACCAATCCGAATATGGAAGGGATAGTGGAAGAAGTTGATGTGGGAGATGGGGACAAGGAAGGGAAGGGGAAGAGCCGAAAGGGAGTGAAAGAGATGGGCAACAAGATACGACTAATCACCCAGAAGTTTGGCGGAAAGTAGGGGTTTCCCGGGTGCCGGTGTAATGATTAAATGATGCATTACGAACGTCGTGGCTTCAAAAAGACTTTCCTCCATATTGCTGGCAGTATCCGAGCAGTGTGACCTGCACTCACAGCATTGAAGAAGTATAGGACACCCGCGGCACATTGAAACCAAAGTTGTCATGGTATGCAATTGTGTTTAGACACGACGACCAAGCAGGCCACGAGCGTGCATGTACTCAACGACAAAATGCGAATGTGTGATCCACTCGTCGCGTGAATCCCTCAACATGCTTTTGACTGGTAGGGTCCGAAAAGAAGCAAGTAAACGATTAAGCTTTCATGGGTGCAGATACACACACATGCACATCTGCCCGAGCGGGTCTGTGGTTGACTGATGCTGAATATAGCATATATGTAGTCGCCAAAGTCGTGTCGCAGGTACTTCACCTTTGACTCCGTCTTCGCGACTGTGGCTCATCTCGAAGATATCCGCAGCCGAATGAAGACCTCAGAAACGTCCGTCTCTTGAACCTTTCATGGATCTATCTCAGTGCCTCAAAGGAGGGCAATCGGTACGCATCAGTCAGCAAGACCCCGTCCTCTCGACGAAGGCAGCCCATCTGCGCCATCACCAACGGACTCGGGCATTGAAAGCGATGATGATGGTCATCCTTACAACCGACAAGAAACCCATTCATATCCATTCCCGATTGACTCGCCTTACCACCACTGTAGACCTTTCGACATCACAAACAAAGATCAGCAGAAACAACACATGAAGCCAAGCAGCTCTTCCAGCGGCACGAGTCTTAGCAGTACTGCAGATGACGAAGGGGGGGATACAGCTGACAGAAGGGCTCCTCTCTCAAGCCAAGTATGTCCCTGCCACTTCCTCCCAATAGACGGCGCTCATGTCAGTTCTAGCCACGCTCTACTTCCACGTTCACTGCATTCTCTGGCAAGCTCAGAGACCACCTGAGGGCACGACTCGAAACGGGAGTCGATGACGAGCCAGAGGTTCACGATACCTTTCTTCAAACGTGCGAAAGGGAAGCGGCGTTCGTTATTGTAAATCGCATTTCGACTGCCACCTGAAAATTCTGTGCGAGGCGCTGACACGAGTGAAGGCTCGAGAATACAGTTGTCATGAACAGGATCAACGAGTGAAGCAACAAGTCCTTTCGCAGGCAACGGCAAGTACACAGGCCCAAGAGCTTGAAGTGCTGTTCATGCTCAGGGAGCCTGGGAGTTTGTTCTGGAGTACGTCTCGATGTTCCCTTTGCCCCGTCTGATTCCAGTCTACAGTCAACGTTATGGGTCTCGAAAACACCCTGTTGAGGAAGACTGCATCCATTTGCAAGTAAGCAGCAGTCACGTAGGTAAGATATCCGGGATGCTGATCGAAATTACAGTCTCGAGCCAGATACCTTTTTGAACGCTCTGAAACGCTCCAAGCATCGACTTCACCGGACGACAGTAGAGTTCCACTCTTCTTTTATGTATTTCCAGCTGCTCATTCAACAAACCAAACTCTCCACCGGTAAAGGCAACCATCTGAGCGATCCTTTTCTCGACATGGTTCAAGATTCATGGATCCCACCTCAATCACGAAAAGCCAGCGAAGATGTGAAGGATTCGAAAAAGAGGGCAAAAAGAGAGCGCTGGGAAAAATGGGTCAAGGGGGATGAGTGGAAGGATATTGTGAATGTAGGATTCATGAGCGTGTTTGTCATACCTTCTGGTGCGTCCGACAAGGTCGTCTTGGGCCACGCAGCGGATACTGAACTGCCTTTTATCAGTCAACATGGTCATTACCGTCTCTCTTCCTTACTATGGGGACCCTGCAAGCAGACTAGCTATTGACATGAGCAAAGCCTCGATACCGGAGCACGATCAGAGACAGATCTACAAGGATTGTCGGCTTTTGGGAATAAGTGCGATCCATAGGGGTGCGTCACTTTGCGCTGAACTGAACAGTTGGCTGACCACAGAAATTCTAGTTGTAGGATATGCGTCCGGCTGCATGCGTCAGATCAACCAGCTGATCTCAGAATGGGAGAGAGATGTTCATCAGAACTACACTGTATGTAAAGATCTAGACTCTCAGAAGGGAGTAAGTGCTAACGACGAGTCATCTAGACGTCTCGAGCCCGAGATGTAAAGAATCTAGTCCATACCATACTTAACTTCAAGCGAAGGCTGTTGCCCCTTAAAAGTGTTCACCAGAAGGTGATTGATGACGATCGACAACCCAGAAATTTGCTCCACCGCAAAGAAATTGACACCGATCTCGAGCTCGCTATCGGAATCCTGGCCCAGAGCCAAGAACGAATGTGCGAGGTCATGGAGGACATAGAGTTGGCTCTTGACAGATGTCGGCACCTGGAAGAGTTCACATTCGTGAGCGTGCTGAGCTCTCATCTCTGCTACCGGATCTAACATTTCATCTTGCAGGCAATGATCTCCACTAATGCCAATGAGGCAATGGAGCGACTAGCCATAGTGACTATAGTCTTTCTGCGTGAGTCAACATCGCCCTTGTCGTTTGCAGTCACCACGTTGCTCACATATAACGCAGCATTGACTTTTATTGCTTCCTACTTTTCCATGGTATTGCCAAGCATCTACATCGAGGGCGAACGACTGATATAAGGCATGTAGGGATTTGATGATTTTCCCGATCTTTCCCGACCTCCTATCTACTTCTGGGAGGTATCGATTCCATTGTCAATCATGTTCTTCACCGTTTTTGCCTGGTCAAACCTGCGACGCGCGTGGCTACGCATCTTCAGAGTCTTTCCGCTGGTTCAGGATTGGAGCCAGAGACATTGGCACTTTGTGAAAGTGGACGTGAGGTTGTGGTGGATACAAAATCTGGAACAGAGAAACCAAAGCAATGGCCAACGGTCAAGGGGCACGGCTGCCTGACTTACGTTAATCTGCGTCATCTGCTGGGTGTTATCATGGTTTGGGTAACTGAAGAACTATCCTGTATGCATAGCGCCACTCCCTTCCTTGTAGCAGGCCACATCAAAGGGAAACCACACTAAGCTCCACTCCCACCCTATCATTTGTTTGATGAGAAAGTATAATCTGAATACCCTTTGAAGAGAAAGTCCCAGAAAGTCGAAAGCCGGATAGAGAGGAATACTGAAAATATAAATTGTACAACGATGATAATACCATGGTCTAGACGTGAGGGAAGAGGCGAGTTGGAAAGTCGCCCGTACTATGTAACGTTATTGATCGTCGGGTGGAGGTTTTGAAATTTGCACGGAACCCTAGAAGCCGTCAGACTGATGAATTTATGAACAGGTTGAAACTTACCTTCTCATTCAACCATGCACCTTCGAGGCTTGATTTCACCCCGGCCCTCATGTTGGCTTCAACTTCAGCCTTTGACAACCCTAGTTCGTCTTCAGGGAGCCAGATAACCATTTGTGGGTTCTTGGTGGCTGGATGGAAGAAGGCCGTGGCCTCGTCCTCGACCTTGTGGTGAAGAACACCGGGGCCGCCAGGGACTGCGAAGTAGTGGTGGCGACGAGAAGCATGTCCGTCTTCAGGATTGTCGACCGCGTATGTCTCGGTGGTGGGTGCGGGGGAAGAGGGCCGAGAGGCGTAGGGAGGAGCAGAGAGAGATATATTGGATCCGCGTGAGCGGGTTTTGGTAGGACTCGAACTGAAGATCCTCGACGGGCTTGGGACGGCCACAACATCAGGTCCTCTGTCATCATCAAGATAAGTGCCCTTCTCTGAGAGCTCCGTTTTCCCCACCAACGTTGCTTCCCGGTCTCTCTTGATCGCGCCCCCTTTACCCTTTTCGCTGCAAGGAGAGGTAGGCGAGAAAGATATTTCTGACGGTTCGTCCACAATATCCACCTCCACGGTATCCCCGCTCTCTTGTCTTTCGGCTTTCCGGTCGATTAGGGGTTGTCGTGAAGGGGTAAAGTTGATGTGGCTATTACCGAATTTGCGTAGGATGTCTCGTTTCCTTTCGCCATCCCCGATTTTTTCGCCCTCATCATGGTAGGCTTCGCCAATCACACTGTCCTCATGGTGGGCCTCTTTGGGCATGCCGTAGCTGAGATGAGCCAGAGAGAGAGGAAGACAGTGTTTGAGGGGGCCATATTGCACGACAATTGTGTACTGGAAAAAGACCTGTACATTACCGAAATCAGCTGTCTGAGATGTGCCAAGACCGACACGCTAAAGCTTACAGTGCAGATTCCTAGAACGATCATCAGACCTCCTTGTGGGAGAGCGCTGGCCTTGCCATTGTCGTCTCGCGCCAAGAAGAACAGGGCGGCCATACAAATCTCCTGTATATACATGCCAACAAACATGTGGGTGATTGCCTTGGGGAAGAACAGTCCACCCGTATCCGAGGACGCTGGCTGATCAATCACCCAGATGTAGTGGAACTTGTAGACCATCGTTGCAAAGATGAAAAATGCAGCTCCGAAGCCATTGATGACAGGGGATATGACGCAATAAGCGATCACTGTAGATGACCTCGTCAGTGATAAAGAAGCGCGGAGAAGAGCTTCACATACTCATGACAGCGTAGACGGTGATGCCAGGGAACGTCTCTCCCCACTGAGGATGATTCAAATCATATCGGGTACTATACACTGAACGTCTGCGTAAAGTCAGAATAAGTGAAAAAACGCAAAAATAGAGCAGACTTACGGGGTACCTCCCAATAGAATGACTTGTACGTAATAGATTGACAATTTCCATAATCTCAAAAGGGTTCCCATGGTGCCCGTAAATTGTGTGAGCACCAGGGTAATGAAGAATGTTGATGCAGTTGGCATCTGAGACGCGAGTGTAGTCGCGATGGCTTGCGGGTTGCTGGCAAACGTTTCGAGCGAGCTGATCAAGCCAGCGGACAGAGTGATGACAAAGAATGAGTGCTGTGATAGTATCAGCCGTCTGTAGAGTCAAGCACTTGTAAGCTTACAATGATCAGGAACACGAAGTATCGAGTCATCAAATCGAGTTCAACGCCCGTCTTGTTAGTGGCACCCTCAAATTTGGCCAAATCTGCACGAGATCAACACATTTCCGAGTCGATGTTCGAACAGACACTCACGTCGAAGAGATACCGGCAACATCATCATCAAGCATTCCAGAAGAACGGGAGGAAGGATACCACTGAGAACACCTTGAATGATTTTCTTGTCAAACGTGTCGCCTTCGATCCAAGAGAGCCACGGAAACTGGGAGGTAAGGTCCGATACACTGGACAAAGCACCAATAAATGCAACTATGATTCAATTCTACATTAGAGCACTCAATCAACCTGAGGATGGGTACACACCAGGGAAAGTCCAGGCAAAGATCATCCCGCCAGTACACGCCCAAGATATCGCTTGTCGCACATTGCGCTCGTATTGATTCAAAGAAAGATTGCTCCAAATGACGTTGGGCGGGGATTGTTCAGTATAACGTGCGTTCATTGTGTACCTGGAGAATCACTTCAGCCACGATCAAGTTCTTGCACTAAAGGCTTACGGTTGATTGTGAGTCAGACACTGCGCGGCCATATGAGCCGCGATCTGCTGGTTGAAATGTATGAATGCCGAGCTGAGAGGCGGATAGCGATCGTCCTTTCCAGGGTGTTCAATATCCTCCATCAACTTTGCCCTGCTCTTTTCCAGTTCAGCCGTACAAAGAGCAATCTCTTCCCGGCACCATTCGATTGTATCGACCTTGTGCCCGAGGCGGAGGAACCCGAGGCGGATGGGGGACCAACGGGGTTTTATCCGATGCCTTGGGCGCTTGTGATGGGGAACCAAACGATCAACAAGTTCTAATTCTTGTGCGCTAGACGGGGGCGCTTCGGCTACTTGCAGCTGCTCATCCGTCTCGACTGAGCGACCATTTTCTGAAAACCCTGCTTTGCGATCGGCGGCAAAGTCTAGCATAGGTAGCTGAGGAACCGAATCTCTCTTGGAGGAGACATGTGGGCGATGATTGGCAGGTCCCAGCAACTTGGCCGGGATTGGTTTCCCTTTCCTCTCCAGTTTTTCGATCTTCTTCTCTTGCCGAAGCTTGTATCTGCGGGCGATCTTGATGAGTTTCACTTGAGCCGACTCCAAAAGTTTCGTAGCATGTTCCCGTCGATCATAGAAGCCAGGCATCTCTTTCAAATTTCTGCCACCACATTAGCGTGGACTCTTGAAAACTCGGAACGGTACTCACCGATTCAGCCAAGTTCGTTTCACACCCCCTGGGAGATGCGAGAACAATTGTTCAAGTTTCTTCTCGTTGAGGTAGTGGTTGGGGATTCCCGTGACTAAGACGGTATTCGCTTGAGGTAGTTTTGAATGGCTACGGCTGACGAGATACCTTTGGCGTACAACCAGCCAATGCTTCATCTCGTGCCAAATCACAAAAAAAAACCAAACTGGGAAGCAGGTGTCAGTATAATTTTCAAAGTATACCGTGTTGCGCACTGACAGATGAAGATGAAATCCAGTATGAGAGGTGCCCAATATCTAGACTGTTTGGCCTTGGCGACATTGCCGAAGGTAAACTTGTCTAGTCCCTCTTTCCCGTCCACATGAGAATCTGCCGAGTACACGGGCAATAGAACTAGCCAAGAGATAAGCCAGATCGGTACCATGGCCTTGGCCATCATCATTGTGAACCGGACAAAGACATATGGATCGACTCCATTCTTTTGCAATATCTCTTCCGGATCGGCTACAGATATTCTGTCAGCCAATATTGTAAAGACTGATACGTGATGTAAGCTCACCCATCAATATCTGCCATAATGGCCATAGTAGATGTGTTCCCAGTACAGGCGCTTGCTTGTGGGTAGGAGGGATATATGTTCTCGGCTCGTAGCTGTGTGGGCCTGTCAGCATCAGCCAGTCAACATCAAGATGGGACATACATTGCCTTGAGCCAGCGTCTCATGATAACGAATGCCACGAACGCTCCCCCAGCTATCCCAGAATTCATAAAGAGGGAGGTCAGGAAAGACGCGGTAGAGGCCGAGGCAGCATCCTCTGGGGAAGAAGAAAGGGCATCATCCGCATTGTTGGCTCTGTCGTGGAGAAGGCGATTGGAATGAGCAATGACACGCAGAAGAGCACAGCTTGGGACTCACGACATTGTCTCTGGCTAGGGCTATCGCAGGCAGCGGGAGAGGGCGCTGGCGCCGGGTTGGCGGTGCGTAGAGGTCTCTGGGAATGGGCTCCTGGTGATCTGAGATAGGGACGAAGGTGGCCGGGGCAAGGTTGTCGAGCGGTGGACGCGAGGAATGCGGACGGGCTAGCGAACGATAAATAAATTAAGGCCACTTGGGCTTCCTGCGTCTTCTGCGCACGCCAATTTATCGGGGACAAATGCTGTAATTCAGGTTCCAGGCACTCCTCCAGTCAGCAGAACAACAAAGTGGACAAACCGTCTCGACTTTTGCTCTGCTGTTGCTCTCCTGAGATTACGCCTCGAATACTCCACACATCGGACCAGGATGTCCACTCCTGCCGCTTCTCTCCCTCGGTCTGAACACGAGCCTCTGGCTACCGAACGGAATCCCATCTCGGACGCCACCCTCACCATCCGTGTCATCAAAAGCTTCGAGTTCAGAACCCAGAAGAGTCTGGTGCTCCAGCATCTTGATTTGAGGACCCTGACAGTCGGCGCTCTTATGGAGCAGGTCAGAGAGCGTAAGATTCTGCCTCCGGAAGGGATGGACCCCTCGGCTAATGCATTCTCTTTCAGAGGCCAAAACAGCCCCCGGATTCAAGGCCTACCGGGCACTTGTACTTGACACACTCAAGCTTTACACGGTTGCCCACGGGCACAAGGTACACACTACGCACTCGGTGCTTCATCGTGACTACGCGCAGCGACTAACAATGCTGCTAGACCACCAATCTCATCATCAATTTGGACCACGAAGACTGGATCCTCAGTGATTTGGAAAAGACGCTGGCAGACATTGGCGCTCGTAGGTCTTCTCTTGAACTTCTCAAGCTTGGCAGCCCACTCATCAACACCAGAAAACGAAACGGAGTTGTCTTTCTTCAACAGAGAAGCATACGAGAAGTTTAAGGCGGATCCCGAGGTGAATATGCTTGCTTTACTTCCGCTCATATGCTGATTTTTGCATTGCAGATCAAATGGGACTAGATCATTAGAGGGGGAGCATTCTTTAATTGCATCATTCATTCTTGGGTTTAGGGTCTATGCTTGTACACATTCATGTTGTCCATTGTGCATCAATTTGTCTGCGCAATTTACACGTCGAGCATCTTACACGTCAAGCAACAAAATTATACAGCCTGGGAGCTGGAAAGGAGGCATGTTCGCATAGTTTTCTTTTGGAAGCGGATTTCTCATTGCAACACAACCGACTACGCGATTGCAGCTCAAGCCTTTTAGGACCTCTTCAACAGACACGAACACGTAGTTTTGCATTGTTGTGATACGACGATCACTTTCTACCGAACCATCCACCCAGCCAGCCCTTTTTGCCTTGCTGCTGATCGTCTTGCGGCTCAACAGCAGGGGTCGTCTCCCTCGTATCTCTCCCCTTCTTCGCAATGGCCAAATTCTGGGTCTCCGTCTTTTGGAGCGTCGCTTCCTTCTGCTTAACCAGAGTGTCTTTCGTGGCGCCGGAATCTTTGTGATTGCCAGCATGCGTCTGAATCGATTCAAGCGGGAGGTCGACGTAGTTGAACGCCATATCAAAGAAGACAGGTCTCTGCACCGTTTCATTGAATAACCCTTTCTTGGCGGCCTTTTCAAGCACAGCCGCATGCTTGGTGAGAGTTGAAAGAGCATCGGAAGAGATAGACAGAACGGCCTCGTCCACCGGCATAGAGAGGAAATCGGTGGCCTGGCGGAGAGAAACGGACGCAGTCGCTAAAAGCTGCACGGCAGACGCATAAGATGGAGTCGGATGAATGCAGTGCAATCGAGCCAGGTTGTAGCACCTGTACACAAATCAGCAACAGCATCCTCGATATTCCAATCGAACTTACCTAAGAGCATGGAAGTATGTCTCCAGGCCCTCAACACCGCTCCTCACACCTTCCTTCTCCTGCACGATACCCAGCTCTGCCGCCTGCTTCAAACTCTGCAGCGTTGTGTCGTAAAGCTTGACAATAGCACCCAAAGTCTTGACAGCCTCTTCGAGCTTTGCCTTCCCACCGACCAACTTGAACTGCGCGGGGTCCTCCGGAATGGATGAAGTCGTCAAAGACTCCACGAGAGCCAAGTCTCTTCGGATTCGGTTGGCGAGGAGTAGGTAGATGATGTACTGGTGGGCCAGGGTAAGAGATTGACCGGTGCGACTAGACCGCAAAGAGCTCGTGCTGCCAGTGGCCTCATGATCCTCAAGGAGCTTGCGGGCAATGCCTTCTGCCTCTCCGAGGATGCTGAGCACTTGGTCCCATCGCCTGATTCCCCTGCCCCCCTTTCCCTTGCCCTCGCGCTCCAATTTCTTGAGAGCGTGCTGCACCTTAACCATGATCCCCACAATCTCCGCGTTGCGCATATCAACCTTCTCACCCGCAAATTCGACATCCTCCAACATTTTTCTGCCAGACTCCATCTCTTCAGCACCCGTCTCGGCCCTGAGTCTTTCAACGAGAGATGGGAACCCAGGAAGCGCTTCTTCAAGGACTTCGGAATCAATTTCAGCCATGACACCGTCAATATCGTGGGACTCGGCGCGACCCAGCTTGTAGGCGCAGAATCGGATCAACGGATCGTGCGAGTCGATGAACTCGGTAGCCAGAGCTTGGTCATAAGAGTCGTGAGCGCCCTCGGCGAAAGTGTCCAACAGCTTTCGTCGACAAGCCAGATCGGCCAGGGCGCCGACCCAGTTGGACTTTTCAAAGACAAGTTCGGAGCGGACAGTGAGGTAATAGATAGTGATTTCCCCAAAAGTCCTGGCGTCAATATGCGCAGTTCTTTCGGCCTCGCCGAGGTAAAGGGATTGGGCGATGGTGTGTAGCTGGGTGGAGATCTTGAGGGCTTGTCGAAGCCAGGAAAGTTGATCCCGTTTCAATGAAGGAGTGTTGACCTTGAGCACTTTGAACTCGTGAGAATGAGCCAAGGCCCTCTCGGCGGAGAACAACAGCAACTGAAGCTGGCTGCAATAATCAGTTGGTATGTGCACCCGCGAAGTTGCGTCAACTTACCGGACATCTTTGGTGCTGGCGACTTCCACTTTGGGAGGGGCCTTGAAGGTCTTTTTCCCGCAAGCCGCACCCGTTACCTGTCGCAGCCGGTGAATTTTGTTTGCGCAATGTTTGCTGGGCAGAACTAAGTACATCACAACCTGGGAATGTATTCACGCACCGGTATCGCTGGTGATCTCCGTTACGAAGGCCGTAAACGGCACGCTCTTTGCTGAGGAGGCTGAGAACTAAGGCTTTATCAGAGGCCGGTACTCGCAAGGGCAACGATTTGACTGACCTTTGAATGACAGGTCGGGTGAAGCAGTGGACATTGTTGCGGATGGACTGCTCTTCTTGTCAAGTATGCGAAGTGCAGGCTGCACGATTAATGTGGGGGGCGCCGACTTCGCGGCAGGTTCTCGTAACGGCGCGCATTATGCGGCCCTCCATATATGATGGCGAAGGAGTTACATAATCACCAAGCAGGGCACTCACTAAAAGTGCCCCCCAGATACCCTTATTCGACGCGAACTGGACGCGAAGACTCTTTTTAGCACCACCACCACGGTTAACAAGAAGTGTCGAGTCCTGCACATGCAATGATACAAGTGTTTTGCGCAAGCCCGGCCATATCGTTCTGAAATGAATCCTTCCCATTACTGGAGGCATCATCATATCCTGTTTATTCATTTGTTATAGGGTTTCGCCTCGTCCATCAACGCCTTATTACCAGGACGATATCAGAACCATAGACAATCGACTGTGTCCCCAGAGGTAACGAGAATGACCGTCATGGTCCATGAGTCATAGGTCATGGGTACCAAAGCTGGAAGAAGGCGATGCGGGCAAACACCATTTGCGCACAAAAGCCAAGAGTGTGCCATGCCTGCTAGATTTGATTCCTTGATCTTGAGCCTTTCACATGTTAGCTTAACGCGCGGGAGAGACAAGAGTGATGCCGCCGAATGACTATGTATATGGCGAGCATGTGAAAGACATGTCTCAACACGACTCAACATGAAACGCGAGGTGGATACACGTACTCGTATTGCTACGAGCGGCGAGATTGATGGTTCTAAGACCCCAGAAACAATATTGAAGGGAGCCGGGCCTGAACCCATGTGCCCATCTTCAATATTTTCGTAGTCTCTGTGTATCCATCAGTCCCGAGTAGTCTCGGTGAGAGCGCAGGTCATAGATTCCTCGGCGCAAAATAGAGCATCGGGCATATTAAACCTGACGAGGTGGGGTATCCGAGGATGCACGGAAATGGAAAAGCAGTGTTACATAACGCGATATATTATGACTGTTGTTGGAAGGGGTTTTCGATTTCTATGAACCAAAATCAGCAAGGTGTGGTTTGACAAGAAACGGTACCATACCTGCGGATCCATCGGCGGGACTGACAAGAACAATGTTGGGCCCGCGAAGGACAACTAACCCCAAGCTGCGGCTAGGTCGGCCATCTGCAATCAACCGGTCAGACATGGCCAAAAGCATACGGTCCGTTACACGCACCTTCGTACTCTTCGACAACATCGTCCATCACCAAGTTCATGAGCTGATCGTAACCCTTTAATGTACCAGTGACTGGGTGAAGGTTTGGTCAGTCAACGCTGGTTCTTTACGACAGTATAATGGCGGGAAACAGCGATTGATGTCACCCTTCAAAAGAATTGGGGGCTCACCTTCTCGTCCGCCCATGAAAGCCACCTTGATCATTTGGTCCATCAATTGGGCCAAGTTCAGGATCGATTCACGCTTCTTTCGCTCTCCAGAGCCCTGGTTTCCACCTCCTCTACCTCCGCCGCGTCCGCCCTGTCACGGGATGTAAGCATGTGGGTCTGTGAGCTCGAAGTGTGACCCTTGTAGCGAGCATTCGCAAGACGAAGAGCGGAGGCAACTCACCCTTGATGACATCAGTGGGTATCTGTAAAGGGGTTGTGATATAGGTCGAAGAGCTGTTGTATGCCGGGTACGGGCGAGAGCTTGTCTATGCGGTGGAACTCGGGTAGGTCGACGACGGCGGGAGAATCCAAGTCAGATTCAAGAGCGAATGTCCATGAATGTCCCGCGCAACAATCTGATTCCGTCGCGTCGGGTTGACCTTTGTCTTGCTTTTCTGACTTGTCGTATACAATCTTGCCGCCTTGAGAACTGTATCCCTCTCCATCATCCATTGCTTTTCGCCAGCAAGGGCAACATCCACCGCAGCTGCTGCGATGTGCGCATAGTCGATACCAATCCCCAAAATGGCCAGCTCGCACAACCCCCAGCTGGGATCAGACCCGTACTTCGCATACCCCACCCCCGCCCCTGAACAAGTAGAATCAGAACTACCGCCGTACTTTCAAGATGAGAACGTACCTCTGGGGCTGGTCCTGGACCGCTTCGCCAAAAAAAGCAACCATGACCTTCGAGTGTTGCTGGGAGAAACGTAGGTCGTCGTGATCGCAAAGTATGACTTTTGACTTACAGTCCTCTTTAGACTTCCAAGACTCCCTGCTAAAGACCGGCCCAAGCCCATAATTGAATATGCCAAAACCACTCGACAAGCCCTGGTTAAATACCTGGCAGTACTCCGCTGGAAGACTTCTGTCGACATCCCTGCGCATCTCACCGCTGCACCCCCACTCACTACATCAGTGGGCCCGACGTCTTTCCCAACTCCTCATTCGAACGGAGACATGGAGTCATCTCCCTCATATCAAAGTCTTAATAAGCCCAAGTCCGATGAGGAGAAGAAATCCCTGCAAGGAAAGGTGACGGACGCGAAGCGGATAGCTCATTTCCTCGAGCACCAGAATCAACAACACGAACTAGCGATAGAGCATGCCAAGCATGTCGTCAATGTCGTGGAAGGTTTAAGGGAACGGAATCCTGATATCCTTACAGCATTGTCGCTGCAGATAAACGGCACATACAATCGACTCCCCACTTCCGTTGTCGACCTGTACCTTCCCAAACAACCCTTGACCAACTCCTCCATACTCAAAGTTCTGCGGAAGCTTAACCAACAAATACGATATAGGCTTCGATGCCTTGATCATGTTCCTTCGGACTTGATCATAGAGGGAATCAAGGACGGCCGGGTGTATGTCAGGGGAAGTCATTGGAGAGCAGAGTTGACCGTAGTCGGATTTGGGGACGCCAGCAGATGGTGGCTGACTGGTCTGGCATGGGGATGGAAAGCCAAGGATAGGGGCATAGATGATCCTGGAGGGATGCCTGGGGACTCGAAGCAGAACAAAAGGTTTACTGGGGACGAATTGCAAGGCATACTGGACCTGGTCAACGCAGAAGTGCTAGTCCCCCGAGACGTGTCCCTGGGAGAGGTCGACCAAGATCTTCAGTTGGACATCGAGCCATACAGTAAGACATCGGTTGATGCTCCTCTGAGCAGGCTGTACAACATCATTGGTAAGCAATCTGCTCAGCAAATGTATGCGTATCTGACCAGCTTCCGCAGAACATCTTTCTCTGAATTACCAAATGGAGACCTTGTATTCACAGGCTGTGGTCCTGAGTCAAGGAAGATGGAGGGGGCATTTGCTTCCTGAAATCGACAGGATCGCCAAAACTCTTCGGCTCAGATATTGGATGTAAGTATCCTCGCACCCTGTTTGAAGCGCACTGACAAAAGTAAACAAAGACGACATGCACCAGACTCCTCAAGACGTCTCCACTCTCAAGGCCAAAAACCCGCCTCGTCTCCTTTGATCTTCGGTGGGAGCCTCCTGATATCCACATCAGAGAGCAACACGTTGAATTCACCTCTCGAGGACCTTCTGAACGACATATCCCTTTGTGAAGCGAAGTCATGCGAAAGGTCTTTGAAAATGGAGCTCGCAATCAAATGGATTGTTGAGGAGGGGGGCGCCGGAGGCGGCATGAATGCAGGGGATGTGATGGACAACTTGCAACTACAACTGGTGAGTTTTGCCCCCAATCAGTAGAGGCACCTCAAAACTGACTTCAACAGAACCCAGAAAGCTTGACGGTCGAGGACTTGCTATCTGTGGCCACTCGGACCCACGCTGCCCATCTTACACGCGCATACACTGTCCCACTTTACAGCTCCCCTCGGCTTATCGTGGCTGCACCTCCATTCTTCGAGTCGTCCACGGACTCAACCGAACGTCCATTGACCTTTCTCATACCCCTGCCTTCGCGTCAAACACAATCTCGTTCCAATCTGGGAATCGGAGTCAGCTCGTCTACTGGTCTTCTTGAGATTGTTGACGAAGGCGCTAAATTGGATGGCGCGAGAAAAGATAGGGCAAGGACATCATCCAATAATGTCAATGACAATAAGTCGAGCTTATCGGACGAAGTCTGGCGATTGAGTGTGGCTGCTGTCATGGACAATATGGAGACGCAGCTCCGGCAGCTGGGCTATCATCCTACCCGACACATCCCTCTTCGATTAAAAGAATTAGTCAAAGCGAATCTGCATCCCCTGTCGACACTGTTCCTTGCCCTTCCTGCATCCCCCTACCATTATTTTGTCACACAAGTCCAACCTCCCATGGGCCCAGCTATGGGTATCGACTTCCAGATTATCAAGTTGGTCCCATCTTCGAGTGACTCTGGTATCGGGACAAAATGGGATGTAGGCGATCAGACAAGTGTTTCGCTTGAGAAACTGCGGGCCAGACGCAAGATAGACGCCGCCGAACCCCAGATTACGCCGCCTTTATACGAGGTCGACAACCACGATTTGAAAGAGCTCTGTATCCTTTCTAATGCTTTGGTCGCTCAAAATATTGTTGAACAACAACTCAAAGATCGCTCCATCCCTTACACATCTGTTTTCCCGCCGCCATCTGGTCCTGCATCACCCAAATCAAACTCCCCTTTGGCAGGGATGATACCCACCCTATGTGTGGATGTACGCGACCTATTGCGATCTTTGGGGCGGAAAGGTGCAGGGGCAGGAGAAGCTGCGGTGGATGTTGCATTCCCTAAAGTCTGGCTTCAGATTGAAGGGTGGTGGGATGGAGGGTTGTGTGAGGTATCAACTATCGTCGTCCTTCGCCACCAGCCCAACATGCCTTCAGCGGATTCAGTCAATCCATTGGTAGATGGGGTAGACACAGATGGTGATGAGGCTCATGAGGCTAGGGCAGAGGGTATATTTTTCGATCCCCTGTCAAGTATAGTTCGGTTCAAGGCAAAAACCATCAACCAATGTGTACCATCATTCCTAGAACAATGGGAAAGGCTCAGTAAGGTGATAGCGGTTGCCGGCGAAGGTGCGTCTGTGGAAACAAGAAAACATCATATGCTAACAAGACTCAATGCAGTCAACCGGCTGAATCAGAAACCGGTTCTTGCAGATGTCAAGCTTCTATCATTCGACTTACGGAAAGCCTCTCTGCAGTACGCCCCGAATCACAGCGCATCCGTCACATATTCGCCAAGCAATGATTCTTATCAGATCACATTCTCCTTATCAATACCCTCGTCGTCATCACCCAATCCTCCTGCAAGAAGTAACCCACATACTCTACTGGCATCGCTCTTTAGCGCCAAGCTCAATGAGCTGACTGCTCAATCCTCATCCGCCATGAGGCAGAAGGGGGAAGTTGGCTACCAGCTTTGTGGTCTGTTGCAGGGCACATTGCCAATATTGAGTCTGTCAGAGGATATGAGGGTACAGGGAGCCTCCGGCTGGCAGCTAGTAGTCCTTGATATCACAAGATTTCAGTTTGTCCGGGATTACAAGCAGTGTCGGTGAGTCTGTCAAACCATGCCTTGTGTATCTGCTAACATATAGTCAAGCTATGTGCTTCTTGTCACCCTTCTGCCAGATCTCAGGCACTACCTGATACAGGACGGATCTCTATTTGAAGATTCCAGCGGCGTTGACAGCTATCTCGGATTTCTGACACCTATCCCAGACTCCGAGAATTTGTTCTTCAATGCCCTCAAGACTTTTCCCAACTCAAAAGTCGGTGCAGCTGAGGCACCGACTCTGGTATCGGGTCTTTCAGACAAGGGGCTGTATATGGAATCCTCAAGCATGGTGCTTGATGGTGGGAAAGCTGTCATGTGTGGAATTGCGGAATCCGGTTCGTTGATGGCAAAACTACTTTCTCTGATTGAGGGTTCATTCTGATGCACCCCATACTGAGTGCAATGTACTTTGTATGATCAAATATGGATACCCGTGTCTCTCTTCTATTATTGTTATCTTGTTGGGCTTCACAGTCTACTTGCAACAAAACCAACCATCCTCTTCGCTACTTAGGCCTCTCCTTCACGGTCAACCCTCACCCACTCGATAACCTCCGCTCCTTAATTTGGCTTCGGCAAGTAAACCTCCACCTCGCCTCCACTTGCCGAACGCCTTCGACGCACGAACCTCTCCCTCTTCCGAGACCTGTTCCGTTTTCTTTGGTTCTTCTTCGCTGCTATCCGTTTCCGTCTTCCGTGTGATATCTTTACTCGCTTCTCCTCTTATTTGTATAGATTTCTGTCCTATTTGTATACATAGGAATGGCGTGCGATTTCGCCTGTAGTCGTATTCAATAGCTGGGCTGTAGTGAAGAAGGTGAGTTCGGCATGAGTTCGGCATGAGTTCGGCATTCCTTTTACGATTACATCTTGTACGCTTCTGACTTTGCTATAGCTACACAGTGTTCGACATGATTTTCAGCAAGCAAGGACTTACTTGATATCACCGGGGCCGGGGGTGAAAGGACGGTCAAATTTCTCAAGGATGGCAAGCAGGAGACGAGAGAGTTGAAGGAAAGTGCTGACTGATGATTAGACCTTTTGGAATATATCTGCCCAAGCCCCTCGAAACAGACCTTCACAACGAATCTCATGAAGGTCCCAACACAACTGCAATTGAAAACGTCGCAAGGGACGTTCTTCCGCGGGGCTCCCTTGACAATCAAGATCAGACACCCTTCCCCGATCCTGAGGACTTGTCTGCAGGTCATAGCAGTGACAGTGATGGCGCGTCAGAAGATGGCTCTGGCAATACCTCCGGTTTGTAGCAGACAGGCCTGTAAGTTTGTTTCACACTCAGGCTTCAAGGCTCCTACTGTTGCATGTATAGATCGTCAGGGTGCAAAGAGGAAGCGGGATGATCTTGTGGGAGAAGATGAGGAAGATATTGACGGTGCGCTTCACAACACCTTCAAGATGAGTGTGTATAGCAAGCAGCAGAGAGACGAGAGGCTTGGCGCTTCAGGAAAGGAGAGAGACAGGAAGGCCGACCTGAGAGATGTGCAGACGCGGAGATTTATCCCAGAAATTGGAGAAGATGGATGGTTCAGTCCAGAAAGAGAAAGATGTTTGATCAAGTCTTGGCTCTTGCACAGCACAAGGGGTCTTCTCTTGAGGCGGCTAGCAGCAGTGAATCAGTCAAATGTGAATGTATAGGTGAATGAAAATGCATAGGCCAAATGTTCATCTTTTCTTGTGCCAATTGACCAAAGACCATAATTTCATGTTATATAACACATTTGCTCAGATCATAGCCTGCTATCTCATTCAGAAGCAGTTCCTCCACCACATATTCTTGCCTAGCATCTTTCTCTCTTGTGCCCTTGGGAAGGTCACAGCTGTTGGGTGAGTACTGCCTCCATGTTGAAGAGTTCTTCAACAGCTTGCGCACTTGCACAACCTGACCACACTCTTTGAACCTTTGCTGCCTCATTCTCTTGTCTACCTCTCCCTGTTGCCTCTCCAAATGAGCGAACTTGTGCTCTGCAAGCTCCTAATCAATGTATTGATCTGCAGTTTCAACAAGCATATTGTGAAGAACCATGCAAGCGTCAATAACTAGGCTGACCAGCGCTTGATTCTTGTGCTCCTTCATGCTCATGAAGATGTGCTTGAGGATTCTCCAGCAACATTTGAGAATTCCAAAAGTGTGTCGGATGTTGACCCTTACAGGGACGGATACATGGCCGAAGTAGGCCTGTGTTATGCATCAGCACGAGTCAACCAAAAAGAACCCAACTCACTTTACGGCCTTGCAGATGAGGCTCTCCCGGTGACTTCTTGTACAAGGGAAGTGTGTAATTGGTACTGTGAGTACCTGAGTCCCCAAGAACATATTTGCCCAGCGTAAACATGGAGGTAGGGTTCTGAACAGCTGGCTATCCTGCATGACTCTGTGGTTACTGGCAGTACCCAAGTGTGGAGAGGTATCGGCCTCAACTAGAAGAGTTAGTAGTGCAGATAGCCTGAGCCACTGTCATCGTCTTGGTTGTTGTCTGTTGCCTGTAGAGCTGCCTTTAGGTTGGTTGAGTAAAAGAGTACGAGATGAGAGAAGGAGTAAGAAGAGGCAGGAATAAATGATATGGGAAACTATCTCTACTGTCCAACAGCTCTGTATATATACCCTTGAGTCCTTGACACTCCTTCAACCATTGACCACAACTACAAACGACATCGACCTATCAACTATATGACTAACCCGCAACTATCCCAATAGACAATTCCCTTATCCTCAGTCCTAACCTGTCCCTACCCCATTACACCGAGTACCCATACATGAATTGTCTAATCTGCTTGTAGGGATCACAGATAGCAACAATGTACAAGCTGTACTTCTTCTTGTATTGTAGCTGAACAGGGAGAAGTTGTTGACACCTCTAGACGGGGCTTGATAGAAAGAAATTGATGCCATGAATATAGCCAACACAGCCTGGTAGCCCATACTTATTGAGTATAGCCTTTTGAATGTCTGCTCATTCAGATGTTGATGGCTATTAATTCAGTTGCAATACATGTGTTTTTGGTGTAACCGACTATGGTACCCTCTGGAAGATAAGCATTAGCTGAGGTTCTTGATGAACAAAGTTGACTACTCACTCGAGAGCCTGAGTTGTCTGATGAGTAAATCCATCCCACTGTGTCACACTTGGGGAGTGCCCTTGTCGTGCTGAAGAGAGTCTTGTTATAAAGGGCAAAAACCTTTTCGTTAATAGTATGTTTCAAATATCAAAAAATCACTGCGGATGATTTTTCATCTCGGACGATATTTGCTTCCGTCGAGGGTAGTCTTTGGCTGGGGATTTTCATCTCGAATGATTTTAAATTTGAAACCATTTTTTGTGAGATGCGGGATCAAAAATATGTTTTTCAAAACGTGTTTGTGTCCCTGCTGGCGTCCTCATCCTTGTTTTTACTCACTCATCTTTCACTTGCCATGTATCTTTGACCACCCACACAACTTGTCCCCTCAGCAGCACACTCCCTCCCCTCCCATCTTACCAGCAGTCCCACACCATCCTCTCTACTACCTTGATACTCCCCTACCGACATGTCAGATATAGGTCAGAGGAGAGTGGAGGTTGAACATCCTGCTGGTTGTGGCTACACTTCAGCAGATGCTTGAAACTACGGATGAAGTGCAAAAGTTGCATAGGCTGGCACAGCACACTTATTATGCGTGGGGGCAAGAAGTCAATGTGGTAGACATGTGGTATGCACGTGGTATGCATGTGCTGTTCCTGGCAAAAACCATCTCCGGTGATTTTTCAAAAATCACTTTGGCCTGAAACCTGCAAAACATTTTTTTTTTTTCCGTCCGTAATGTTTTTGCTGCCAGCCAAAAACGCCTGACGGAAGCAAATATCGTCCGAGATGAAAAATCACCTGCGGTGATTTTTTGATATTTGAAACATACTACTATTGTTGCATCCAAAGAAGAACTATGAAAAAGGCTCTGATATGTGTAACAACGGAGAGCACGGTCCACTAACACACAACTATTCTATTTGAATGAACGAATTACACAGATGACTCCTTTAACCATGACACACAGCCTGTTGCAAGCCGGCATAGAGTAGAACCAATCTGTGTAGCGTGCTAGGCGCCACACCCCATGGACTCTTTTAGCTTTACTCGCCTCTGTCTTTGTTACCGTTACTTGTTCTCGTTCTCTTCCTGTCTTCTAGTAAGGCTGTCCAACACACATCGACACACCCATATTTGCCACCCTTACCTTCTTCCACCTGTCTCCTCTTTCTTATTGTCTTTAGCCTTTTTGTACACTTCACTGGTCAACTTGTACCCTTATTCGCTTCGTGCCGTAGTTGTGTCATGTAGTTGCTCTGTCTATTGTCTCGTCACTCATTCATGTATATAAGAAAGGCTGGGTGTTGGGACAGAGACTTCAACAAAAACTCTTTGGCTCTCTTCTCTCCCATCCTCTTCTTCTTTAGCCTCTACTGCCCCTTCCAAGACCTCATCCAAGCACAACTGTGTACTACTCTTCGCGTACTTGGACTTGACCTTGAATTACACTTGGTGATAACTTCAGCTGTCACCCCAGAGCAGACCTGACCACCACAATCTGCATCTTGGGAGACCCTGGATGCTTTTCCCCTTCCCCCCTGAAGACTCCTTTGTGTTTCTGAGTTGGGCACCTGTTTGCCTCGAGCCATCTCACCACTATCCCCCCCCAGAGTTTCAAGTCTGATCCCCGAGTTCTGTTGAAGAAGTATGTTGACTTGCTTTTGATCATCTGGATAGTTCAAATGACTGTTGTATGATGACAAGTGTGTCTTAATCAAGCATTGCTGTGACACAAGTAGTCACTGTGGGCAAGGCCCCCCTAAGATTTGGCCTTATGGCATCCAAAGTGATCACTAAAATCCCGACGAAGGGCTGCTGCAGCGACGCCTGAATTTCGAGGTTAGGTGCGCTTTTCCCACCCTCCAAATTTCAGAGTTAGACGTGCCAAATCGATCCCTAAAGATGGCATCGCCGCAGCGGCGCTGAAGCATTCCCTAAATTTTGGCTACAGAGACTCTTTAGCGGTCACTTTCATGCATTCTTAGAGATCGCTTTCTGCTTTGTCTTATGGACGTTTGACACCAAAGAACACCCCATATCCTCCCCTTTCTCTGCCTTCCTGCCGCGGGAGAAAGTCGCTAAACTATAATAATGTCGACCAGCAGCAGCGCCAGGAGCTGTGGACGACTCTTCTTCCTCCATTCTCCACCATCATCCTCCATACAATTAATACCTTCCCAAAGAGCTGGCTCTCGATCCAGATTCTATTATTTCATCAGCTCGACTAGAACGCTTTATCATGGTCAGTTTTGTGCTTCTGCCTAGCCCGAATTTGATGGACACTCACTCACAGGGTTCGTCACAGGTACTCACTCTGAACGGCTCCCTCGCGTCGATTAGACAGGACGGCCCACCACCTCTCCTTCTTCCGCCTGCCTTGCCCAATCAAAGCCCGGACGGCTTCAGAGAGTCTCTTGTCGGCATCTACGCTGCCGTCCAGGCCCTCGTTCCACCACCTACGGCCTCTGCCGATCCGAATGCAACAGCATCATCGCAGCTCCCACTGCCTCCTCCCCTACTTCGATCTCACTTTCAAAAAGCGGGAGCCGTCGGCAGATGTCTTTGAGGTCCTGTCGAAGACAGGTATACAGTCTTTAGCACTTCACACCTGGTAAGATAAATGCATTACATACCTGGTATACAGTCTTTAGCGCTTCACACCTGGTAAGATGAAGAAGCAGACATGTACACCAGCTATGGAAAAAGTACCACCAACAATTTCGTCTAGAATAGTTCCGTCACCTTACATAACCTCGCACGTCACTCTAGCTACTGAACTCCAACTCCAACAGGTCCTGTTTAGTTGCGCGACCCGCAACCGCCGAGACCCTCTGGCTACCCCCTTCGCCGCATCCCCCGCTCCATCCAAACCACACGCACCCACTCTCTCTTCCCTTCTGAAAGACCGGCCGAAGCTCCTAGCCAGCGTGGAGAAGTCCTCCAGGGCAGTGCGATCGTTCGAGAGCACAGATGCATTGAGGAGGATGTGGTGCGCCCGGGAGACTTGGGCAGAGGACAGGTACAAGCTGTTGCTTGATGAGGGGGATGTGGAGGCGGCGGTAAATGTCCTCACCAGCTTGGACTTTGCAGAGAGCGAGCAGGGGGACGGGAACGATGTTCACGAAGAGGACAGCGAGTCCGATGACGAGTGAGGGGCAAGTGAGGGGACAAGGCTGGGGATCGGGTTTGATGGGTCGGGGGCGGGTTGTGAGGTATTGTGAGGATATGTTCCGGGTGCGAGGGGGTGTGAGGGAAATACGAGAGGCGGTTGGGATGGTCAAGAGGGAAAGGGATGAGTTGTGCAGCGTCGACGTCGAGGGGCTTGCTATTTGTGCAGTCAGAGATGGGGGTAAGCTGTCAACATAATCACGGTAGACGACATACCAGTATGCAGATGTACATGCTTCATTGTTGGTGTAGGCCCAGTACGGTCTTGAGCGGGCAGTACACAAAGTAGGGTTGAGAGGTCGAAGAAATACGACCTCATTAGTGTAGTTGATTTTCAGGGAGTAGTTTTCAGAGTTGTCAGTAGGTCCTTGCAGATCGGCAGCGTTGGCGCAAGTGCGGCGGTAACACCTCGCCAGTTTGTGTGGATAGGCTGGGGCCAGTGATAGTGACATAAGAAGCGGTACAGAACAAGAGCTACATGTGCTGAAACCGGGATACAAGCACCGTCAGCGAAAGCTCACCAGCCGCAATCATAAACAGGGGTTGAACTCACGGTGTCTACTGGGCGCGTGACGATGAAGTGCCCCTCCCTAGGCCGGCCATGCTGCTGAGCGGACGGTGAAGAGCGTGGATACGGAGGTGGTTGCCAGTAAATGGTGGCCCAGATGCTGGAGGAGCGATATGTAGCTGGACATGTCTATGTATGGAAATGGCCAAAATAGAGAGGAGGATGATGAGGATGTTGAACGAGGAAGATGCATGACAAGGACGTGCGTGGATGATGGGACACCTCCACCGCGTGAAGTCGATTAGAAGGTGGTGTGACAGAGTTGTAATGGGCATTAGGATTGAGAAGCGACTATTAGAAAACGCGACTTAGTCGCCCGACAGGCCGACTGGACTTGGGTCTCATGGCAGGGGAAGAGACCGCTTCAGCACCCCTTTGGCTGAAATTTAGAGGTCTCTGCAGCAGCTGTTGCTGCAGAGCATCCAAAGCAAGCACTGCAGCTGCTCTGCCATCAAATCTCAGCGATCGCTGCCAACTTGTGTGCAAAGGGACACCAAATTGATCAATTTAGCATCCAAGCCCGCGGAATCTATTTATCCTCTGGCCACAGTGAGTGTAAGAGCTCATATTGAGAGAGTGTAACTTTAATGATGGAGGAAACTTGGACTACAGTTGTTAGAGTCTATGAAGTATGGCCAGATAGTGTAGTTTGGGGTTCAAGTATGAGTAAGGTGATTGGTAGTAGCCGTGAAATGACTTGGAGAGTGGAAGTGGTGTGGTAAAAGGGTAGAAAGTAAGAACCAGTGAGGAGAGGAAGTCTCCTCCTGTTGAGCCTTTTATGCATTGCAGAAAGCTATTGAGTACGGGTGATATTGGGGCACACCATTCCTATGTGTATAAGTAGGACAGGAATTTGTACAAATAAGTGAGGAGAAGCAAGCAAGCAAAGATATCCCACCGAAGACAGAAACAGATAGCAGCAAAGGAGAACAAAAGAAAACTGAACAGGTCTCAGAAGAAGGGGAGGCTCAAGCGTTGAAGGGGTTTGTATGAGGATTGGGTCCCGTGAGTGGTGGACATGTGATCCAAGGACAATGTGATGACGAAAGGCCCTAAGCCAAATAGAGACGGATGATATGAGGAGATTCCTAGACAGCACTGCCTTGAGGTACTGTTGTCTTTAGAGTATCGGTTGTTTAGAGGTATATGTTTTGTACCACTTAGTCAAATTCTGCTAAAGTAGTAGTTGATAGTAGAAGTCGGTATTCAAGTTGTCACTAAAAATTCATTGATGTAAAGAAGTCTGAAAGTGCTACAGAGATATCCTTTTATACCTTTCAGGCCATCAATGATTACTAAGCATTCTCTGGATTCGCCACCCATGCTGATTCAGCATTCCTCTTGATTATTCAGCATAACAAGAGCTGCTGAATAAGCTGCTGAATCAGCGTAATAGTAAATGTGATAATGTATCGAAATACTCTCAAAGTATATAGGATGGCAAAAACCTGCCAAACAATTGTTTCCAATCATGTTGCCAAATTTGTCCATGGATTTACAGTTCCTCTCCGCATGCAACAATTTCATTCCCCTTGCTCTTTTTTCTTCCACCTTTGGAGTGCTCTTCATGGGTGATGCTCTTGGAGGGTCAATATCATCACCTCTGAGCTTGTTGTAGTTGTGGTCTGAGACTGAGCTCTCATCTGATCTCTCCCAAGATCTCTGACACTTGGTTTTAGTCTGTATAGACTTCCAACAATCAGGATCATGATACAGAGATATGATGGTATCAAGGGGGTCGGGTGAAGGCGAAAGCAAGTTCATTCCTTTGTGCCCCCTGCCTGCTCACCTGCCTTCCATTCTTGAGCTCTTGTCATACCTCCTTGATTGCTAGATCTTCCCAATCACACATATACTAGCTGTTGACAAACGTTAAGTCAGGTATACCTTGACCCTTGCAAGTAAACAACTCTCATCCACCCAGTCTTAGGTGTCCAGTCTAGCTAAGACTGGTTGTGACACCTTGGAACTTTTTGCCCTTCTAGATAATCACTACAGTCAATGTGGTGGGCTTTCATGTGAGCTGTGTGTATAGTAAAGTGGTAGTCGCAAATTTTCTGTGAATTTCGGTTTGTCCTGCATTTCGTCAAATGCGTCTATGACCTCATATACATTTCGATCAGCCATATATCCTTTCACAACATAGCTATGCATGCACTTTCTTTTACCACTTGACTCTACTGCCATGACTGTGCACACCTCACCATCTAAACGACGTCAATATGCTGCGGATGGCAACAGATACGGCAATACACAAGCCGGTCGCATCCACGGAGTTGCCAAGAGTACCATACGCCTCGCCCGCAAAGATGTGGAGGAGCGGGGCACTACAAGGGCCCACAAGCACACCGGCCGAAAGAAGAGCATCGACTCTCGTACCTCCCGCCGACTCAACCGCCTGCTTCATATACACAGGTGGACTCCGGTCACAAAACTTCTCAGCCTTGCAGCTGCAAGTGGAATCGAAATCTCCCTGACTACCTTGAAGAAGTTTATGGCCGTCAATGGGTTTGCTCAAAGGAAAGCGGTGTATAAACCTTTCCTAAAGAAGCAGCACAGGCGTACCCGCTACTCGTACGCTCTTGCCCACCAAAACATCGACTTTCAAAAGGGAATCTATGTCTACAAGGCAATCGTCAGAGCCAATGGGACCCATGTGACTTGGGTCACCAGGAAAGAGGGAGAGGCATTGTGGTTGGAGAATTTGAGGCCTGCATTTGGGCAGTCTGTGGTCTCCATTATGGTTTGGGGAGCCATCTACCACGGCGGGAGGTCAGAGCTGGTTGTTTTTGACACCAGCAAAAGCACGGGCAAGCGGGGCGGTGTCACTGCTCAGCTCTACCAAGAGCAAATCGTGAATAAACACCTCAAAAACCTCTGGGAGTCTGCAAAATCACGTGTGGATGGTGAGCAGGGCCCCTTCATCCTAGAGGATAATGCTCGGGTTCATACGGCCAAGGTGGCGCGAGGAGCAGGCCATGCAAACAGCTTCTCCTATATTCCCCACCCTGCTTGCTCTCCCGATCTCAATCCGATCGAAAATTGCTGGAAGCTCCTCAAAGAGAGGATCAGGGCTCTTGGGAGAAGGGCGACTACCACCGAAGAACTTACCAGGGTGGCCAAGGAAGCCTGGCAGGAGATATCACAGGAGAGCATCGAGGCATGCATCGAGAGCATGCCGACCAGAATGAAGGAAGTGATAAAGGGGCGAGGTGGGCATACCAAGTATTGATTAAAGAGCTTCTACCTATGTATTTCCAATACAGAAGATTCTCTTTGTTGTCCTCATCAAATCTGATATGCATAGGTGCGATACAGCGTTATATGTAGTGGTTTGAAATATACACCCCGAGCTGCATCAATGCGGCGGAGGCTGAAATTCGCAGAAAATTCGCGACTACCACCTGTACCTCCCATAGTGTATGAGTACATGGTCATGTATGTATGTATGCATGCATATGTCAGCTTTAAAGTACACACAGCAGAAGATGTGGCACAATTCCTGGAGTTTGCAAATATACCATAGGGCCTTGGGTTTGTACTTATGACAAAATGAACATATACACCAAGTGTACAGCCTTTCTGGCAGTGTTACTACAATCTGAATCCAGCCTCTCCTGTTGAAGGGCACAGGACAACATAGTCACATGTTCACATGTGATGTATACATTTCTATCTGATAACAGTTGCCTTTTGGACACAGCTCAATGATACCTCTCTCCATGGCTCATATACATGTGTCTTCAGGACAGCTCAGCATTATAGGCATCATATTTTTTTTACCTACCTGGTTGAAAGCCCACTGCTCATGCAACAGCTCCAGTGTCTCTGCCCTGTTGCTCAAAGCGCACCACTTCCTTGACCAGATTATATCCCACTGAGGATTTGAGTCTTCTGGGCAAGAGGCCTTGGGCAGCTGCATGAACTTCATTTGCAGAGAAGTTCTTCCTGCCAGACCAATGACCTTGGTTTGTTTGATTTATCTGTGACTGCCTTTGTCTCTTTTTTGCTAAAGACACAGGTGTCACCAGCACATTGGGTGGAACTCCTAATTTAGGATAGCACATCTTGCCCTTAGCTTTCTTTTTGACACAAAATTGAAAAGCTCCCTCCCTTTCCAATGAGGGCACCACAGGCTGGCCATCAGGCAACCTCTCCTGAGAATCCCAGCCTCCATCATTGGATCTGTTGGGCTTGAATATGCTTCCCGAGAATCCAGCAAAAAAGCCTGACTGGCATTCACCATGCACTGGCCAAAATGGTGCTTCAGACTCTTCTAGCCCAACTTGCTGTAGGTGGTGTTTCCTCCCTGGCATTGAGACACCCAAAGACATTGGCGAAGCCAGGAGATAGCTGGCCATTAGGGGATCTTTGGGAAAGCAGGGCATGGTTGTTGATTGTTGTATGATGGAAGCTGTACCAAGAGTAAGACCTGTAACAAGTAGAACCAGTAAGTTGAGGTCTGCATACAATAGGCACAGCTTTCTCCTACCTGGCATTGAGTCTGACAGTTGTGCAGGTTCCACTAGATGCACATGTCTGACATGGCTTACAAGTCCTTCAGCTGAATCAAAGGACAGTGCCTGGCAATTTTCCCAGTGGCACATGAGATCAGATTCCTGTTTCAGTCATGTCAGTCAGTGTGCTTCAGGCACTTCAGGTGTGACTTCACTTGCCTTCTGGTTTCCAAACCCATCACAATCACCTATGGCATACTTGAGGTGCTTGGAAATATGCTATCATCAAATCAGGGAAGTTGAATAGGTACACACTGTATGCTTGCTCACCTTGAGAAGAGTGTCTGCATTTGCAAGTGCTGCATTGCATCCCACATTGGTCCACTTGCAAGGGATTGTCCTTGGAGGTGCAGACAATTCCCTTGAGGGGCCTTCAAAGGCTGTGGTGCTGGGTCCTAATGTATTTTGTGCCATGTGATAGGCAGAGTGGATTAGATAGTGGAAGGTGGGTGGTTGCTGTTGTGCTGGCCTGGTATCTCTAATTTGGGGATGGGACAAGATTTTCCAGTCACCTGTGAATCAAGCATCAGTCAGAGCACACTTCAGGCACCAGCAGCTTTCCCTTGCTCTGGGAAAAGTGCAGGCAAACACAATCATTCAGTGCTGCAATGAAAACAACTCACAGCAGACAGGGAATATATGTGATTTGTGATTGCTCACCTACCACTGCAATAACACCAAAGAGTGGTTGTTGCTGGGGTTAGAAAGCTGTGTGTGCCTTCACCCTTTATCTTTTGGAACAGGTGATATTATCAAGACTCAGATGGTAAATAAATGCAAAAATGAAATTCAACAAGACAAAACCATTCTGGGCTGTGAACTACAGATTTGATGATGTCATGGTTTGGTACTTCACAGATCATGATTCCCTTGTGTCCCAGATTTGGTTACATATTCCATCAAACAGTTCTTGCACAAGAGCAGCCGCCTACAGTGAAAGCATGTAGAGTCCATGTGCCCAATGTTGGCAGTGTTGGAGTTTAGTACCTTTTTGTTTGTGTTGCATGCATATGAGAATTTTGAGTCAATGCTACAAATTTTTGGCAATAATCATGTTTTACCTGTGCACATCCATCACCATACTGACCCAGCACCAGCCTCTGCTGGTGTACACTGTGGGCCCTGGATGATATGACCCCAGTGCAGAGTTGTTCCTGCCCATCAGTGAATTGTTCCTGCCCATGCCAATGGTTTTGAACATGGCTTTTTGAGTGTCCTAGAAATGAAACATGGCTGGGTTTATCATCAGACATCTGGGATCTTGAAGACTGCCAAGTCCAAACACCGTGCTCACAGCCGATCCAAGCTGTGTCCTTATTGTGTGATTGTCATATCTCTTTCTCTTTCACTCTTCTACAATATCTCCCCTCCTGCTTCCCACAATGTCCCTTCCATCCACCAGCCAGTCATACATCCCACCTGTCAGGTCCTACCCACAGTGTCCCTTATAGTTGCTCAGCAGTATAAAGTATCTCTTGACTTAAACGGAAGGGGCTGTTTATGTATATGTCAATTCCAATTAACAATATACGTGTACATGTCGGGACCAATAAGCAAGGCTATCCTGGACTTGATAGGGGCTTGCACTAACCTAAGGCTTGAGACTCCTTGTTGGCTTAGCTAGTATAATTTGAATAGGCCTGTTCACTTGATCCTTATTTCATAGACAAGTCAGACATATTGGAGGTCGCTGGGATCCTTGAATCTATGAAAAACTATCAACTTATATAGACATCCAGAGCCCTACCGACTTACTCAGCTTTCCCATATTCGTCACCCAACTGACTAAACCGTTCCCTTGGCTTGCTGCGCTTTCTCGTGAGTTGCTATGGAAATAAGTCCTAGAATAACGAAGGCTCACAATATCTTGGAAGCAGACTCTATGTAAAGAAAAGTGTTTCTATGTATAGAAAGTGTCTCTATGTTACCAGGAGGTTTGTCGTCTCTTGGAGCATAATTGGGGTGAAAAGAATGAGGGTGCTCAGGTGTCTGTCAGGTCCTACCCACAGTAGTATGTTTCAAATATCAAAAAATCACCGCGGGTGATTTTTCATCTCGGACGATATTTGCTTCCGTCGAGGGGAGTCTTTGGCTGGGGAATTTTATCCCGAACGATTTTAAATTTGAAACCATTTTTTGTGAGATGCGGGATCAAAATGATGTTTTTCGAGACGACGTTTTTGTGTCCCTGCAGGCGTCCTTATCCTTGTTTCTACTTGCTCATCTTTCACTTGCCATGTATCTTTGACCACCCACGCAACTTGTCCCCTCAGCCGCACGCTCCCTCCTCTCCCATCTTACCAACAGTCCCACACCATCCTCATGTCGGATATAGGTCAGAGGAGAGCGGAGGCTGAGACGATCGTGAACATCCTGCTGGTTGTGGCTACGCTTCAGCAGACGCTCGATCTTCCCGATGACTTCGACTCATGCGACCCGGATTTTGCCGAATATTTCTTGCAGCTGATCATCCTCCTTAGGGCGTCCGGTCTGCCCAATTGGCAGTCACACATAGGCTGGCTTGGCCTATTCACCCCCGAGATGACACTGCTTGCTATGGACACTTTCAGCGACTATCTGCAATACCTTCAACAGACTCGATCGGTGGCGCGCCCTCTTACATACAACCGGCGCCAGAGATTAGGGGAGAATGTATGGTTTGTCATATTTGACCACCAGAGTGACAAGGATTTCAAGCGAAATGTGAGTCAGCCTTCTGGATGACTGATAGAGGTGGTGCTGACGATGTTAGGCAAGGATGTCCAAGGAAACCTTCCACAGTCTTTGGGAAGCCATTCGAGACGACAAAGCTTTCCACAACAATTCAAGGAATCCTCAGGAGCACTCGGCATACCAGTTGTACACCACCTTGGTTCGCTTGGGACGACGAGGGAATGGCATGTCCCATGGAGAGGTTGCCGAGAAGATAGGGATTCAAGGTGAGTCATAGTGGTGCAAATAGGGGGACACACAACTGATGATGCGCCTCAGCTGGTACATCGTTCCTATGGACTATGAGAACTCTGGAAGCTATCCACAGGTCGCTCGGCAGCAAGAATTGTATTTCTTGGCCTGATCCCGAAGAGAGAAAGAGGATTCGCAGGGAGTTTGGCTTGAGATCTCCTTTCAGGAAGTGCGTGGGCCTTATTGACGGCACTCTAATTGAAATGGAGTATGTCCCTGGGCGCGAGGATAAGCGCCTGTGGTATGGGAGGAAGGACACCTATGGGTTCAACGTCCTTGTAGTTGCCGACCACGAGTGTCGTATCCGTCTTATACAATCGGGTTTCCTGGCGTCAAGCCATGATCAGCGAGTCTATCACAACACTCGAGTGAGTTCAAATCTTTGCAAGATGATATGTGGCAGTGCTCATACAACCCCGTTAGATGTTCCAGGAACCCCAGGACTTCTTTTCTAATGGCGAATACCTCCTTGCGGACAGTGGCTTCACACCCAACCCAAACTGCCTTCCAAACTACAAGAACAATGCTGGAGGTCGGAACAGGCATGCAGGTGCAGCCAGAGACCACAAAGTCTTCAACGACCACGTCAAGAAGGTCAGAGTGCGCATAGAACACACCATTGGCTACTGGAAGGCGCGATTTCAGAGTATCAAGCTGCTGTCACTGCAAGTGAAGTCTTCTGATCACCATGTCCTCAATATGAGCGTCTGGATTGGGGTATGTGCAGGTTGGAAATATGGCGTTTTGAAGAGCAGTCGCTAACACTCATTTCTCAGGTCACTGCGCTACTTCACAACTGGGTCATTGACCATGAAAAACTTGAAGATGAGGAAATAATCGACCCCGATGATTTGGAAGAGATCATGCGAGAGGAGGCAGTAGCTAGTGACAGAATGGACCAAGAAGCTATCCAGGAGCTCACCGAGGCCGAGCGGCGGGATAATGGGTGGAGGCGTGAGGCTGTGCGAAAACAGATTGAGGACATGCAAGCGCGGGGAGAGAACGTTGCGTATGTGGATCCAGAGGTACCACTTTTTGCATGATGCTCCTCAAAAATATGTACAGCTGGTCAATCATATGTAAAGCGCCTTTTGGTCTCTTCAATTGCCTTCCTCTTTGCCTCCTCTCTTGTATCGCCATCAGCCACATACTCCTTTATAAGCTCGCGCTCAAACTCCCACTTCTTTGCAGCCATCTCATCCTGAGCCCGGAGTTCCTCCCTTTGCGCCTTCACATTCCTCCAATGGGCATCCACATCATCCCTCTTCCTCTTCGCCTCACGCTCCTCTTGTTCGATCTTAAGCCTCGCTTCATACCTTGTATCCTCAACCTTCAACCTTTCATTCTTCATTGGCACTTCTCCCTCAAATCTCCTCGCTTGCTCAGCGACCTTGTACTGCTCAAGCACCGCCTGGGCTTGCTGCTCCGCTATCTCCTTACGCCCCTTGATATTGGCTGTGGAATGGTCCTTAAAAAGACCTTGAAGTTGCTCGTTCAGGCTGGCGTTGCCGCGCCTGCCCTTGCCAGAGGTTGGGGTGTCCTGGGCATTGAGGGACGCCCGTGCCCTTGATCCGTTGGAGAGAGAGCCGGCACCCCTCGCCCCAGAAGTCGGCTCGTCAGCAACCCCGTGATTGCTGGTAATGTTGGTAGACAGATAATTGGCTCTGGTCCCCCTGACGCTGAAGACGTCGTCATTCTCGTCGCCCTCATCCTCCATTCCAACGGATTGGTCCTCGATGTTGGAGCGCGAAGACACACGGCGGGCCATAGAGGGGGTGATTGAGACTTCTATGTCGCCCATCTGATGCACACTGCTTTGCGCAGTGATATTGGCGTTTCGGTCTTTCAACGAAGGGAGGAGGGTGAAGAAGAACGGGCATTTCTCTTTGATTTTGGCTATAGACAGAGTCAGCACCTGACTCTATTGGTTGCCGCACCTACCCTCCCACGTTTCGATGTCTCTAGCCAGGTCATCCTCCGTGACCCCTTCTCCAGTGGGCTTTTGGATGGCCAACACTTCATCGAATGCCTTCTTCATTTTTTGAATCTGTAGATGCAGATCAGTGTCATGCCACATCTTGGCTGGTCTCAACTCACCCGATCCTGGACCCCAGAGGCCTTAGCCTTGTCAAAATTCTTGATCTTTTTCTCAAGGAGCCATTTGTAGATCACCGTAGCGGCGAACTTGGCTCTATTGTTGGAGTCCGAGTAGGCAGCCCAGTTCTCGGGCACGGACATCCAGTCGATGAGGTAATCTTCACCAGTACGCCCATCCGGTCCGACACATATCGTCGAGTTCTTTTTATTATGCTTCCACCTCCAGCCTGATGACCCTTCTTCATCATCACCGCCTGCGTTCTTGTTCGATCTTTTGGCTGTGGCGGGGGTGGATGGAGGAGCAGGCATGGCGAAGGAGCAAACGGAGTTATGGGGCTTCTGGATGTAGACTTGACAAAACTACGGATGAAGTGCAAAAGCACGCGTACACGTGGGGGCAAGAAGTCAATGACAGAAAGGGTGACCATGTGGTAGACATGTGGTATGCACGTGGTATGCATGTGCCGTTCCTGGCAAAAACCATCTCAGGTGATTTTTCAAAAATCAGTTTGGCCTGAAACCTGCAAAACATTTTTTTAGTCCGCGATGTTTTTGCTGCCAGCCAAAAACACCTGACGGAAGCAAATATTGTCCGAGATGAAAAATCACCCGCAGCAATTTTTTGATATTTGAAACATACTATTATGGTCAACTTTCTTGAAGCCTGCTGGGACCGGAACATCAGCGTGCTCATTCTGCCAGCCAAACTCAGTGGCAAGTTTCAGCCATTGGACATAGACTTCTTCAATCAACTAGAGTTGAGATACCACCAGCAGATGGACGAGTACTCACGAGGTTCCCAAGCAAGGCAGGTGGCTAATTGTATGTTTTGGGTCTGGCATCAAGAGGCATGGACGAAGACTGCCACCGATAGGCAGATCAGGTCTGCATGGGCAAAGGCGGGTCTCTGGCCTCTCAGCACTGAAATCCTCCTTGGCAAAGTCAATGATCCTTCTCCTCCCCCCCCCCAGGCCTCCCAACCTGCACCACCCTTCCCTAGAACCCCTCTCGGTCCCCAACGGATCAACACTACACTTTGAAACGGGGATCTGGACCCAGTTGTGGCTGTTGCGCAGGCCAAGACTGCCGCAGAGGTGGCAAAGTCAGAGAATGTGCTGATGAGAAAAGAGTTGGAGGAAGCTAGAGCAGCAATGGCACTAGACCAGGCCACCAGGGGAGGTCGCAAGGCAGTTCAGAATCTGGGTGGGGGTCTATATGATTGTAAGTATAGGGATGACAACTGTGAAGCACTGGAGAAGAGGAAAGAGAAAGAAGAGAAGAACAGGGCGGATCGGGCAAAGCGAGCTTGTAATGCACACCCCAGGGCGCAGTCAAAAGAGCAGCAAGCATGTCTACAGAGCCTACCTAGGACTTCGTGATATTTGTAGTGCATATGTATCATAGTTATGGAGTTATTGCATGATACAGGTTCATGGACATAAAGGGTGGTGTTATCCAAGATTGCCATGTCATCGAGATTGCTGCGGATACGAGTACTCACAGGCATTACTGCTGAGGAGTCAGTCCATCCCTATTGTCCATCTCTGTCTGGTCTTTTGCCTGACCTCATCCCATCGTCCCTGAGTCACGTGTCAGCTACTTGCAGGATTCAGTTGTAACACCACTCTTTCCAGGCCGGACAAAAGTGACCTCCCTTTCTTTTCTGGATCCTGTGGAGCTGAAAATCCCCAAGGCCTCTTGATGCTCTTCCTTCACTTTGTTGAGCTACCCAACAGTCAGTCAGTTAGCCTTTTCTGTAACAAGCAAAGAACCCACTTTCTTATAGATGGCCACCCGGTCGTGCATGATGGGACATCTATGATCATACAGCCACTGGCAGATGATAGTAGTATTGAGGGTCTCAGTATGTATACCACAGTGATTAAAATGCCACATGTCGATTCTCTTGCTGTCTTCTTGAAAGAAATCTATGAGCAAGTCCAAAGGGCTTTTCATGCCATTCTTGATCTTTTCCTCAATTGGTTTGCTTTTGGTGGGATCATTCTTGCGCCCTTGGGTCTTCTTCTTCTGACTCAGATGATCCAGCTCCCACTTTGACTCCTTCTTGATTCAGAAGTCTTGACCCTCCAGGGGCGGCAGGGTATGACTCTTGACCAGGTGTTCACCTATCTTCTTCAAGTTATTGACAGAGCTGTATTTGCCAAGGCCTCCCCTTGGCAAGCTTGGGGCAGAGCTCTTTGGGGTGGGTGTCAGAGATGCAAGGGGAGGCTTGTATGAGCATTGGGTCCTGTGAGTGGTAGACAGGTGATCCAAGGACAATGTGATGACAAAAGGCCTTAAGCTAAGTAGAGACGGACAATACAAGAAGACTCCTAGACAGTACTGCCTTGAGGTACTGTTGTCTTGAGAGTATCTGTTGCCAAGAGGTATATGTTTTATACCACTTAGTCAAGTTCCGCTAGAGTAGTTGATAGTAGAAGTCGGTAGTCAAGTTGTTACTAAATACTTGTTGATGGAAAGAATCTGAAAAAGCTATGTAAGATGTCCTTTTGGCAAAGCTGCTGAGTAAGCATGGAAGAGAATGTGATAAAATACTATGGTGATGCTGAATAAGCAGAAAGGTTATCTGACCAAGTGTCCTTCACTGGATCAATGGTGTTCGTGTTGCGAGAAGGAAACAAGACCCCTTGTGCATGTGAACTGGACAGTGTCTGTCAAATATGTACCAAGAAGCACACCAAAGAGGAAGAAGAAGACACTGGGCCAGGATCAATCAAGGTGAACACCAGAAACGAGAATGGATACACACAGGAACAGAGAGAGGGCAAAGTGGAGAAGAAGAATGGATGAAGACCCAAACATGATTCCACATGCCTGATACTCTGCCCCTGTGCAAGGACAGTCGTGTAACAAAACACACAAGTGTCACGACCGCACTCCAGCTTCCACGTCATCACACATCTCATTATGTATTCCTTTTGAGCTGGACGCGTCGCGACACTCATCACTCAACACTCATCATCACTTCCTGGTTTGTGGCACCCCTCTTGCTTATCCTGTTACCTCACAACCATCATATAGATCCAGGAGCTACGCATTTCAAGGGACATTGTTATCACAACACCTACACAGCAATTCATCTCTGAGACACAACCAACTCCAACTTAACCCGATACCTATCTCCAACCAAGACCTAGACACCCAAGCACCCTCATTCTTCTCCACCCCAATTACGATTCAAAGACACAGCCAATCACTCTGTAACTCAGAGACACTTTCTATACATAGAAACACTTTTCTTTACATAGAGTCTGCTGCTTCCAAGATATCGTGAGCTGTAGCAATTCTAGAACTTATTTCCATAGCAACTCATGAGAAAGCGCAGCAAGCCAAGAGAACGGGCTTAGTCAGTTGGGTGGCAAATATGGGAAAGCTGAGTAAGCCACTAGGGCTCTGGATGTCTATATAAGTCGATAGTTTTACATAGATTCGAGGATCCCAGCGACCTCAAATACGTCTGACTTGCCTATGAATTAGGAAACCAAGTGAACAGGCCTACTCGAACTATAATAACTAAGCCGACAGGAAGTCATCAGCCTTAGGTTAGTGCAAGCCCTATCGAGTCCAAGATAGCCTTGCTGATCAGGTCCCAACACGTACACGTATATTGTTGATTGGAATCGACATATACATATATATAGATAGCCATTTCCCTTTGATTACAACAAGAGATACTTTATACTGCTGAGCAGCTATATAGGGACACTGTGGGTGGGACCTGACAACAAGTCGAATTGCTGAAAGGCCGAAAGTGGCAGGAAAACCAGGAACGGAAACATGGCATGGAAACGGACGGAGAAAGCGGAGATAGTGAGAGTGGCGGGAAACTAGGAATGAAACCAGATGAGGAAGCCAAGACGCAAGCAGAAATGGTCAAGTCACAAGCAGCGGTGATTGCTGAAATGCGGCTAGAAATGGTTAAATCATGAGCAGTAGCCCACTGCTTACACCCTCCCCCTCCTGGTACAAGACCTGGGGGTACTGGTAGCAGAAAAGAAAGGGGACAGACAAGAAAGGAAAGCAGAAAAGAAAAGGAAAAAAACAAAACAAAACAAACCCAGGCAAAAAATTCAAACTTGGAGAAAAAAACGAGAGCAAAAAATGAAAACCACAGCAAAAGCGTTATCTTACTGGAGTCTCTTCTATGTAGAGCGGTAGGCGGGCAAAAGCTTGGTTCATTTGTGATGGTGAAGCCATTTACCCCGCTGGTATGAACAGAAATGACCGAGTAATCAGGTAGTTCGGCAGTTTTCGGCAGAGCGGCTCCGGCCACCCCAATCACTCTGTTCATTTGGCCCCACAAAAATTAATTTTTGGCCGCTCTTGGTGGCGGAGTCCGACTCTGCTCTGACGTCAAGTGCCGAACAGCGCCGGGAATGGCAGAGTCGGGGATGTTTGAAGATGGATATGTATTTTACATTTTCACCACAGGAATTCACTCCTTACCGTCAAGAATCATGCCCTCTCACAACAACAATTTACCACGGGATCACATGGTGAAGGTTATTGTGGCCATCGCCGCAGTGGCTATCCCTCAGCTTGTCTTGCATCAAATGATACGCCATCTCAAAAAACAAGAAGAAAACAAGAAGAAGAATACTGCATGATGGTTACTGGGATGTCAAGAAAAAAGTGGGCGAGTGGCTCTCCCACAGAGGCCATGGAATGCGTGTTGCATTGGGCGTCCACCTCGAGGAGTTCTTGAGCATAGAGATTACCAGGAAGGTAAAGGAGTCGAGTTGGGAACCAAAGGTGTCTCGGCGGAGGCAAGGCTTGCCATGGGATTGTGGACGCTCCGCATGGGCGACTCGATCAGGCATTGTGCTGAGGTGTTTGGCCAGAAACGTCTGGATACAGTTACGGGGTAAGCACCATCAGCAGATGATACTTTGGCTCAATCCGACTGACTTCGTTGCAGATCGTTACGGACTCTTGTCCTGGCTCTGTTGTCAGACGATATCATCGATGAATGGATCAAGATTCCCTCTGCCGATGAGCCAGACCACCCCCAAATCAAAGACTATTCACCACATGTCTTTGCAGGGTGCAGAGGGGCGCTTGATGGTACTCATATAGGGGTGAAAGTACCGAAAAGAGTGAGAGATGTTTACGTCTCAGGTAGAAAGGATGAACCGACCATCAACGTCTTTGCTGCCTGCAACTTCGACTTTGACTTCATTGCAATATATGCTGGTGTAGAGGGATCTGTGCATGACTCAAGGGTACTTGAAATGGCCCGGGCAACAGGCAACTTTGCAATGCCTCCTGGTCAATATCTTTTGGGTGATGCTGGTTATGGACTTTCAACAGATGTCCTCACTCCGCATAGATCGGTCAAGTACCATACATGGGAGCCTGGTGCTGTGTGAGCTCAAGAGTCAGTTCATAAACAAGTTTACTCAGCCGACCACCATCTTCTAGGCCCAGCAGTGACATAGAAGAGTTCAATAGGCACTCTCCAAAATTGCATCGAAAGAGCTTTTGGCCTACTCAAAGGCAGATTTCGTATCCTGCAAGACCAGCCTTTACACCAACGCTATGACAAACAATGGCGAGTGGTTGTTGCTTGCGCAGTGCTTCACAATATGCTCAACAGCTATCACCGCGGTATCGATGAAGGAGACAGGGAAGATATGGAGATCGGCATGAGGGAAGACAGGGCCGAAGACCAATTGAGAGAGCACAACAGTGACAATGTGCGGGCAGAGGGGGGTCTCCAGTCAGCCGGAGACATGAAGAGGAGGAGGGACCTTTATACAGAGTTGCTATGGGATAGATTCCAATCTCGACCTCGCCGAGGGAGACCAAGAGGCTCGCGTGGAGTGCAGGAGGGCAGGAGACGGTTAGTGTAGTAGCAGTAGGCAGTAGAGTCTGATTAATATACATGAATGGCTGCTGAGTTACAACAAATGTCCACACGTCATTCTATAAAATTCAGCAACCCCTCATATCCTTCAAGATCCCCTCTTGCACAAGCCTATCTCCTTTATCATTCACTACTAGCATCACTTGATCTGCCTCCTCTCGATTACGGCGGCACCGAGATATCACATTAATCTTCTGAGTCTCATCGAAGTCCTCCTGTTCTTTGATCCAACTCACAATAGGGCCCAGATACTCATAGCGCTCTTCACTACTGTCGTGAGACCTACCCCCGTCTAAGAGCTTGTGGATAGTATCCGTCAAGCCCTCAACGACTGTGAATCCCTTCTGCAGGAATTCATCGTTGCCCTCGGATTGCCCTCCCTTCTTCGGCCACCCACGCCCCGTCCTCCTGCTCTTCTTGACATGGCCATCTTCCTTGTCTTCACTTTCACTCTCACTACTTTCTTCTAATTCCTCTCTCTCTCGACAACGCCTTTTGTTTTTCGACTGACGTTATCAGCCTCGAGAGAAATGACGGGGGCATGTCGCCTTGCCGAAGCCTGGGCAAAGGACATTGGAGGTAAGGAGTGACGTGAAGAAGTGGAGAGCTGGCGGTGAGACGAAGGCGAGTCTGAGGGAGGCGAGGTTGAGCGATTGGGAGGCCGAGAGCGGTGAATGGGGCCGGCGAGGTTCCCGGTAGTGGTATGATTCTTGAGGATGTACTTCATGGCGTCAAAATGGTGGAAGGGCTGCTCTTTGAGCCTTTTGTATCTTTTGTTGGTCTGTAGAGAAGTTAGCCACAGATACCACAGATATGCAAGGAGGCTTTCTAATATTTCTTCTAGAAAGATGAATTACTCACCGAGATAAGCCCTTCCCATTCCTCTTCGCTGATTTGAAGTTTACCATCTTTGAACTCTCGCCCCGATTCGCCAGCCACATTGGCGATGGGCGTATACCAGTCTCTTTTGAGTTGCTGGAATCGGTTTTCCCAATAAGAGGGAGCATTCACGCCTATTTTGGCGACCTTCTCGTCCTCCAAAGCCCTTCTATGGACTTCGCCTTAAAGAGGGGCCTTGAACTCGAACTTCTCAAGAGGCCGATGATCCTTCATAGGCTGCTTGCCCTTCTTGTCTTCGGGAATCTCTGGTATGATTGACTCAATCAATCCTTGATCGAAGTCGCTGAGAGGTGTGTCAATTATAAGTTACAACAGGAGAAGGATACGCGGACTGACTTTTTGATATCCATGAGCACGTCAAACAGCTTCTGGTCGATGATTGCGTGCTGCGGGACCGTAAACACTTGCTTCTTATGCACCCCATTTCTCTCATTCGCTCCAGTAGCAGGAGTAGAGGAGGAGGAGGGTGTCTGCATGATAGTTTGCCCAGCCTAATGCTGTTGGGCGAAAGGCTGAGAGTGGTTGGGGGACATTTGGCTGGTCATGGTTGAAGTTTGGTGGTTTGGTGGCATTGATGAGTAGTTGCAGGTGTATGAAAGAAGAACAATTGTCGCTCCGCGCGGCTGATTCATTCCAATTTTGGGAAAGAGCGAGCTCTGGTTATAGCGGCTCTGGCCACATGAATGACGTCGGTTCAGGTCAAGCGCCGAACAGGGGCAATTTAGCGGAATGACGTCACTCTGGTCGACCAGAGCGAGAAATGTCGGCGCTCACCGCCATTCCGCCACCGGAGCCATTTTGTATGGGGACTCGCTCTGCCGGAAACTGCCGAACTACCTGAATTTGTACAGGCCTATGTCGAAATAGAACAAGTAGCAGGGAAAACCCAGTGGGAAAAACCTTATGCCATTGCTGAGAGCTGAATGAGTTGATGAGATGAGTTGATGATGAAATAGTAGATTATCCTGTGTGATGTGATCAGTCAATTATACTTAGGAGGTAGAGGGAAAAAAATCGAAAATGGGAAATGGGGATAGTGGAATAATACAGCTCACTCGACGACATCGCCCAATAACTCAAACCGATCTGCTGTTTCCACCATTAGCTTATCCAGATATAACTCATCCTCTCCCATAAAGGCCTCCCAAGCCTCCCTCCAACCTGTATACGTCTTGGCCTCGTCAAAACTAATCCATTTTGACTTCACCCCAGCTCCTGCAAGTTGAATCTTCACCTGTCAAACCCGGGGGTGAGGAGGACAAGGTCGGTGGGTCTTCTCGTCGAGTACCTGAAGGATGCGAGGTGGTTGGAGGCTGGAGGGCAATCAGAAATATGAGGCGCTGAAATTTGATGATATAAATTGAATTCTTGGTACCGCTTGAGTTTGGAGGCATGTCGTCGGGCTGTAGATTGGGGGGTTGTCAGTGGGGATTGCTCAGGGAAGGCCTTGCTACCATAAAAGGTCCCTCCCATCAAGGCATTAACTTAGAGAAACGACTTGTTGATGTCTTGTATTTGTGCTGGAAATCTGCTGTATCAATGGATGCCTTGTCACCACAGCATAGACAGGCTCAGGACGTGAATGGCGATTGGCTTGGACGGTCTACTGGTACTTGGAGATGAGCAGTCTGTCTTTTACCTCACCTTCATCCAATTCCATCCTTCACACGGCAATTTTCCATTCTTCCTTTGTTGGGTGAAAACCGGCGGCAGCGGTGGAGTTGGTGTGGGCCAGGATAAGTGGGGTGAGAGTGGGACGATTGCCAAATACTAGTTCTGCAGGGGTAAAGTTTGTAGAGCAACGTACAGTGTTGTTCATGGCAAAGGCGACCTGTTGAAGGTGGTCGCTCCAGTTTCTGCCTTGATCATCCGTCCAAGCTCGCAACACCTGGGTAACTGTCTTGTTCGATTGTTCCGAGATACCGTCGGTCTGTGGACGGTACACTACTGTAGACATCGTCAGCTTTGCACCCAGTAACTCACTGTAAGAGGTGGTGTTCCTCTTCACTGGCGGCGGCGACGGGAGGGGAGAACGGCGGCAGTCTCGGCTACGGACTAGCAGGACGGAGGAACGGCTGGTAACGGCGAAGAACGGCGGAGAACAACGAGGGCTCGAGCAGGGGCGGTGTAACCTGAAGTGAAACAGGACCCCAAATACATATAGATGTCACACAGACAAGAGGGCGGTGACTCTGGGCAGAAGTCAGTCCTAGCTATTACGACTGCCCAGGATTTAGCTATGCACTCTAATAAACAATAAGAAAGGAAACTCACGCGCACACACAGACACCTGAGCTATACAGCAAAGGGCAAGAGACGGGGAA